CCATAAGGATCTGTTTGTTGAAATATATGTGCGGTTTTCCTTACCTCACTAAAATATAATGTGGATGTTTGTGATTTCAATATTTTGAAATATATAACTATCTATGAGCCAGAGCCATAATAATAAATAGATGCTGATCAGTCTAGACATTGGTTTCCTAACCTACAGTACTGGCTGATAAGTAGACTATAATAAACCCCAGACCTATTGATAAATTACTCCTGTACCTACCCTGTAACAATAACTCTCCAGTAGGGGCGGATGATTACAGTAGAGTTATGATTGGCAAACATGTTTTAAGATTAAACTCGAGTGCTACTACGGGATCCTTTGGATATACAGGTCAATTAGAGGTCAATCTGATACATGCATGCAGAATATTTGGAAACTGATTTTGAATTTCATTTAATTTACCTTATCTGAAGAGAATTGTAATTCCTATACATATATATTGTCTTATTCATGAGTTGGAGCCAAGGTACTTTAGCTTGTCTTAACTTATAATTCCAGTGAATTAGTGTAAAGACATGTTGACGTTTGAACAAATTTATATCATGGTTGTAATAGGTACGATATCTGACTGCCGTTTTACACAGCAGGATTGAGTTGACTTAAAAAAGATTAATTTAAATCCAGTCATAAGTCACTGAATGAAATGGTTGGGAAGAAAACATCAGGGGTAAATGATGTGAGACATCAGGGGTAAATGATGTGAGACATCAGGGGTAAATGATGTGAGACATCAGCAGCTAAGGATGCTCCTGATCTCATCCTCATCCCTGTTAACATTCTCATCAGTGTAAATATTAATGATCTCACTCCCAAAATCAATACAAGCTTCTTTAGGCAGCAGCAATCTTCTTTATTGTTTTGGAAATCTCCCTGCAGGAACACTACACAGTTGAAATTTGTTTCAATTATATTGTGGAGTGTTTAAAAGCCATGTTAGGTTGGAAGTTTCATGTTTTTTTTTAATGTATTTGCTGTTTCTAAGAAAATCACATAGGAAAACACTGATTGTTCCATAGCTTTAATCAGTGCTAGGAGAACAAGTTTCATGAAAATAATCTTCAGAAATCTTGTGATTCGTTTGATTATTGTACACGGCTTTTCCCATGACACAGCTTTTTCCATTATGGTTGTGTTAACGCAGCAATTGCCTTATATAATCAATGCCTTAAAAGTTCCAAAGATCGATATTAACATGAGGAACATTTTACATTAAGTGTTAGATTGAAATTGAAATTTTTTGATTGCATTTTCCCATATTTGAAGAGTGATTTTTTTTTTTTTGTAACAATGTCACAATTAACCTGAAGTAATATTTTCATCTGGATGTTACACAAGCAGTTTCTCAAATAAACAGTGGCTTGTTATGTGTTCTATAATAAGGTAAAGGGGTCTGTGGTGGCCGAGTGATTAAGGCGTCTGACATTGTGCTATCACTAGCCCTCCACCACTGGGTTGTGGGTCGAGGTCTACGTAGGACAGTCGCCAGGTACTGGCCGACAGGTCGGTGGTTTTTCTCCAGGAACTTCTGCTTTCCTCCACCACCAAAACCGGGCATGTCCTTAAATGACCATAGCTGTTAATAGGACGTAAAACACACACAAACTATAAGGTAAACATAAATTATGACTTTAAATAAGTGACAAGAGATTGAATGGGATTTTACGTATTTGCAACAGCTGCATTATAACACAGGACATGATCATGATCATAAGACAATGGTGTCCACAGACAATGAGGCCAGTACTCCAGTTGTTAAAAAGCTATCTCAAGGTCTCAGTGTCTCACGACAGAAGTGTGTCCACACAGACGATGAGGCCAGTACTCCAGTTGTTAAAAAGCTATCTCACAGTCTCACTGTGTCTCACGACAGAAGTGTCCACACAGATGATGAGGCCAGTACTCCAGTTGTTAAAAAGCTATCTAACAGTCTCACTGTGTCTCATGACAGTCGTGTCCACACAGACGATGAGGCCAGTACTCCAGTTGTTAAAAAGCTATCTAACAGTTTCAGTGTCTCATGACAGAAGTGTCCACACAGACGATAAGGCCAGTACTCCAGTGTTCAAAAAGCTATCTCACAGTCTCAGTGTCTCACGACAGAAGTGTCCACACAGACGATGAGGCCAGTACTCCAGTTGTTTAAAGCTATCTAACAGTCTCACTGTGTCTCGAGAATGAAGTGTCCACACAGACGATGAGGCCAGTACTCCAGTTGTTAAAAAGCTATCTAACAGTCTCACTGTGTCTCATGACAGTCGTGTCCACACAGACGATGAGGCCAGTACTCCAGTGTTCAAAAAGCTATCTAACAGTCTCACTGTGTCTCATGACAGTCGTGTCCACACAGACGATGAGGCCAGTACGCCAGTTGTTAAAAAGCTATCTAACAGTTTCAGTGTCTCACGACAGAAGTGTCCACACAGACGATAAGGCCAGTACTCCAGTGTTTAAAAAGCTATCTCACAGTCTCTCTGTGTCTTACGACAGGAGTGTCCACACAGACGATGTGGCCAGTACTCCAGTTGTTAAAAAGCTATCTCACTGTCTCACTGTGTCTAACGACAGAAGTGTCCACACAGATGATGAGGCCAGTACTCCAGTTGTTAAAAAGCTATCTAACAGTTTCAGTGTCTCACGACAGAAGTGTCCACACAGACGATAAGGCCAGTACTCCAGTGTTCAAAAAGCTATCTAACAGTCTCACTGTGTCTCACGACAGAAGTGTCCACAAAGACGATGAGGCCAGTATTCCAGTTGTTAAAAAGCTATCTAACAGTCTCACTGTGTCTCACGACAGAAGTGTCCACAAAGACGATGAGGCCAGTATTCCAGTTGTTAAAAAGCTATCTAACAGTTTCAGTGTCTCACGACAGAAGCGTCCACACAGACGATAAGGCCAGTACTCCAGTGTTTAAAAAGCTATCTCACAGTCTCTCTGTGTCTCACGACAGAAGTGTCCACACAGACAATGAGGCCAGTACTCCAGTTGTTAAAAAGCTATCTCACAGTCTCTCTGTGTCTCACGACAGAAGTGTCCACACAGACCATGAGGTCAGTACTCCAGTGTTTAAAAAGCTATCTAACAGTCTCAGTTTCTCACGACAGAAGTGTCCGCGCAGGTGATGAGGCCAGTACTCCAGTGTTTAAAAAGTTATCTAACAGTCTCGCTGTGTCTCACGACAGAAGTGTCCACAAAGACGATGAGGGCAGTACTCCAGTGTTTAAAAAGCTATCTCACAGTCTCTCCGTGTCTCACGACAGAAGTGTCCACACAGACGATGAGGCCAGTACACCAGTGTTTAAAAAGCTATCTCACAGTCTCTCCGTGTCTCACGACAGAAGTGTCCACACAGATGATGAGGCCAGTACTCCAGTGTTTAAAAAGTTATCTAACAGTCTCACTGTGTCTCACGACAGAAGTGTCCACACAGACCATGAGGTCAGTACTCCAGTGTTTAAAAAGCTATCTAACAGCTGTCTTACAGCTGTGTCTCACGACAGAACCATGACTCTTCATCGAGTCATAATAACATTTTGATGTAGATTGTATTGTTATAGGAAATTCTATGAAAGCAATATTTATGCTGTTCCCAGCCCGTTGTGGAGAAGTGTATATGGAAGTGTCACCGTAACCTAGTTAGTTCTTCTTCACTTTGGTTCAGACAAACCTCATATCTGTATAAGATATCCTATTTGGAATGTTCAAGTGCATTTGTAGCCGGTGATCTTAGAGAAAAAGCTCTGAGGCAATTAGTAAACCTCCTTGGAGATTCTTTTCCAGGGACAAGATTTTACTATTGCATTATCCAACAGTTAAACAGCTACACTACAAAAACCTATGTAGGAACTGAAACTGGTTGTCAGAATGAGATACTCTTCACGAGAGTTCACTGTTACACAGCATGAGCTTTAACATGTGCTGAAGGCAGAGGAGTGACATGGCACCAAGTATTCTTAACACTTTTGGAGAAAGAAACAATTAGACGGTGGTGTTGAACTCATTCACCCCTAACGTTTTATAATGATCATTTCCAACCTTGGAATTGGACGAGTTCAAATGCGTCTTCAGGGGTGAATGAGTTAACAGTGGAAGTGATGATGTATAATGCTACATAGATCAGGCGACCATAGAAATGATAAAACAGTTGCAGAAAAAACCCATGATGATATATATATTAAGGCATAAAATACAAAACAGTGGGCCTGTATTTATAAAATGGTTCTCATGCTCAAGCCAAGGTTCTGTGCTCAAACCTTCTCTTTGTATCTAACTATCATGTGACACGGCTAAAAATCAAGTGTAAACAATTGAAAATGGTAACTGGCTTTTTAAGTCTCTTCAAAATTTGCACAAATGATTGACAAAATGTGTTTTTGGTAATTAATTATATAATCATTGGAACAAGAAACTTCTTGAGCCAGAAGTTTTACCATGAAGTATCAACCCTAATTGACTATTTTATCTTTCAAATAAATATTTGAGGCAAGTTCACGCATTATTTATAAGCTGACTATTTTATCTTTCAAATAAATATTTGAGGCAAGTTCAGGCATTATTTATAAGCTGACTATTTTATCTTTCAAATAAATATTTGAGGCATTAGTTCAGGCATTATTTATAAGCTGGCTGTTTTATCTTTCAAATAAATATTTGAGGCAAGTTCAGGAATTATTTATAAATATTTGAGGCATTAGTTCAGGCATTATTTATAAGCTGACTATTTTACCTTTCAAATAAATATTTGAGGCAAGTTCACGCATTATTTATAAGCTGACTATTTTATCTTTCAAATAAATATTTGAGGCAAGTTCAGGAATTATTTATAAGCTGACTATTTTATCTTTCAAATAAATATTTGAGGCATTAGTTCAGGCATTATTTATAAGCCGACTTACTGTATACACATACATGTGCTTAATCAGAACTTATGTATCACCTCATTGAACAAGGTACTCCATGGAATTGACATTGCTGTTGTATGTTACAGGTTGGTAGACAACAGATGTGTTGTACAGCCAGAAGCTGGGGACCTCAACAACCCTCCAAAGAAGTTCAGAGGTAAACACTATATATATAGGGCAAAGCAAACAATTTGCAGCTCCTTTCGTTAAAACATCTGTTAATGTAGATATTTTTGTTATTTATACCAAAATCATTATCAGATATTGGATATTATATGTTCTGTTTATCTTTTATTCCAAATGATTTTAGCATACAATTTAACACTTTGGTAAAAACTTTGTGCATTCAAATCTCTCCTACCTCAGTACCTGTATGATACCGGACTCAAATGACTTTTAACATCAAGATATTCTGTCAAATCATACCTTGATCTGAAAAAAACATTCTTTTAAGTTTTCATGCGCGTAACAAAATATTGATCAAAACTGTTAAATTTTACATATAATATATGTATATAAATATCTATGGCATAAGAACCTGCGACATCAAATTATCTATCTCATAAGTCACAAATTCTCCATATATATCATCATATAAACATATTGTTTTCCTTTATAAGCTTATTGTTAATCTTAGTTCAGCTGAAATCTGTTCTAAGCTGTAATGATAAACAGTGAGAAATCCTGTTAGGCTCCACAGATGATGCATACAGATGCTGATCTCATGTCAGTAGTGCCACAGTGGATTGAAAGAGTTTTCATATGGTTTGGCTGTGTTGGTTACAGGACGTGAAGCAGTGCAGAAAATTGGAAAACTATTTTAGAATTGCAAAATGTACATGTATAAACAGTGGCCTCGAGGAAGATACTTCTGTTAGCCTAGCTATGAAAATATGTACCAGCACCTCTGTAACTCAGGGAGCAGGCTGCTTTGAGGAAGATGCTTACTTTTTAAAATTCATCCAAGCCATCTAAATATGTATAATAGTACCTTCCAAAAGGTGGAAGGGAGTGCTGAAATCTTTTACATTGTACTTCAGTGCTTAGAGGTTTAGGTGTAACGTGATATTGTGCTGGATTATTATAGCCATGGGTTACCTGTTGTTTAGCTGTGTACTGTTGTCTATAGGGGTCATCTATTCCTGTTAGATGTGTGTGTTTAGAAAAGTTTGGTTATTTGTTGTTTAGCTTTGCACAACTGGTCTACAGGTGTCATCTTGACTATCCTATCAGGGATGCAGACCTACAGGTGTCATCTTGACTATCCTATCAGGGATATGGACCTACAGGTGTCATCTTGACTATCCTATCAGGGATATGGACCTGTATTTTTAGGAGTCACCGAGTTATCTTCTGTGTAGCTTTGGGACAACTGCTGGTCTACAGTTGTGACTTTAGTACCTCTTGGATGTTTTGTTGTTGAGCAGCAGTGGAACAACTGTTGTACATGTCTGTGATCTATACCTGTCAGATGTATGTATTAGGAGAGGCTGAGTTACCTGCTGTTTAGCTGTGGGACAGCTTGTCCACACAGACCCTAACTTAATCATTATACAGATCAGCTTCTTGGGTAACAGATACAGACATGCACTCGATCCAAAGCCGAGTTGTCTTACAACAGTTCTTACCATGGATGACCCCTCACCTTGGATGACCCCTAACTTTGGATGACCCCTCACCTTGGATGAACCCCAACTGGTTAAAGAACTTGTTTATTATAGTGTGTAAGGCTGGATAATTATATAACCAAGTCCAGACTCATGCCTCACACAAAACAAAGTTACATACGGTACCCCCACCAGATGAATATCAGAGAAAAGTCAAGAGGCTGAATCTTCCTGTCATCTGGACAGAATTAAACAATTATATACCTGGGCTACTTCACATTATGTCTATTATAGATATAAAGCTGGTCAGTTAAAGGGTTAGGGTTACAGAGAAAAGAGAGCTATGTTAAGGTGGTCCTGTAATATTTGTATAACATGGAACATGTTGGTGTAGTTGAGTTAACTGATTATGCAGAAACTAATGCTGTGTTATGCAAACACTCTCATCCTCACCTTTCCTCAGAGGATTCTGGTTACTGATACTTAGTGCCCCACCAAGGAATGTACAATGTAGCTGATTATCTCCAGGATACACTACTTAAGTGATATGTTTGTGGAACGTAGGAAGTTAACTTCACTAAAATCCTTCGTTATTGTTGTTGTGTTCTGGTAATTATATAACAGAAAAATAAACTAACCGGCACGCCACACCAATGATTTGTCGTGGATGTATTACCTATACTTTTTACCATAATATGAACCCTTACACTTTAAACACAGATCCCTTTACTCTACATTGTAGGTGATTTTCTGCTGTCTGAAAAAGAAATAAGTCATTAATATATTAATCACAATAGTTTAATATGTATGTTAAACTAATAAATAGGTATTGACAAAAAAATGGATATGCAATGCATCCACCTTGTTCAATGGAAATAATTGTTCAATAAAAATATATTCCGGATGAGCTAAAAGATTACAACTCATCTTGAAGAAACATTCTTTTTTTCCAAAAATTCCTTTCGTGCGGTTGTGAGAAGAGTTCAAATGGGACAAATTTGAGTGCACTGGGAAATAATGAAATGCTTACCTGAAGTTTAAATAACCAACCACAGGTTGCCTGTACTATAAGGTTCCTATTTATAACATTCATAATCCTTATGTGTGACACTCAAGTCCTATAGAAATCTGATTTATCTTAGTATTACATAACAGGCAATTTATAGCCTTGAGAGTGTGCATGGTATAGAGCTTGGTTAAACCACAAGTTGTTGTATCACTATATATATACATGTATATCCAGCCCCAGCCTCATGATTGATGAATCAAACCACCCCGTAATCTGTGTGTATCAAACTTTTACTTAAAACAAAAACAAAGCAGGTATCAAACATGTTGTAATGCTTCAATACTAACTGATGTCCCATGTAAAGACTAGTTATGTCAGTAAAGGAAAGGAGGCGTCATATTTTTACATTCTACTGCTGGTCAGCTATGTTATAAAGGTCAATACTGTTGATATATTTTAGTTCATGGAAACATTGTAACAAAAAAGTTGTTAACAATTTCAATAAACCTTCATCAGTTGCATATATACAGGTATATATCAATTTCTAGTTTTTGCTTTGAAATCCAAGGTCATACTTAAATTTGTCTGAGAAATAGCTTGTGAACGGCCCACTAAGGTATGCTAATTAACTTCTTATGAATCAACTAGGAATTTATAATTAGAAGAAAATTTATCCTTGTCATGAAAGACCACTTATCTTGAGAGAAAACTTTTTATTGGTAAGTGCATGTGTGGCCTTGCAAGACAATTCATACATTATGTACTGATAACAATTTTCTGTATATCAATTTTCCTGGGGTTCTGATCATAGCGACATGTAATAAATACCTTCTAATATTTCCTGGCATTTAATCTTAGGAGTGTCCGTACCTATACCAAGTCATGTCAATTTAGGAAAAGAAAAAATAGAGTGCTAATTATAATATTGGCAATGAATAAAACACATGAATAATTTCTAACCATTCCATCTTTTTTACTAATGCATATTTTATATTGAACCCTTTTTATCTTGCTTGTTTATACAAGGATCATTATTTGTGATGCCAATATTTATTCTACTGTAGACTATAAACTATTTCCACTCTCTCACTGGAGCCAGTAGCTGTCAGAATATATAACATTGCATCTGATGTTTTATAAACAAGGATCCTGTGATCTGTGCTTCGTCCAAGATATAAAGGAACAGATATTGTCCATATGTATGCAAACATCTGACATTCTGAGTTTTGTCCCCATTTTTGTCTTGCTGTGACAAAGTAGCGGAAGCGAGACGAAGGTGCTTCTTTTCTGGTGGCGGCGGCCCGTCCATCGTCCGTCCGGCGTCAACTTTTTACTTTAAACAACTTCTTCTCAGTAACCAAAAGGCCTTGGGTACCGGTGATGATAATTGGCCAGAAGCATGCTTGGATGAAGGGCTACCAAATTTGTTCAAATAAATGACCTTGACTTGTATTCAAGGTCACATGGGTCAAACATGTTTAAAACCTTTAAACAACTTCTTCTGAATAATAGAGAGGCCTAGAGTGATGATATTTGGCCAGTAACATGCTTGGATGAAGGGCTACCAAGTTTGTTCAAATAAATTACCTTGATTTATATTCAAGGTCACAGGGGTCAAATATGTTTAAAACCTTTCAACAACTTCTCCTGATTAACTGGAGGCCTAGGGCGATGTCATTTGGCCAGTAACATGCTGTGATGAAGGGCTACCAAGTTTGTTCAAATAAATGACCTTGATTCAAATTCAAGGTCACAGGGGTCAAACATGTTTAAAACCTTTAAACAACTTCTTCTGAATAATCGAGAGGCCTAGGGTGATGATATTTGGCCAGTAACATGCTTGGATGAAGGGCTACCAAGTTTGTTCAAATAAATGACCTTCATCCGCTTTCAAGGTCACATGGATCAAATATGTTAAAATCTTAATACAACTTCTTCTGAATAACCAAGAGGCCTAGGATGATGATATTTGGCCAGTAACATGCTTGGATGAAGAGCTACCAAGTTTGTTAAAATAAATGACATTGACTTATATTCAAGGTGACAGAGGGCAAATATGTTTAAAACCTTTAAACAACTTCTTCTGAATAACCAATAGGCATAGGGTGATGATATTTGGCTAGTTGCATGCTGGGATGAAGGGCTACAAATTTGTTCAAATTAATGACCTTCATCTTTTTTCAAGGTCACAGGGGTCAAATATGTTTTAAACCTTTAAACAACTTCTGAATAACCAAGAGGCCTAGTATAATGCCATTAACATGCTGGGATGAAGGACTACCAAGTTTGTTCAAATGAATGACCTTGACATATATATGCAAGGTCACAGGGGTGAAACATGTTTAAAACCATTGAATGACTTCTTCTTAGTGAGCAAAGGGCCAAGACTTTCACTCTGTGATGATATTTGGCCAGTAAAATGCTGGGATGAAGGACTACCAAGTGAATGACCTTCACCCATATTCAAGTTCAAAGTGGTCAATTTATGTTTAAATCTTTAAATGATTTGTTCTGTATAACCAAAAGGTCCAGGGTAATGATATTTTGCCAGAAGCATGCTGGGTTGGAAGACTATAAACTGTTGAACCTAATGTCCTTGTTCGACATTCAAGGTCACAAGCGTCATATGTTTAAATCTTTTAGTAGGTTCTTATGAATCACAAACACTGATATTCTGCCTATAGTTGTATTTTAGTCCCAGGGGCTGGCAAAAGCACTCGTCCGCTCGTCCTGACGAGTGGTTTTTGCCGGCAGACGAGTGATTTTTTATAGTAACTAGTCCGTCGGACGAGTAAATTTTGAAGGAAATATCAGTTTTAGTAACTTTACTTATCGTTTTTTCTGTGTGATAATAAATGCCAAGCCTCTTCGACGCATTATCGTTATTTGTTTTCACTTTTGACAAGATTGGTGATTACCGAGTCTAACTCTAATTTACGCTTGTAAAGACCCGCCAATGCCATGACTGGCTCCTAAGAAGCAGGCGTTTAATTGATAACGTTAAAAACTGATCCATAACGTCCGAGTGTTCCGATGATTCTGTACTTGTTATAATGGATAAAAAACGAGACTATCCAAATGATTCAGAAGATGGCTATGACGACTAAATGTCAATGTGTTGAAATGACTAATCATTTGTGTTTATGCGTTACTTACGACTAATTAATTTGTGTTGAACTGTTCACATGTTATTATGGACTATTAAAACAAAACAAACAAATATTAACAGGTTTTGTGACTTTTAATTGTATGCCATACATTACAACACAATAATACATGTTAATTGTTAATATAATAGATACAATTTATATTATTTAAACAACATTTTAGTATAAAATTTTCGGACAAGTGAATTTTCCATCCGGACGAGTACTTTTTACCAGTCCACTTGCCCGAAGGACGAGTTCTTTTAAAAGTTTTTCCCGGCCCCTGAGTCCACTTTTAAGTGTGAGATTAATACCAGGTGAGCGATGCAGGCCCATTAGCCCTCTTGTTGTGTTTAACTTAGTTTCACTTAAAGTATAGGTGCTAGACCAACCAAACTTGGACCAGAGATGCATCTTAGGTATAGCGTAGTACATCTCGACCCATCCATCAAAGGCTGGATGCGGCCTACGTTTTCATTGTCCATTGACTTTGTCAGCATCTCCATCATCATTAAATTCTTGCGTTTAAGTTAGTTTCTCTGAAACTATAAGTGCTAGACCAACCAAACTTGCACCATAGACTGCATTGATGGTCAAAGCAGGGCACAGGCGACATATCAATCCGAATGGCTTGTGACTGTGTACTTTGGGATTTGCAGTAAGGTTTCCATTCTGAATTCTCACAGAGTTGATCATTCTGCGCTTCATTAGGTTTGAAAGGAAAGTGCTACATGTGTTGTCATTGAGTAATACACTTATAAAGTCATAAACAGGTTGATTGATAGACCTCTGAAAATCCCAAAAGTTGAGCCTACAGGTAGATTATAATAAAGATCAGATTATTATGTTTACAGTCCACCCCTACAGACTGGAATGAGATTATTACCGGGAAGTCTAATTTACATAAATCGGTCAGGCTGTATAGAGAAACACTGTGGCAGTATGGAGGTACAATGGCATTGAAAACCAAGTACATAAAAAGATTTCCATGTCACACTGATGGATACCTGTATAAGATGAGTTTCTGGATGAATCACCGTTTTTTTGTGTAAACTGAATAGGTGTAGGTGTGCGTCTTTATGCTTTTAAATTTAACAGGAAGCCCCATGTGTCCATATCTAGTTCTTTGTGAACTGGATTACATGTAGTGTGGGTTGCTATCACATACAGGGCTTATAGTGAGGCACTATTCAAAATGAAGTGAAAACTTGTAAATATTTAAAGGTTAAGCCCAAACAGGTGTATAAACTATCAGGCTGCACATAGATTGATGGAGCTTTCAGTCGTGAACTTGCTAGACCGGTTGGAACACCACTAGAGAGAGAAAACAGTCTATATCTAGACTGTTGTTTACCTGACACATTGTGCAGTTGTAGTGGGTATATAGATATGGTTTCCTTTAACACTTAAACAATTAAACCATTAGAAAAAGCATGAAGTATTTGATGTAACTGATATTTATGATTAAAAAAAATTAAATTGGAGATCTTAAATTAGCAAGCATGCAGCCATCAGTTTCCTTAAACTCGTGACAAAATGCCATTGTGTAAAGCTATATAGATAGTCAGTATTGATTTTGTCTCCAAAGTTAGTAAGCAAAGGGATGGAATGGTGGAAACATTGATCCTTTTTCTTTTGACATTTTCTAGCTATTCGTGTTCAAATTCTCAGTTCACATTTCTAAATGTCAGAGTCGGTACTTTTGTTTTGTATGTACATGTACAGCCATAAGGTGGTTGGTGTGTTAATTTGTCCTTCAAAAATTTCCAATACTCTCAAGAACAATTTTCTGTAGGAAATCCAGGAGAAAATTTGTTGTCAGGCACTTGAAAAATATGGCATGTTGACATTTAGATTGGCGTAGAAGTGAAGGTTTAGTGTGTGTGTGAGTTTTAATGTGCAGTGATTTTTCCTCCTCTTTTTGACAGGGGCCTCAAATTCACTGAAAAGGAAAAGAATTATGTGGAATATGATTTTAGTTTACCAGGTATTGTATTTGAATACTGTAGGTCATTGTCATTGTCAAAATAATTCTGGATTTCTTGCACTAAGTATACCCCATAACCCTCCACTTGCAACAAAGTAGTAGGGGAATATATACTGGAATCCGGTTGTCTGTCTGTAACAGACAAACTCCTCTTACTGTTTTTCACCCTAAAATTGTGCAAATACATTTAATATTTTGATTCAGGTAAGTTGCACCCCTTATGTAAAAACATTGTTCACAACACTCCTCCCAAAGTGCAGTACCAATTTGATCGACTCTTGGTACATGTTCACTGAACCTTCATTTTGAGGGGATGTCAATTAAGTATGGCAGTTGGTGTTACCTCCCCTTTTTATAGAGTTATGTACCTTTGTTTTAAAAAGTTTATCACACTGCTCCTCCCAAAGTACTAAACTGATTTGAATGATACATAGTGTTACACTTACAATGAGTTGATGTGAATAAAGTTTATAAGTTGAAATTACCTCCCTATTCATCATGGAGTTATGCTTTATATTTGAAATATTTGGGGGGTGGGGGTATATATATATATGTATGAGCCTTTCTGCTGACAGTTCTAGTTTATGCATGTCTTGGTCTGTAATGTCCAACTGCTATGTATCAAGTTGTTTGTCTGAAATGACTTTCAAGGTCAAATACCAAGATCAATGTTTTGGAACAACAATAACAACTTTCCATTTTGCTAAATACGAAGTCAGATTAACAGAGGTCAAAAATTCAAATATTCAATTAATTTTCTTGGTTAAGAACTTAGATTTGCACAATCATTTTAAATATTAAAAAGAAAATGATGACATATTGCTTTGGGTTATGTTTTGAACATTAAATATACCAAATATCGGCATGTATCTGTACATTATACGATGTCAGTATTTAAATGATTGTTGGTGAATAGTATTGGTTCTGACATTGGTACAGATTTGAAGTAGAATCTGAAATGTAAGCATGAAGTGTCATTGTGAGTGACCTTAGTAAATGTATCGTCATCTCCAAGCAGACACATATGTGTAATGTAAAAAACTAGAGCCAGTTACCAGGAAGTTACATTCCATATATATTATCTAGGTTTATGTGCATGCATGCAAATTCTACTTGTTTCAAATACACCCAGCTACTTGTAATTATACAAAACACTTGTGAGATTTCCTGAGATATTACATTCCAATTACCGTATTTATCTGACAGTAAGCCCATGCCTGGTATTGTGAGATTTCCTGAGTTATTACATTCCAATTACCGTATTTATCTGACAGTAAGCCCATGCCTGGTATTAAGCCCATTCATATATATTGCAGTAGAAATGCAAACAATTGATATTTCATTGTCCTGTTATAGATCCGTCTCCTACTTTGAATGATTGTGTTGGCCCCTGGGCCTAGTGCAGTATATATATATATACACACACAATACCTTTTAATAACATATTGCGGAATATCATTAAACATTTTGTGATTGTTCCTACAAGTGGATCTGATAACATCAGATGTATCTTGGTATCATATTTGAAAAGTAAGTGGTCAGGAGAATAAGAAACAGAGCCGACACCTTGTGTATCTTGTTTACTTCAAAAATATTCAGATATATATTTAAAGATTGGAATCTCATGATGACGTTATAAATAATAGAGGAATAGAAAAATGTGTTATACATTTCATTTCAGGTAGTATCTAATTAACTTTAATTTGCCACATTACAACGATGTAAAATATTTTGTTGACATCAATATGTCAAAATGGGTTGTATATATGATATGTTTATTTGGGTTTACCTAAATAATTGTTTGTACACAATATTTACTATCATCTACGCTACCATATTTGGTAAGGTGTACAGTTTGTCACGTGACCTGGTTGACCAATGGTCATTCAGCCTATAGGGATAGCCCTATTGATATTGTCTTCAGCCATTTTAAGCAGTCTCAGTATCAGCACTGTCTGTTTTTGTCCCTCCCAGTTTTTTAACGCTTTTCCGCCAGTTTACATATACAACACTAGTTTCTTACGAGGTTTAAGTTTTTATTCTACTTAGCTTTGATTTACTACGCTTCACTATCGTGTTTATGTAGCGTTTCACCACGTGCTTTTGTTGACATTTTTCACGTGCGATTTTGTGTCAAGGACGTTTCGTGTTCGTTGGGATTTTCAAGGAGTACACGGATTTTCTGTTACTGTTTGCAGATCTTCTACCTTCAGACGTTAGTTTTTCTAGGAAGCCTTGGTTTTCTACGACAGACTAACTAGTGTTTCCGTACGTTGCCTACGTGTTGTGCTGTCATTTTCACGTGTGATATTACTGTGTCAAGGACGTTCTTGATCGTTGGAACTAGGATTACTTGGAATTTCTGTGCACTTCCCTGCACTTCGGTTTATGTGTTTCGGTTGGTGTGTTTATATTGACGCTTCTTTAATCGAACAGTAGTTTTGGACCTCTGAACAACTTTATTGGATCGAAGTGTGTGTATTTTTGAACCACGTATCATGGCGCCTAAAAGTAAAAAAACCCGAGCAGCGCCGTACGATCCTGAACTCTTGGAAAATTGGACGTTAGCTAGGTTGAAAACCGCCTGTTTAGAACAAGGGATCTCGTTCGCAAGTAACGTTCGTAGGTTTGCTTTGGTCAAGCTGCTTCGGGAGAAGCGGGGATCTCCCGAGGAAACTGGGTCAACTCCGCGTCACTCCATTCTTCCTCAAGGTGCGCGATCCCAGAGTTCCGTGCGTGACGTCAGCCAAGATGGCGGCCCCCATGGTAATAACAATTTGGCAGCTATTATATCAACTTTGGCCGAGTCAGTTACGGTGCTGACAAACAAAGTGGACTCACTTGAAACTAAATTGAACTCTGTTGTGCCTCTGGTTACTAATCCGCTTGCCAGGGAACTTTCTACCTCAGATCGGCCGAACTACCCAGATGTAAACACACCTGCTACCTTCCGTGATTTCTCTCGCGACACTGGAGAGTATTCACTGTCAACTGCCTACTCACGTTTCCACAACTTCGCAAGGAACCCGCCCAGCGCGGCAGCAGGAAGCGTCGCCCAGTTGGAAACGCCAGATACTACCGCCACGAGGACTACTTTTGGATATGCTGCCCACACCCTGCCTCTAGTGGAAACCGTTTCCCAGGCACTTAGGAACAGTATCATAACAGGTAGGGATGTAAATTTAGCGGCGCTCCTCATCCCTTACTACAGAGGTTCAGGGGACAGTGGCTTTCAGGAGGCTAAGCCAGATCATAGACTTAACCGAACACTTAGCATCGGGGAGTTCATCCAAGCCTTTGGCACTTACAAACATGTGATGTGTAATACCTTTCCCCATAGACGAGTCGAGTTAGACATGTACGAAAGGGACCTAATTGACATGGCTTCTCGTTTCCAAGGTTCTGGCTTTTATGAGTACCATTGCCAGTTTTCTCTGCGCGCAGCAGCCTACCTACGATGCAACAATGTTTGTGTCGACTGGTCCATACGTGACAATACCCTCTTCAGCAACATTTTTACCAACCGTCAGGCAAATTCTTGTTGTTACTGTGGCAGCTCCCTTCATCTGTCTGCATTTTGCCCTGCTTCTCCACCAAACCATAGTGCTCCTATTAACAGCAGTTCAAGTAAAACATCCAAGGACCGTGTTTATGGCAACACAGTTGATACCCATGGCAGACCTAGGATGTTTCATGGCAGCAAAGAAATCTGCAATAACTTTAACGGGGAAAGGGGCTGTCAAGTGCAATCTTGTTCTAAATCACATGTGTGTTTATCGTGTAAAAACAGTCATCCCAAAGCCAACTGCCCTTTAGAGAGAACTGGGACTCAACACAAGAAGAAATGATAGACTTAGTGGCTACTACACCAGTGTGTATTGAGACCCTTAAATGTGAACTGCAATCTCACCCTGATCAAAATTTTGTTGCTATGTTGACTGAGGGTCTGTCTCAAGGTTTCGATACTGGATTCGAATATCTACCTGGTCAGTCTTTTCAGTGCCGAAACTTACTGTCCGCCTTAAAAGACCCAGCTGTAGTTTCTGATTTAATTCAGAAAGAAATTGCTAAAGGTTTTGTGATAGGCCCTTTTGACTCTATTCCGTTTGTTACCAGTAGAATAAATCCCATTGGCATTGCTGTACATAAATATTCACAGAAGAAGCGCCTAATTGTTGACATGTCTGCTCCTCACAATGACCCAGATAATCCTAGCATGAATAGCCTAATAGACAAAGACAGTCACTCGTTGAAATATGTGAAGATTGATGATGCTATAACCTTGATTAAAGGCCTGGGTCAAGGCACACTGCTCATGAAAACTGATATATCAGATGCTTTCAAGCTTTTACCTATTAAACCAGAGTTGTGGCCCTTACATGGTATTTCATGGGAAGAGAAGTTTTATTTTTTTGTAAGACTTGTTTTTGGCAGTAGATCAAGTCCTAAACTTTTTGATAACCTTTCTGAAGCTATTTGCTGGATTGCTCACAATGTATACAAAATAGACAATGTATTACACTTGCTTGATGACTTTTTAGTGCTTGAACCCTCTATAGCGGATGCGAATGCAACCATGGAGAAGTTTTTAAATATTTTTCATAGATTAAATATTCCCATTGCCAAACACAAGACAGAGGGACCCTGTACAGCTCTTGAGTATTTAGGTGTGTGTCTAGATTCTGATAAAATGGAAGCAAGACTTCCTTTGGCTAAAGTTATCAGAATTCGTGAGATTTTAGACAGTTTTGCCCGACGGAAAACATGTACGAAGCGCGAGCTTTTGTCCCTTCTAGGCCATATGAACTTTGCCAGTAGAGTCATACGTCCAGGACGTTCCTTCGTATCTCACCTCATCAGCCTCTCTACCACAGTACCCAAACTGCACCATCATGTAACTTTGACATCAGCTGTGCGTTCAGATTTAGCTATGTGGTCCTTATTCCTCTCTTCATGGAATGGTGTTTCATTCTTTTTGGATGACAACATTACATTAGCTGCAGACATGGATATCTTCACTGATGCTACCCCCACATCTTTTGGAGGAATACATGGCAATAGCTGGTTCCAAGGCTATTTCCCCCCTGATTTTCACCAGGAGCAACACTCTATGGCACTTTTTGAGTTGTACCCTATAGTGATGTCATGTGTTGTGTGGGGGCATTTGTGGTGTAGAAAGAGAATCCTTTTCTACTGTGATAACTTGGCTACCGTGGAAATCATTCATAAAGGGAGATCCAAGATAGCTAGCATTATGAAGCTTATGAGACGTTTGACTTTTCATGCTGCTAAGCACAATTTTGCTATCCATGCCAAGCACATACCTGGTAAGCAAAACTCTACAGCTGATGCTCTTTCTCGTTGGCAGATGACCAGATTCCGGGAACTGGCACCCTACGCAGACCAGCAACCCACACCTTGCCTCCCCATGCAGGAGCTGATGATGGCTTAAGTGCAGACCTCGCTCATTTGTGGGACCATTCCCTCAGCAAGTCCACACTTGCAACCTATAAGTCAGCATTATCGTGTTTCCTGTCATTTCTTGCCATGCGCTGCCTCGTGGCACCTTGGATTTCAGGAACCCTTCCAGTGATCTCAGAGGACATTTTGTTAGCTTTTGTGACTTTTTGCCAAGCATCTTTAAACTTTAGATTTGATACTATCAAGCTATACTTGGCCGGCATACGCTATCACTACATCCGACAAGGGCAAGGTGATCCTTTAAGTAATTCACTACGCCTGCCATACATTCTACGTGCTGTTAAGAGAACACAGAACAATATTCCTAATGTACATCGACTCCCTATTACCTTTCCTATATTGTCAAATTTATGTACGGCTCTTCATTCAGGAGTATTTACTCCTTTTGTTGACCTCATGTTAGCATGCACCTTTAAAACTGCATTCTATGGTTTTTTACGATGTGGGGAATTCACTTGCAGATCATTCAATGGGAATTTTGTTAAAGTTGGTGATATTGTAATTGCAGATGACAAGTCAAAATTTTCCCTAAGATTACGATCTTCTAAAACAGATCCTTTTGGTAAAGGCGTGTCAATTTTTATTTTTGAAAACAAGCCTCTATATCCTGTTGATACCATGCACAAGTATTTGACCATGAGGCATCAACAAGGTGCTGACGTTGATGCACCTTTATTTCTTGAAAATGAGTGCAGTTATAGACCTCTGACTAGGACTACCTTCTTGTGTTACCTGAAAGATACTTTGAGCAGACTAGGCTATGAAGATAGATTTTTTAGTGGCCATTCTTTTAGAATTGGTGCCTGCACCTCAGGGGCAGCAGGAGGGGTCGAAGGTCATGTCCTCCAAGTTTTGGGTAGATGGAAGTCTGACTGTTTCACTCGTTATATACACACCCATCCTTCCACTATTAAACAGGCCCAGGAAAACATGAATATATCGGAATCTATGTAACCTACCATGTGTATGTATTTTTATATGTGTAACCATTTTTTATGTAATATTTCTGTTTTACAATTCTTGGGGGCTCTCGCTCTGTTACTTCACATTTACATTTGTATCTGTAACCTTCGTTCGATTGGACATGTAATTCGGGAATTATACCCCCAATTCATTATATGCTTGTTGTTGTATTTTTATTTTTGCAATCATAACCAGTTTGTGTGCCTGCCGGGGAGCACCCCCTTTAAGTCACGTACATTTCTTAATCCTGGTTTGCTTTTTGATAATCTAACATAGTTTTAGGGTAGGTGACTTAGGGCGTGCTTAGCTAGTCAGAGTATAACTGTGTAAGTGCCTGTTGGGGATCGCCCTGTAAACCATGTTTCTTACTTATACTCTGAACACTCAGGCACCGGGGTCGCTCGATGCCTGTTTGCAGGGCCGCCTGTTAGCTACTCGCTCCACAGCTTGGGATCGCTCAAGCCCTGGGGATCACCCCACAACTTATTCTAGTCACCAGCTTGAGATCGCTCAAGCCGGGGATCGCCCCACTCTTCTTTTAAGTTAAGTGTGTTGGTTTTTAATTTCCTGTTGCTGTAAATAGATATGTTTGTAACCAACTATGTTGTAGTTAGTTTAAGTAACAGAGAGCAGCCCCTAAGAATGCCAAAAGATAACTAATATAACCTGAACAAGTTACTTTAAATTTAGACTCAATAAATTTTTGAACTTTAATTCTTTGTTTTGTTGTGTATAAAGTTGCCAGTTTCAAAATGGTTTCAATTTGCCCTTTGACCAATGATTATACTTTTACTGTGTACAGTTGTGTGTATCGGAGTACTGATTTAAGGCTATATATATCAGTACATATAGTACATTTACAGTACACAATATCTGTTTATGTTATGTTTAGATCTTTGTACTGTAGATTGATTTCACAGTTGATGGCCAGGTTATTAACACTTTTTGGAGATAGCACTTAGAATCAGATAATTGATCTGGATAAAACCATTTCGTGTTAAATGGTGTTTTTCCCCATCTTACTACATACTGCATTCCTGAAAGTAGAATAGGAGAATAGATTGGATTTAGTATGGAGAAGACATCCACGGGTGAATTCTTGGAAACCCTCAGTTGGATGTAAAACAAAATGTTTTCATTGTCCTCGTTAATGACTAATCAATAGAAAATTTCTTTTGAAAAAGGAAAGAAAATCAAATTATCTTCACAGTTATCTTTCTTTCCATACAGTTAACCAATTTACTTTAACCTGTTACCATCTATAACAAGCACCTGCTGTCCTCTGTCCATCTCTCATCATGGCTGGCTCGCTGTCACCAGCAAGAGTGATGAAAGCTTTAGTGGAAGGTCAGTCAGGCCAGCCATATTGAGGAGTCTGGCTGTATCAAGGCCGTGTGCGGGAGTGTCATGGTAACATATTAATTTGACTGGGGACCAGAAGGTGGCAAGACATTCAGTATACATCACATACAATCCATGCACGAAATATTTACTGGAAATCTTACCATAACTGCTGGTACTTATCGAATCGAGTGCCTGTCTGATTCTCTTTTTACAAATCTTTTTTTTTTCTGTTTGAATGAGTTTTTAAATCTCCTAGCTCATACACCATTCGGTCTCTAATACTTTCTGATTCTCCTTATCTATAAAACGTAGGATGTACTTCAGGTTCTCTGGGAGAAGTAATGCTAAGGTATCACTTTATTGATTTTGTCAAACAGTACATGTATATATACTTTTGGTCATCCGAGCAGACCTTATTGATGCATATTGAAGGATTGTGTCAGGTAAGTCCAATTGTTACATGCATTGCTTAGATTGGATTTGGGTCAATCCTATTGTAATAAGTGTTGAGTCTTGTCAAGTGTGCATTTTTAAGCCACTTCCTGTGTACCAGGAAAACACTTGATCATGATAGATAGATATTTTGTATGTATGTTATAGATATGTTTCATTGTCCTCTTCAGTCTAAGTCCTTAGAAGATGTTTTGTTATCTTCCATTCTCCAAGACCTAGAGGACCAACATCCTGTTGATATGGAGCAGTCTGAATAACATTGTATATATGTGATTTGCAGGTGGGATTTCCAATACACATTGCAAAAGAAAGTCTATAGATACTGATATAATGTACCACAGCTGGTATTATAGATACTGATACAATGTACCACAGCTGGTATTATAGATACCGATATAATGTACCACAGCTGGTATTATACATACTGATATAATGTACCACAGCTGGTATTCTAGATACTGATATAATGTACCACAGCTTGTATTATAGGTACTGATATAATGTACCACAGCTGGTATTCTAGATACTGATATAATGTACCACATCTGGTTTTATAGATACTGATATAATGTACCACATCTGGTATTATAGATACTGATATAATGGACCACAGCTGGTATTATAGATACTGATACAATGTACCACAGCTGGTATTATAGATACCGATATAATGTACCACAGCTGGTATTATAGATCCTGATATAATGTACCTCAGCTAGTATTATAGATACTGATATAATGTACCTCAGCTTGTATTATAGATACTGATATAATGTACCTCAGCTTGTATTATAGATACTGATATAATGCACCACAGCTTGTATTATAGATACTGATATAATGTACCTCAGCTGGTATTATAGATACTGATATAATGTGCCACAGCTGGTATTATAGATACTGACATAATGTACCACAGCTGGTATTATAGATCCTGATATAATGTACCTCAGCTAGTATTATAGATACTGATATAATGTACCACAGCTGGTCTTATAGATACTGATACAATGTACCACAGCTGGTATTATAGATACCGATATAATGTACCACAGCTGGTATTATACATACTGATATAATGTACCACAGCTGGTATTCTAGATACTGATATAATGTACCACATCTGGTTTTATAGATACTGATATAATGTACCACAGCTTGAATTATAGATACTGATATAATGTACCACAGCTGGTAGTATAGATACTGATATAATGTACCACAGATGGTATTATAGATACTGATATAATGTACAACAGCTTGTATTATAGATACTGATATAATATACCACAGCTGGTATTACAGATACTGATATAATGGACCACAACTGGTATTATAGATACTGATATAATGTGCCACAGCTGGTATTATAGATACTGACATAATGTACCACAGCTGGTATTATAGATCCTGATATAATGTACCACAGCTGGTATTCTAGATACTGATATAATGTACCACAGCTTGAATTATAGATACTGATATAATGTACCACAGATGGTATTATAGATACTGATATAATGTACCTCAGCTGGTATTATAGATACTGATATAATGTACCTCAGCTTGTATTATAGATACTGATATAATATACCACAGCTGGTATTATACATACTGATATAATGTACCACAGCTGGTCTTATAGATACTGATACAATGTACCACAGCTGGTATTATAGATACCGATATAATGTACCACAGCTGGTATTATAGATACCGATATAATGTACCACAGCTGGTATTATAGGTACTGATATAATGTACAACAGCTGGTATTATAGATACTGATATAATATTCCACAGCTGGTATTATAGATACTGATACAATGTACCACAGCTGGTATTATAGATACCGATATAATGTACCACAGCTGGTATTATAGATACCGATATAATGTACCACAGCTGGTATTATAGATCCTGATATAATGTACCACAGCTGGTATTATAGATCCTGATATAATGTACCTCAGCTAGTATTATAGATACTGATATAATGTACCTCAGCTGGTATTATAGATACTGATATAATGTACCACAGCTGGTATTTCTAGAATGCATCCACATATTCCAATGCATTCCCACTTAAATTAATCTTCCTCTTTCTCAGTTCTTTTTGTATCATTCCCTTTCAAAGTTTTTGGATCACTATTTATCATGATGTTTCACAATTGTCATTGACAAAGTGCTAGATTTTATAGAGCTAGAGTCGACACGTCAATACAAACAATGGCTATAGGTATCCGTTATAAGATAAAGATTCAATTGTGTATCTTTGTGTTTGTCATCCTTTCGGACAAAAATATATTAACATTTTTGATGAGAATTTTCTTCAGATCATTTGATATATTATAATAATATATTTATGGCTGTATGCCTAGTTAATCCATTCCTTTGATGTATTAACATAGTAGTGGTGCGGCCTGCTATAAACGTGTTGTGGGAAGCCTGTGTATATTTACTGTAAGATGCGTGTATCACTGTTACAGTGCAGTAAGCTATAAGTACACGACATTATCTGAGAGTCGGTACTGTCTTATTAGAGGATACATCTATCAGAAGACACTTTGTCTAATTACATCACCTAAAGCCTGTGTAAATGTGCCCTGCTGTCATATAACTATTAACCTGTTGCCCTCACCTTGTTAGACAAACGTGTCCAGGTGCTTCTCATTAATCTCCTCCGCTGACATCTGTAGAACTAACAGAGTTGTCTCCCTTCCTTAGACCATACAAGTGCTGTATCTGTGAGAAACACAGAAAAATACTCTTGTATTGGTGGAATGTATAACAGATTATACTTGTATAGATCTGTAGGTATGATACTTTATATATGTTGCCCACATTCAAATTTAGAAACCTTCATGAACTGAAACGGGAAACTATCCCTGTCATATCCTGGAAATTCTGTAGCATCTTAATCACATAATTTTCATAATGAAACAAAATTATACAGGTGATGAGACTTTATTTTATGTTTGCAGACTGCCTATTCAAGATATGTCCTAATAGCCGGTATTCAGCCCAGAACCAGTTCTGGACGGCCCAGCGTACTGGGGGCACAAACCTTACAAGTGCCCCAGACACAGTTCTCCTGAAAAAACTCCATGTAAGTGATCCATGACCTTGCAGCACACCTGCATGTATAACTATAAACACTGTGTTTTTCGAAAATTCTCAATTAAAATTTTCCTACACTTTGCAACACATCAAACATTGTTTACCTCACAATCCACTGCACCTATATTTAAACACTGTGCCTCTGAAAAAGTACCATACAAATCTGTTAGGTTTACCTGGCATATATTATTGATGAACATAGGTCACATTTTTAATTGCAGTGTGGTTATATATCTGAAGTTTTCGAAATGGCAAATCAATATGCCACACAGGAAGTTAACCTCTATAGTAATTAAGTTAGAGTAAGTTGTAACCTACAAATCAAAGGAGTCTGAAGTAGTGAAATGTGGATGTAAATCTCCGGTTTGGTTAATTTGTATGGACCTGCTTTATACCAGGAAACTTTCGCCCCAACAAACATTCACCATTCACTGTTAAAATCTGTGTTCACTGTCATGCTTAATTCGCCCTTAATGAGGAGCCTGTGAAAAGGGCGAAATTTAAACAGCAGCCAAACTTTCCTGGTATGCAGTAATGTTGTCCAACTGAAGCTTGTCTTCTGTTCAAGGGAACTCCAACTATACGAATAGTCTGAGTATATTGTTCATACCTTATACAGGAATTGTGCATGTTTTGGTTTATTGATTAAAGACACGTTTGAAAAGTACACAAAAATTGATGCAAATTTGAAAACACACAAAAATTGATGATATTTGAAATGTAGTCAAGAATTAGTGACACATTTGAAAGATACACAATTGGTGAAACATTAGAAAGGTACACAAGATGTGATGACACATTTGAAAAGTACACAAGACGTGATGACACAGTTGAAAAGCACACAAGAAAGCCTGTATTAATTACACTCGAGCAATTTAGAATCTTGGCAAAATGTGAATTGAACATTTGGAGGGAGATAATTCAAGCACAGAAGTGAAAAGTTTAGGGACACATAAAAGCATCACGTCAGACCTACCATTATTGATATGTGAGGTTTTATTTTTGTAGCATGCAGCAGAATTGGAGAAAAAGCAGAATGAGGGAGAAAACAAGAAACAGCTGGGATCAGAAATCCAGTATGGTAACGTGATACAGGTAAAACAAAGCTTGTATTGAGTCAGATGTTAACACATGTCTTCTTCATAAGTTAACTCATTCACCCCTGAAGACACCTTTGAACTTTTCTCATTCAAATGTTGGAATAGTTCATTATAACATTTCAGGAGTGAATGAGTTAATCGTGTTATGAGGTATTCACATGAGACATCTTTAAGGAATTTGGTTTTTATGGGATCTGACATTTAGCCACATAATCAACAGAATATTTCATGCTGAGAGCAATTTCATTTTTAGCTCACCTTGCCCGAAGGGCCAAGTGAGCTTATGCCATGGTGCAGCGTATGGCGTCCATCGTCAGTCACCTTTTTCCTTTAAAACGCTACTTGTCCTTAATGGCTCAAAGGATTTTGACCAAATTTGGTCTGGAGCATCATTGGCCAAAGGGTTCTCAGTTTTGTACAAACAGAGGGTATGGTTCCCCGAGGGGGCAGAGGGGCGGGGCCAAATAGGGGGAAAATAGGAAAATCTTTAAAAATCTTCTTCTCAACCAATAGAAGGATTTTGACCAAATTTGTTCTAAAGCGTCTTTGGACAAAGGAGCCTCAAGTTTGTATAAACAGAGGGTGTGGCCCCTCTGGGGGCAGAGGGGCAGGGCCCAATAGGGGAAATAGTAGGGCTGTAACGATACACCTAGGCCACGATACGATACGTATCACAATATCTACCCACGATACGATACATTCTGATACGATACAGGATGACGAAATGTTATGCTTCCTCTTCATATGCGTCGGCATGTTTGATGTGTTCCCTGACTTGTAACTTAAATCTAGGAAACATATACGGCAAGTGGAGAATGATTTTCCATCGGGGACATTTAGCAAGAATCCAAAATGCTGCAAAACAGGCAAGCGAAAAGAAGCGGGAGTTTTTTTTAAAACTTTATGCTGCTTCATTGATTTCTATGTAAAGGGACACCACTGCTGAATTAGTTATTGAAATATAAATTGATTTACTTAATTTTTCAAATGTGCATAACTTGAAAAATGTATGTTATATGTAAATAAAAGTTATATGAAATTGTTCGTTATTGTCTCTAGTTTACATTAGCGTTTTCAATTCTAAAGTTGCTTCAGTATTTACCTGTACAGGTGGTAATAAAGGTAAGAAAGGGTGAAACTTTTAATTAATCGTATTTAAGCACCAGAAACATCATAATTTAAAATTATTTGTGTCAGCGAATGTGATTGGCAAATGATATCAGAGATTATAAACTTCATTTATGACATAAGACGCTGTACATTTACATGGAGATTCTCAGGTATTTCATCAAGAATTGCATGTGATTTGCTACAGGTTTCAAGACGTCATTCAATATGTTAACTGTCACAGTCGGTATATAGATATAATTGTTAACTACGGTCTACTTTATGATTAAATCATCGATATAAAGTTTGAAGAAATCAATCAGCTCAAAACGTATCAATGTCAATGTTCAATTCTGCCTCACCTGCAGACGACATGTGCGCCTTGGTCCCCCAATATTTTCCTGTTTGCGTAGGGCACAAAGCCGTTCATTGGAAAGTCACATATTATGTTACACCGAAGTATTTCCACATCAACCATGTCAAACCCTTCAAAACCTTTATTATCATCGTAGGTAACGCTGGAGAGTAAATGTTTATGTTGCACATGTATGGTTAAATTCCGGAAGTCAGGTAATACTAAAAACCGAACCAAACTGAAACACGGAAAAAAACATATCGTACACCGAACCGAAACAATTTAGCGCGGTTTTCGGTGCACCGCGGTGTATCGTTACAGCCCTAAGAAATAGAGGAAAATTTGTTCTCCTAATATACATGTGAAGGGATTTAAACCAAATGCAGTCTGAAGCATGCTTAAGGACAAAAGTATCATTTTTGTATAAACTGCGGTGTGTGGACCCCCTTCTTTGGGGCAGATGGGTGGGGCCCATTAGGGGAAATAGATGAAAACATTAAAGATCCTTCTCCTTCTGTACCGATGAAGGGATTTTAACCAAACTTGTTCTAGAGCATCTTTGGGTAAAGGGAATTTAATATCTATAAATGGAGGATAAATAACCCTTTGATTAAACCCTGACAGCATCTCTGTCTATTGATGTTGTCAATTAGTCAATAACTTCATTTGGTTAACTCAATAACAGATTAAATACTTATTTAGATATTTAGCTCCTAAAAAAATCATCATAATTTGCAATCAAAGGTTTAAAAACATAATCTGTCGGATGCTTTTGAGTTAACATGCCAGAGAGATGTTGATGTTTTGATGTGTGTATGTTGTAATGCCTGGTGCTGGCTTTGACATTCCCTAGCCACTGATTCCAATTAGAAAATGTCCACTATACATTTGCAATGCCAGCTATTTTAGAAATCACTATATCCCATTGACTTCCTCTTAACAGATTCATCATAACTGCTCTGTGCAGCTGATGAAGCTGACACAGATAGGTGATACTGATAACTTGGTTAGCTATAATTATATATTTTCCCAGCAGACTTGGCAGCAATCAGGCAGTTATTGATCGCGGTGCCAACATCTCATAACTCTTGACAGGTCCCCAGCATAATATACGTTATTATCAATAGAATGATCGCATGTTCACAGACAAACTAATTTCTTTTAGTTTCACTGATTTTCCTGTATGCAGTCTTAAATCTTGCAAAGAATGACAAGACAGTTGAGTTACTTGTCCAAGATGTTTTCCACGTGAAAAATCATTGGTCTCTTTATATAGACATGGATATGACAATAATGCTATTATAAAAACAGTGAGAATGTCACATTTAGGTAAAGTTGATGTGTCAGCTGATCTTACTAATATGATAGAGCTCAGGTTGGCAATATATAAATCCATAAACGTCAGTGTGAAAATAGTGATAATGTTTGAAGTAGGAAGACATATAGTCAGGCTCACAATTGTAATGTCAGTCTAGCTAGATTGCACATGTAACAGCAGCACTCTAGATCTCTGCTACGTTTTCCTGACATTTGTTTGATGAAGTAGGGTAAAACAAGAAACATATTTCACTACGCTCTCACATTACATCAAATTGTCATGTATAATTATCGGTATTGTCAAACAAGGTTTTTATTTCAAAATTGGTACATGCCAAATATTTTCATTATAAGTAATAAGAGATCAACCCAGTATTACATAAGAGTTTTTTTAGGAACTTTTTGTTGTCAGAACATTCTAATGATATCTGATGCTTCTATATTACTCTGCTTTGGTTCTCCTTTCTCTTATAGGAGGGCTAAAACTTGATCATGTAGTGCAGAGCCCAGATCTGACTACAATCAGCGCTAGAGTTTGATGTATTGATTTTCTGTTATCACTGGACTTCATGAAAGAATCATGTATTTTTTGTAATCTCTCATCTTCAATAGATGAGGAATTTTGCCCCTATATAACTCTGTACATGATGCCTGCTTTCAAACACTATCCGTGTAAGTTTGAGAAAGATAGCCAGACTTATCACTTGTTCCTGGTTTTACCAACTAAACTCCATAATAAATGCAGGGATTTGGCACTTAATTAAGTTGTGGGAAACAGAATTATGTGAATTTAAACCTCACGTTTGTCCTTAAAACCCCCCATTTTAGCAGCAAACACCTGTTTGATGTTTAAGTCACTCCATCTGAAGAGTAACAAAATAAATGATTAAGTCACTTCATCTAAAGGTAATTACACAATGCCTTTTTTGATGTTTTAGTTTCTAAATCTAAAGATCTAGAGTAACTAACAAATACCAGTTTGATGTTAGTTACTTCATCTAAAGAGTAACAAATACGAGATTGATGTTAGTTACTTCATCTAAAGAGTAACAAATACGAGATTGATGTTAGTTACTTCATCTAAAGAGTAACAAATACCAGTTTGATGTTAGTTACTTCATCTAAAGAGTAACAAATACCAGTTTGATGTTAGTTACTTCATCTAAAAAGAAACAAATACCAGTTTGATGTTAGTTACTTCATCTAAAGAGTAACAAATACCAGTTTTGTGTTAGTTAATTCATCTAAAGAGTAAAAGATACCTGTTTGATGTTATTTACTTCATCTAAAGAGTCACAAATACCAGTTTGGTGTTAGTTACTTCTTCTAAAGAGTAACAAATACGAGACTGATGTTAGTTACTTGATCTAAAGAGTAACAAATACCATTTTGATGTTAGTTACGTCATCTAAAGAGTAACGAATACGAGTTTGATGTTAGTTACTTCATCTAAAGAGTAACAGATACCTGTTTGATGTTAGTTACTTCATCTAAAGAGTAACAAATACCTGTTTGATATTCCAGTTACTTCATCTAAAGAGTAACAAATACCAGTTTGGTGTTAGTTACTTCATCTAAAGAGTAACAAATACCAGTTTGATGTTACTGTAACAAATACCTGTTTGATATTTCAGTTGCTCCATCTAAAGAGTAATAAGTATCTGACTGTAAACAAGCGTCTGCCTGCCCTACTGGAGAAGAATGCGATGCGAGTGACCTTGGACACAGCAGGAAATGAAGGGTCATGGTTTTACATTATGCCCTTCTATAAGCTTCGCCAGGCTGGTGATCCGGTACGTTGTGGTGCATCCCATTTCCAAAGTTGTATTTTTTTGTCAATAATATATAAATTTCGATAAAAATGTTTTTGATAATGCTTATTGTAAATAATTTGAACATGCATTATAGTGAATAAAAATAAATAAATAATGAATTTCAGTTATTAGACAAACACAGAAATAGATCAGTAATCATATATTTGAATTTTAAATTGCTTATATTCAGCCAGTGTTGAGATTATCGAAATAAAATATTTTGTAGAGAAATGAAATTGTATTGTTTTCATTTTTGCCAATAAACAAAGTTTTCTTAAGGGAAGGTCATACTGTTTATGGAACTGTTATTTTGTTAAGATGTAAGATGCAAATGATCTAATCAGAAGTAATGCTTTAATACTGTTGTGGAGGTGTAACATGGTTGTTATCCGATGACAGGGATGTTCTGATACTGTGTTGTAGGTGGTGGTGGGGGACAAGGTGGTACTCAATCCTGTTAATGCCGGACAGCCACTACACGCCAGTACATATGAACTTATAGACAAGCCAGGCTGTAAGGAGGTACGTGTGTCTCTGGAGATTATAGAACAGCACACAAGTGTATCAAAACTGTGAGACATCAGATTAACTCATTGTTATATATACATGTATCCTTCATTCTTAATGAAAAAGTAGAAATTATCTGATGTTATTGCTGAGTGAGTAACAAGGAATGGTAACCAGAAAAGTCACTTGTTGTTACATGGCCAGCTTTATACTTTAGTATAGCAGTAAATCATGATCATTTGATAGATAAAACTTAAGAATCAGGATAAATTTAGAACAAACCTCATTTAAAGATCATTATTGTAGAACTGCTGTGTTTGCTGATTTGTTGTGAAAAGTTGATGTAATCTTGAACAGTGTAGAACATAGGCAGCAAAGCTGTAGTTAGTTATCCCTGGTATATAATAGGTGACAACATGATTTTAGGTAAACTCTGTCAATACTGCCAGCCCAGCCTGCTGGAAGATGACACTGTTTATGGACTACAGAGAAAATAAAGAGGAGGTTCTCAAAGGGGTGAGTGCTCATTTTAAAAGTAGAAGAATAAAATAGCGTGTTGAGTTTTTAAAGTTGTTGCTATATTTTTTTCTGTATTAGAAAAATGATGATTGTCGTTATACTTTATTTCTCCAGAATTGTTTCTCAATTTTAAAAGATATGATCAAGATATCAATAAGGTATACAAATACAAGAAATTTGGTATGTTATAAAATATACTTCATACTTGAAGAATGTGATATATTCTATAGTTTTTCATGATATATTTATCCTTTGCAGGGTGATGTGGTAAGATTGTTCCATGCTGAGGAGCAGATGTTTCTGACGTGTGACGAGTACAAAAAACAGCAATTTGTGTTCCTCAGGATCACTGCCAGACAGACCGCCACAACGGCAACCAGCTCCAAGGCATTGTGGGAAATTGAGGTACATATAGTGCCCTCTTTTAAATGAAACATGAAATAAAAACAGACATGGGAAATTATACTAGACACCGTAATTTTAGGTTTGGAAATAGTTATTGTCAAATTTCAATATTTCTTGAAGGCATCACAGAGCGTATATCTCTACAGTACCATCTAACTATTTCTTTGGAAGCTGCAGGATAAAACCCCTTCCCCTAACCTATCTGTAGATGATACTTATTGATTTATAGGTAGTACAGCATGACCCGTGTCGGGGAGGCGCTGGCCAATGGATGAGTCTCTACCGATTTAAACACCTTGCTACAGGACAGTACCTAGCTGCCGAGGTAAGTTACACCTGAGCTGTTAACTCATTCACCCCTGAAAACACATTTGAACTCCTCCAATTCAAAGGTTGGAATAGTACATTACAAAATTTCAGGGGTGATTGAGTTAAGGTCAGTTAGGCTTTAGTTGTTGAGATCAGTTACACATGAATGGCTGGTCAGTTTTCCTTTCCTCCACAAATCATTCTTCAAAATCTGTAGTGATGAAGCTATCATATAGGGAGCATATTTGAAAAAAATACTTCTATTTATTCAGCAGCCTGTCAGAATTTGGGAGCTAGCTTCATCCTAGTTTGATATTCTCTCATCATGTAAAATACAATTAAACGTGTCTATTGACATTGACAAAATGTTTCCTTGTAGGGCAGGTAACAAAGCAGTTGGTTTGGAAATTGAATGTTCTCATCAGTTGAATACATCCGGGTATGTTGATCCATGTCTTGATTACAATTAATCTTTTATTTGCCGTTCCTTTTTACCAGGTGGACAAGGATCCTGCTCCTGACACTATGAGGAATAAACTGAGGGGGACAAGCACATCACCGGTCTTCTGTCTCGTGTCTGTCCCCCATGGACATGATGTGGCCACCATCTTTGAGTTGGATCCCACTACGATGACAAGGGACTCCAATGTGCCGAGGTATTGCTGGTCTCATCCTACTCAATACTGTCTTCATTCATCTGGAAAGCAAATTTGTTCTAACAATTAATAGTTATGTATCTGTTTTTATTTGATATGGGAGTAAGTCCTTTTTTCATGTTCTTTGTTCTATTTTAAATATGTAGACAAAAGTAACTCTCCTGTCGTGCATCAATTTCAGTTGGCTTAGTGAAGTTAGTTCCCTTTGTTGTGTAATTACAGGAACTCGTTTGTGCGGCTACATCACCTGTGCACCAACAGCTGGGTTCACAGCACCTCCATCCCACTGGACAAAGACGAGGATAAACCCATCATGAAGAAGGTACAAACCTAGTGTTGTCTAATGAACATGTCACCTAAATGGTTTTTCGTCTTCCCGCCACGAAATAGCCGAAGCGAGACTAAGGTGTTGCTTTTCCGGCGGCGGGGGGCGTCAACATTAAGTTTTTGCATTTAAGTTAGTTTCACAGATAGTATAAGTGCTAGACCAACCAAACTTGGACCATAGATGCATAAATCATCTTGAGTAGTTCATCTCAACCCATGCATCAAACACTGGATGCACCCTACCTATGGTCCATCAACTTGGTCAGCATCTCCATCAATATTAAGTTTTTGCATTTTTAAATTAAAATTTCCAGTGTTTGATGATTTCCTTTTTTTTGAAAAATAATGCTGTGTTAACATGTAGGTAAGACCATCATATTTGGTCACCTATGTACAAAATTTTGTTTTAATCTGTTTTGGACTTGGATTAAAAATAAAAATTGTGTTCCCTATATCAATTATAGGTTGGCTGTGCCGGGACAAAGGAGGATCGTGAGGCGTTTGCTATAGTTCCAGTCCCCCCATCAGAAGTGAGGGACCTTGACTTCGCCAACGACGCCAGTCGCGTTCTGGCCGACTTTGCAGCCAAGTTGGAAAAGGGCTGCATCACACAGAATGAGAGAAGGTAACACTGGCAAAAGATTTCTCGTCGTCATGTGTCTGGTATCTTGTCCTCGTCACACGGCAAATCAGGTTCTCGTCACCAGACGTTAAACTTGTATTTGTCAAATGTCTTTTGGTGTTTGTCACAAGATGTGTCTGGTGCTGGTCACTAGACTTGTGAAATGCTTGTCAGGAGATTTCTGGTGATAGGTATGAGATGTGTAACTTGTGCTTGTCATGGATATGTGTGTCTGGTGTTTGTTATAAGGTCTTAGTAAGGTCAGGAAATATAGTAGAGCAAAACGTATGTGTCTTATGTAGGTATATTACATGCCTGAATATCATACAAATATCAATAGAAATATTTAATGAATTTTATTTATAAGCTTGCATTCTAAATTTGATACAGAATCAGAATCACACACAATCTAATTTGGTAAAAATATTTAGTGCTTGACTTTAGTGATCGGCATTTTAAAATAGACCACATTTATTTGTGAGGATTATTCATATACTCAACCATGTGAACCAGAAAAACATATGTGTATATAATAATTATCCCTAGAGACGAAATAATCCTATAAAACAACTTAGTTTGAGTTGTTCTTTTCAAATGAAATCATTAGATCTTTGAATATAGTGATAGTTAAACGAAATTTCTTGTTGAAAATACTAAATTTAAGGGTCTAAAATCGGGAGTCTCCCTCCTAAATAGGGAGAGTTGGCAGGTATGTACTCTATACATTTCTGAGATATATTACAAAGCACCAATGCTTCAATGCGTTACCTTTGACACTTGGTTTACAGATTTGTGACACAGCTGCTGTCGGACGTATTGCAATTTGTGACCCAACAAGAATCTCAAAACACTGGAGGAGATCCCCTCAAGGTGGAGATGGCCAAACCCAAGGACTGCAGGGAGAGACAGAAGCTGCTACGAGAACAGGACATCCTTAAGCAGGCATGACCTCCTTGTGTTATCCACCAGCATTTACAGCGTTTGTTACAGAGACGTATAAAACTTGTATCAGTCAAGTCACGGAATCAAAATGTTTGGATTTTGGTGTACAGCAAATTTATTTACTTAATGTCCAGTAACTTTAAAATTTAATGTATTTAAACTGATTTTTACAAAATAGGAAAACAGCTAAGCTACCATTACTAACTGTCCTTGTGTCAGTAGATTAAGATTGAAGTGTTTTCAGATACCCTGAAGAGGAGAACATAATAGCTGTATGATTGCTTAAAAATAACGACCTAATCTAAAAATAAAGATGTATAGTAGAACAACTGGATGTTATTGAAAAGTATGCACAGACTTCCAACTTGATTTTTTTTCAAAACTGTGCAAAATATAATTAATATCTTCTAGCTATATAGTTTCATGTATTTCATTGTATGTATATAATTCCTAGTCTGAGTCAAAAATTTCAGTCCTGTTAAAAAATCACTTCAGTAACAACATCTTTGTCATCAATTAAAACAAATAATTATTTTGAGTGCTAAAATACTAATTGTATTGTTCCATTTGTTGTCCAGGTTTTCCAGATCCTGAAGGCTCCCTTCAGTGGGTCCAATCCCCTGCTGAAGATGGAGGAGTTAGCAGACCAGCGCCACGCCCCCATACGTCAGATATGTAAACTGTGTTACCACATACTGCGTCTCTCTCAGCAGGACTACAGGAAAAACCAGGTAGGTCCTCAACGGGTTTGGGGGAAAGAAAAACTGGTATACTGTGTCTCTCTCAGCAAGACTACAGGAAAAACCAGGTAGGTCCTTCACANGGGTTGGGGGTTGGGGGTTGGGGGGGTATGAAAGATGACAGATCTATAAACTGTTATACTGCGTCTCTCCCAGCAAAACCTAATGGAAATATAAGGTATACTAATCTGGAAGTGTAATAGACAAAGTAAGAGGACCTTTCTCACTTTCTGTAAACAGTGGAAATAGTGAAAGTGTTCACTCAACATATATGTAATGTGTCACGCTGGAGCGATATTGATAACAAAGAAGATGTCTTTGACAAGACATTCAAGTGGAAGAGCAAAACAAAATTGAATTAATTTAGTTACACCTAAGTAGTCCTACGCTTTCTTTAAATTATCGTGTAGCCACTCTAGATAAATGCCTGTATATTCTGAATAAAAAAATTGAAATAGACCAAATCTTCAGCTAGATCTTGTTATAATACAGCCCTCGAATTGGAAAGGTTTGCTCCTCAGCATTGGGTGAAATGTGTTTACTGTACCCAATTGATTAAAGATGCGGGCCTAAAAACAATTTTGTTCTTCTATTTTTGTTTTTCCATAGGAATATGTTGCAAAATACTTTGCATTTATGCAAAAGCAAATAGGATATGATGTTTTAGCAGAGGAAACCATCACAGCTTTATTGAACAACAACAGGAAACTATTGGAAAAACACATCACCAAGCAGGAGATTGTCACCTTTGTCAGCCTGGTCCGAAAAAACAAAAAGCCAAGGTATAACACTCTTCCTTATACTCCAGCCCCTAATCATTTAGGGGGGAAGGGCATTGATACTTTTTTATTCTTTTTTTTTCTTTTTCTTCTTTAGCTCATCTGGTTTTTGGACCAGATGAGCTTATGCCATGGCGTGGCATCTGTCGTTCGTCCGTCGTCCATCAACTTTTCCTAAAAATCGATACAAGTTATGAACGACTAGCAGATTTTGACCAAATTTTGTCAGAAGCATCCTTTGTGGAAGGTAACCAACTTTTGTATAAACCGACCAATTTTATATAATTCGTGGGTTTGGCTCCCCCGGGGCCTGAGGGGCGGGGCCCAATAGGGGAAACATAACAAATTCTGAAAAATCCTTCTTCTGTAGGAATGAAGGATTTGTTCCATATTTGGTCTGAAGCATCATTGGGTGAATGGGAACCAATTTTGTATAATTCTTGGGTTTGGCCCCCCAGGGGCCTGATGGGCAGGGCCCAATAGGGGAAACATAACAAATTCTTTAAAGTCCTTCCCCTCAATATTTGGTCTGAAGAATTCTTGGGTGAAGCAGAATCAATTTTGTATAAACGGTGGGTCTTGCCTCCCTGGGGCCTAAGGGGCTGGGCCAAATAGGGGAAATGCAGCAAATTCTTTAAAATCCTTCTCCTTTTGTAGGAATGAAAGGATTTGTTCCATATTTAGTGTGAAGCATCCTTGGGTGAAATGGGGGAAATATAGCAAATTCTTCTTTAAAATCCTTCTTCTGTAGGAATGAGAGGATTTGGTCCATGTCTGGTGTTGAGCATCCTTGGGTCAAGGGGAACCAATTTTGTATAAACGGTGTGTCTGTCCCCACCCTTGGAGACATATAGTCCCTGGGTCATAACTTTTAAACGATTGAGATCCCCACTCCAAAACTATATATACAAATACTGGGCATAAAGAGACGAACGCAGTCATGATAATCATATTAGAACAGACCCTGGGTACCGACCAAACCCACAGGGACCTAGTTTCTGAGTCACAGATTGGAAACAGTTGAGATCCCCACCCTATAACCATATATAAAATTGCTGAGTATAAAGAGATGAATGCACATAAGCTTTGAGGATGGCCTTGGGGTCTGACGCACCCTTGGAGACTTAACCCCTGGGGTCATAACTTTGAAACAGTTAAGATCCCACCCCAAAACTGTATATATACAATTGTTTGGCATAAAGAGACAAATGCAGTCATGATACACTGTATTAGAATAAATCCTGGGGTCTGGCCACAACCTTAGGGACCTGGTTTCTGATTCACAGCTTGGAAACAGTTAGGTTTCCCACCCAATAATCATACATAAAATTGCTGGGCATGAAAAATCTAATACAGATTGCTCCAAGGATTGGCATTGAGGTCTGGCCTATTCCTTTGGATCTCATTTGGAGATTATTTTGCCATATAATTGCTTCGATATCCAGGTGAGCGATGCAGGCCCTCTGGGCCTCTTGTCTTTTTTCTCTTTTGCTGCCACTAAACAGTACATTTTTCATTTGGTTATGTCCACAGTTTCCTGAATGATGACGTGGTGTATATGTTTAGGTCTGAAAAGATCCTTGTAAGATTGGAAAGATTTAAAATTATGTTGAATTCATAGATTCACCTTCCAAAAAAAAAATCACCTTATTAAACTGCTGCAAAAAATCAATCTGGACACATAACTTTTGTAGATAAATTTGTATACATCATTATTCATGGTTAAAATGTTAAAAAAAACCTAAACTTTTGCAATTATTAACAGAATTGATAATTCTTTTGTATCAACAGGACTATGAGCTGTTATCTGAGGAACTACTTGTGCACATGTATTTTGTGACAGATGGTTGTAGATCATTTGTCTTTGAGCTTTTATCTGAAGTACTACAGTAAAGACCTGAATGAGCATGATGTAAACACTGTTGTATGTTTGTAGGTTCCTCGACTATCTGTATGTGCTGTGTGTGTCTAATCACCAGGCCATAGCGGCCACACAATACCTCATCTGTAACTGTATCCTGAGCGAGGAGAACCAGGATATTCTGATAGAGACCAGGTATGTTTAATTTGTAGTTACAAGTAGTATTTACCCGAGTAGTGTGAAGGGCAACATTGCTCGTCATTTCCAATAATCCAAAAATGAAAAAATGAAAACTACAATTGCTGTATGTTCAGCTGAAAAAGATATTATGTATCATTTTTTCCTGAAAAATAAAAGGCCAATAAGAACAGACTTGGACATAGAAGGAAGACAAACATATATTTCAACAATTGTAAAATTATTTTTGATTAATTTATGATAAGCAGTGATGAAAAATTGCAATATATCTATTTAAGTAAATGTTAGTTAACTTGAAAGTGTATACAAATTATTAAAATTATAAATCAGGGCAGATCAGAAAGAAATATGAAGGTTTCTATTTCTTGTTTTGTTGTAGTACCTGTAATTTTGTATGCTAATCTAACATGTTTGCATTATTTGTTACTTGTTACAAAAACAAAGGCCAAGCAGTTGGACAGGGTAATAGTTTACCTACATCTCCTTGTGGGCGGTGGCATATCATTAACTGGTGTTGTATTGACACACTGTATAAAACAGAAAGAACTTGCACCAATGCTTCTATGTGGGAAAGGAAAATATGTTCATTGCTTGTAACTTAGTTTTATGGGAGAAAAAAAAGGAATTTAAAAGTGATCTGCTGTTTGTCCTCAGGTTAACTTACTGACTTGTCTTGTGATACATGTGATACAGATATTGACTGAAATTTTGTAATGTGTGGATAAAATTGTCATGTCTTGCATTGTCTGAGGTGATGGAAGTAATATTTTTTATCACAGTCCTCTTTCCTTACAAGAAAGAATCATTTTAAATAAAATTTGTTCTTTAAAATTCAAGATAGATTTAACATACGTCAGTTAGAATTCTATATATTTTCAAGAAATGTAAATCTGTAGCGTTTTGAATAAAAAGGAAACTTTTCAGAAAGAATGTATGATTTGGTCTACAATGTATTGCATTGTTGTGAAGTGGTGTTAGGTCAACAAACTCTCAATATAAAATCGTTAGCAAACTCTTAGTAAAACACAAGATGTTTGAATTGATAAAGTCAGCTCAGTTTGTACACTAAATTAGATGAAACTTAAGCTTCATGAACTGACCGGAGTTTAAATTGTCGAAAGACAAAAGTATTAGAATCAGTATCGGTGAATTTTGCTTAATGTGACAATTAAATGAAGTTATATATTCACCAACCATCTTCAGAATCCAAAGGTTCTACTCTCAATGTCACTTATCTACTCTACATCCTTGTATGTTGTCATGACAATAAGAAGTCCCCATTTGTGTCATCTTGTTGTTGATACAAGTTGTCAGGCCAGAAACTGAATCCTGTGGGCCTGTGGTCTCTGAGTGATGTTTTGAATAAAGTGTTACAGTAAAATTGATCAGCTTTGATCACAGAGTATCTATTGGAAAATGTTTCAAAGTTCAGATACCACTATCTATCGGCCTTGCCATTTGTCAGTCTTGATGTCATGAGCCTTCAATTATTTAATGGGAAAATCCCAGGGTGCAGAGAATATATGTACATTGAGGGCATATTCCTTGAGTTTTTTAAATACTTACCAATAAATTGTTGAAAAAATATCTATATCACCGTTGAAACTTTGATACAACAGACTTGAGAAGACTCAGATGGAGGTTGAAATGGAGGTAGAGAACCTGGATGGTACATCGGATCCTGAACCCATCATCACTATCGAGGAGGTGGAAGAGGTCATGCTCATCTGGGACCTTGGCAAGAAAACCAAGAGTATACGTGAGCTAGCTGAGACGGCAGCAGAATGTCAGGGTCTGGGGGAGCACTCCGAGGACCAGGACATCCTAGTGTACTAAAGGTAGGTGAGGTGTGATGTAGTACTATAATCTCAGGGTCTGGGGGAGCACTCCGAGGACCCGGACATCCTAGTGTACTATAGGTAGGCGAGGTGTGATGTAGTATGAGGGTCTGGGGGAGCACATCGAGGACCAGGACATCCTAGTGTACTAAAGGTAGGTGAGGTGTGATGTAGTACTATGATCTCAGGGTCTGGGGGAGCACTCCGAGGACCAGGACATCCTAGTGTACTATAGGTAGGCGAGGGGGGATGAAGTATGAGGGTCTGGGGGAGCGCGCCGAGGACCAGGACATGCTAGTGTACTATAGGTAGGTGAGGTGTGATGGAGTATGAGGGTCTGGGGGAGCGCGCCGAGGACCAGGACATGCTAGTGTACTATAGGTAGGTGAGGGGTGATGTAGTATGAGGGTCTGGGGGGGCACTCCGAGGACCAGGACATCCCAGTGTACTATAGGTAGGTGAGGTGTGATGTAGTATGAGGGTCTGGGGGAGCACTCCGAGGACCAGGACATCCTAGTGTACTATAGGTAGGTGAGGTGTGATGTAGTATGAGGGTCTGGGGGAGCACTCCGAGGACCAGGACATCCTAGTGTACTATAGGTAGGTGAGGTGTGATGTAGTATGAGGGTCTGGGGGAGCACTCCGAGGACCAGGACATCCTAGTGTACTATAGGTAGGTGAGGTGTGATGTAGTATGAGGGTCTGGGGGAGCACTCCGAGGACCAGGACATCCTAGTGTACTATAGGTAGGTGAGGTGTGATGTAGTATGAGGGTCTGGGGGAGCACTCCGAGGACCAGGACATCCTAGTGTACTATAGGTAGGTGAGGTGTGATGTAGTATGAGGGTCTGGGGGAGCACTCCGAGGACCAGGACATCCTAGTGTACTATAGGTAGGTGAGGTGTGATGTAGTATGAGGGTCTGGGGGAGCACTCCGAGGACCAGGACATCCTAGTGTACTATAGGTAGGTGAGGTGTGATGTAGTATGAGGGTCTGGGGGAGCACTCCGAGGACCAGGACATCCTAGTGTACTATAGGTAGGTGAGGTGTGATGTAGTATGAGGGTCTGGGGGAGCACTCCGAGGACCAGGACATCCTAGTGTACTATAGGTAGGTGAGGTGTGATGTAGTATGAGGGTCTGGGGGAGCACTCCGAGGACCAGGACATCCTAGTGTACTATAGGTAGGTGAGGTGTGATGTAGTATGAGGGTCTGGGGGAGCACTCCGAGGACCAGGACATCCTAGTGTACTATAGGTAGGTGAGGTGTGATGTAGTATGAGGGTCTGGGGGAGCACTCCGAGGACCAGGACATCCTAGTGTACTATAGGTAGGTGAGGTGTGATGTAGTATGAGGGTCTGGGGGAGCACTCCGAGGACCAGGACATCCTAGTGTACTATAGGTAGGTGAGGTGTGATGTAGTATGAGGGTCTGGGGGAGCACTCCGAGGACCAGGACATCCTAGTGTACTATAGGTAGGTGAGGTGTGATGTAGTATGAGGGTCTGGGGGAGCACTCCGAGGACCAGGACATCCTAGTGTACTATAGGTAGGTGAGGTGTGATGTAGTATGAGGGTCTGGGGGAGCACTCCGAGGACCAGGACATCCTAGTGTACTATAGGTAGGTGAGGTGTGATGTAGTATGAGGGTCTGGGGTAGCTCTCCGAGGACCAGGACATCCGAGTGTACTTAGGTAGGTGAGGTGTGATGTAGTATGAGGGTCTGGGGGAGCACTCCGAGGACCAGGACATCCTAGTGTACTATAGGTAGGTGAGGTGTGATGTAGTATGAGGGTCTGGGGGAGCACTCCGAGGACCAGGACATCCTAGTGTACTTTAGGTAGGTGAGGTGTGTCAGGACATCCTAGTGTACTATAGGTAGGTGAGGTGTGATGTAGTATGAGGGTCTGGGGGAGCACTCCGAGGACCAGGACATCCTAGTGTACTTAGGTAGGTGAGGTGTGATGTAATACTATGATGTATCTACAGGTACCACAGGTTTGGTAGAGAAGAATACACTTCTGTGTCCACCAGACAGGAATACAGACAGGCTTCACAATGAGTGATGGTTGGTTAGCCTGTTTATCTTATTCAAAGTGGTTAATTTTATGATTGTGTAAAGAAGCGAAGTTTATCAAGTTTAACTTTACAGTTTAAAAATTAGCTAATGAGAGTTGGATAAACATGATAACCAGCCATCTCGAGATTGAAGACCTTTTCTGTCATAACTTTCAAATTTAATCCAGAAATTCATATGTTTTACTTGGAAATACGTCATCCTTTTTTCTGAACGAGGGAACAATTGCCATGAATCGTGACGTCAGAATGGAAGATGCCAGCACCAAGCAATGTAAAGTGACTTCAGAATTAAAGAATGACCAATGAAATCTCGTCCAGGGTGTTACCCACTGGATGGTAACCAAATTTGTTTACCAACTCTTTGCAAGTTTATCCAAATATACTTTATTGTAAAATATATACAAAATGTATATATTTATGTTATGTAGTGTGTTTTATATCATGTGATCTGTTAGAAACTCCTTTTATAAACATGCTCTATTGTGTGCAACATAAAAGGTGGAGCATTTTAAAACTGTTTGCCTTTTTTTCGCTGGTCCATCTGTCAGATAATTTATACCTTATAGTTAGACTTTCTGTTAAAGTTGCAAATAAAATACGATTGTTTCTTCAAAAATATTTTCATGGGTCCTTAGCTCCTCACCTGAAAACTAAAAGTTTGCAGGGCTATTATAGTGAAAAGTTCACATCTATTTCAAAAGCAAAAGCAACAAGAGAAGGGGTGAAGTTTGTATATTTTATTGTGTTAACCAGTTTTGCCTTTACAGTGTACTTCTTCAGGACAATATTATAGGGTATTTCTACCCATTAGAAACACTGTAACATTAAGTCAGAAATGACATCATCTTTGATATATTTGTTTATATTTCAGACACCAACTAGATCTGTTTTCTCACATGTGTCTAGACAGGCAGTATATTGCCATCAATGCCCTTTCCAAACAGCTTGATATAGCTCTGATTCTCAGGTAAGCTTTGCTCAAGTGACCTATTCTAATCGCTTTCCGTCCGTCGTCGTACACTGTCTGTCGTGCATCGTGCGTAAACCTTTTTAAATTTTCAACTGCTTCTCAAGAACCAATGGATGGAAAATTAATCAATATTTCAAAAATCTTCTTCTCCAGACTAAGAGGTACTACAGTCATTTTCTCTGCATGGAAAGAAAGATCATCAGGGGCTTTATTTAAATTGTAAATTTCAGGACCCCCGAGCTATCCGTTCTCCCTTGGGGAGGGGCTAAAGTTTACTTTAGTTTATATAGGGAAATAATACTTTTGGGTATATTTTATCCATTTTCAGCAGAAAATTGCTCAAACTTAGTCAGAATCATCTTTGGTGAGAGTATTGGGATTCCTGGCCCATCCCCAGGGGCTAGGGCAGGGCCCCAAAAGGAACATTTACCAATATTTTCAAATTCTTATCCTTTGATGACATGACAAGTATTGTATTTCACTTAGTTTACATGCTGATTTCCACATCACATCTAAACAAAAAAATAAAGGTACCAGTACCTATGATATAACTCAGGTGACCGCTAAGGCCCTTGGGCCTCTGGTATTGATATAGATCTGATTCTCAGGTAAGCTTTATATTGATATAGATCTGATTCTCAGGTAAGTTTTATACTGATATAGATCTGATTCTCAGGTAAGATTTATATTGATATAGATCTAATTCTTAGGTAATTTTAAGCTTTATACTGATATAGATCTGATTCTAAGGAAAGTTGTATATTGATAGAGATTTGATTCTAATGAGGTAAGCTTTATATTGATTTAGATTTGATTTGTATGAAAGTTTCAAATTGATATAGATCTGATTTACAGTTATAAAAACTTTAAATTGTATTCAAATATAAGATAAAGACAAAACCTAAATACTTATATGTATTATGGCTTCAGTTGTCACTGAATATGTTTAAAAATGTCTCCTTCGTTTAACTGTTTTATTTCAACACAACGATGTAATATGACAGTCATGTTTTAATGCTACACCACAATCGTATTGGAGGAAGACATGTCCCTACCATGACAACAGAGTTTAAATGCCATCAAACATTCTTGATTTCAACACTAAGCAGACAAAAAGGCTGAAACTATTTGTAAATTGTTACATGTCAACTGCTTGAGGCTGTTCTTACTTTGATGACGGCTATTCACAGGTGTGTGTCTGACGAGGTCTTGCCTTATGACCTGCGCGCCTCCTTCTGTAGATTGATGTTACACATGCATGTAGACAGGGATCCTCAGGAAATCATCAAACCTGTCAAATACGCTCGCCTGTGGTCCGAGATCCCAACACAGATCTCCATAGAGGAGTGAGTATGAACCAGCAGACTCCCTTATTTTTTTCAGAAGAATTCTGATGATGTTGTTACAGCGTTCTAAGCTTTAACACAGAACAATACCAAATACCAGTAGCTTGACTTATCTGAACTGAAAATAAAACTGTTGATAAAACATCAATGTTTCTTGGGAGATGTCTTTAAAGAAAGTTGACAACTTTTAATATTAAGTGACATTGACTGTGTAATGTCTGTTTTAACACCGATCTAGTATTTCCCTTCCCGTATTTCAGAAAAAAATCATGAATGCTTCAGTTAATCATAACTTTTATATGAAAATTAGACATTCAATCATGTTTAAAAATTTAGTTATTAAAACAAAGAAGCAGCGAAACATCATCAATGATATATTTGTGTTGTCTTTACTTGCATACAAGGTTAACTATCTGAATATAGTATTACCGGTATGTCAACAGAAGAACAGGGTGTCCTATTTTGAAATGTTCATTTTGCACAACCAATAAGAGTTGTGTAAAAAGAACTTTTCATAGTCTTCATAATCCATACTTACCAACCTGAAGAAAATGTTTAGAAAAAGGGTACAGTCCTATTTTCTCTACATACAACACAGACTACACAAACACACCCAGGTTTATAGCATGATTAATCTACCTGGGTTAAAGACTCAGGTTGTCACATCTTTGTGGATAGGTATGCGATAATAATGTCAGCAGCTCCAATGGGTTGTCACTTGTCAGTTGTGATTATAAGTGTGTGATATAAAGGTTGTATCTGACATTACAATGAAACTTGATCAGTCATGCTGTAGGTTTATACAGAATGCATCTAACATTTCAGATACGATAGTACACGGGAAACAGAGAAGTAGGTGGCATGGACAAACACATGCTCCAACCATTAACTTGCTTCACTCCTTTGCAGTTATTGACAAAATGTCGTGAGAGTAAATGCTGCTTCTAAATGATGATGGAATATTTTATATGCTTCTGTGCCTGTGATAATTAAGATTCATATTAATAGTCCTTCATTCAGATATCAATATAAACATTTTGAAATAATAAAAATAAATAAAACTTTTATTAACACACCTCATATCAAGAAGCGTGCATTTACTGCTCTGGACCTCAATCCATAAACTCTTTTCCTTAGCAATGAACCCTGATTTTAATGTGAGATTCGAAAGCATTGGTGATGCAAGTTATAATTATCATCAGATCACTCAGCCATAAATCCTTAGTTGAAACGAAAGATTACCTGAATATCAGTAAAACTAATTCTCTGGTAAATTAATGGGAGCTTGAGGCCAAATAAAAATATATTTGTTTCCTATTTCTGTCCTTTATCGTTTTTTTTACGCCATCCCATGAACTTTTGTTGCTTATTTTTGTCATAAAGCTAAAAAGAAGCATAGAGTAGTAAAATGATGAATGGCTTGTGAAATTAAAATTGATATTGGGAAATCCCCCCCAAAATTGCCAGGTGTCTGTGACTTAAATTGTTATAAAGTTTTAAATGAAGACCAATTAACTAAACATTAGGCAGTTGTGAAAATCCTACAAAGTGATGCTTATCATTACATCATACCTTCTCAAAGAATAAAAAACAAGATATATTTATTTGGCCACAGTAAAAGAATCAGCAAAGGAAATAAGAAAATAAAAACTTTAATAATGTCAGAAAACATGTTTGATTTTGGCCCTGGTAATGTTTTTCATGGGATCATTGTTAGGTGGACTAGTCTGACTAATTTCTATGATAACTCATCACCGTTCCAATGTGTTTGTGTACATTGTATTTTACACGGTTTAAACTAATTAAATCTGTACTGTTGTAAACCTTATACCCAGTTCTGAGTTACCTCCCCTAGATATCAAGTCTTTATTGCTTCCCTCTTTGTGTGTGACGTCAGATCTTAATCAAATCACTTATGTACCCGAGAAAACATGCATGTAGGATTGATGTTGATGTTGAAGAGAGCAGATTTAGTTTGCCCTGTGTTCTAGGTTTGGTTTATGTGGTATGTCCATTGTAGACTGTTAGAGTATGACGCATCTTTCCTGAACAGAAGAAACACTACCTTTAAATTTGGTGTTTGAAGTGTTCAGAAGCATTGCCCGGTTATGTTGAAAGGAGCTTATGTTTCATTCTTGTAGAAAATGTCAAAGATATACTCCTCTTTAACCATGGTTTTACTTGATAAAATATTTATTTGTCACATTCATATATTCTACTTTGTTCAGAAAATTATAAGATTTTTTTCATGTATTAAGTTAAAAGTAGCAGGAACCTTGAGATCCAAGTGATGTGATTTTACCTGTGTTGAATTTGAAGATCACAGGTATTTTTCTGAGTCTGTATTTATCATACCACAACATGTACAGCAGGTGCCTATCAATAACATCACACCTGTTTTAGTGCTGTTGTTCTACTGCTGTATAGTTATTACGACTTCAAAGTAGAATATTTTTGTGTTTCTGTACAGTACTCATAAGTATGCTGACAGTTTCATCTCAATAGTTCCAATCTATCTTAAACTTACTTCATATTTCTGTTTTAATTTGTAATTGTTTGCTTTATCATGATACAACTGACTTCGCTGACATTATCTAAAGTATTTCCTCCTTTTGACTTGACTAATTTTCATTAGTTCTCATTGTGATCCTATTAATTTAATTATGAAAAAATCTGTACCTTAAATGTACTGTATTTTGGTGTCTCCTGCGGACTAAAGTGACATATGAGGATTGTTCCAACTGTGTCAAAGTTATCCATGCAACAAACAGCAGATATATTGCATTTTATTCCTTCATATGGAGCATAGTACGTGCAATCAGCCGTCATTCCACCCACACTGTCGCTTCAGCTTGAATGAAGTTCTTGTTTAACATACATCAAGTGTTTGACATACAACAGTGTTATTAAGTCTATAGATACTTCATGAGTTATCCAGTTTGTAGGAAATGAGGGTGTGTGGTACGTAGTGGATGTAGATACTTCATGAGTTATCCAGTTTGTAGGAAATGAGGGTGTGTGGTACGTAGTCGATGTAGATACTTCATGAGTTATCCAGTTTGTAGGAAATGAGGGTTTGTTACAAGTATGTAGTCGATGTAGATATTTCATGAGTTATCCAGTTTGTAGGAAATGAGGGTTTGTTACAAGTGTGTAGTCGATGTAGATACTTCATGAGTTATCCAGTTTGTAGGAAATGAGGGTGTGTGGTACGTAGTCGATGTAGATACTTCAGGAGTTATCCAGTTTGTAGGAAATGAGGGTGTAGAGTACATAGTCGATGTAGATACTTCATGAGTTATCCAGTTTGTAGGAAATGAGGGGGTATAGTACATAGTCGATGTAGATACTTAATGAGTTATCCAGTTTGTAGGAAATGAGGGCGTATAGTACATAGTCGATGTAGATATTTCATGAGTTATCCAGTTTGTAGGAAATGAGGGTGTGTAGTACGTAGTCGATGTAGATACTTCATGAGTTATCCAGTTTGTAGGAAATGAGGGTGTGTAGTACGTAGTCGATGTAGATACTTCATGAGTTATCCAGTTTGTAGGAAATGAGGGTGTGTAGTACGTAGTCGATGTAGATACTTCATGAGTTATCCAGTTTGTAGGAAATGAGGGTGTGTAGTACGTAGTCGATGTAGATACTTCATGAGTTATCCAGTTTGTAGGAAATGAGGGTGTGTAGTACGTAGTCGATGTAGATACTTCATGAGTTATCCAGTTTGTAGGAAATGAGGGTGTGTAGTACGTAGTCGATGTAGATACTTCATGAGTTATCCAGTTTGTAGGAAATGAGGGTGTGTAGTACGTAGTCGATGTAGATACTTCATGAGTTATCCAGTTTGTAGGAAATGAGGGTGTGTAGTACGTAGTCGATGTAGATACTTCATGAGTTATCCAGTTTGTAGGAAATGAGGGTGTATAGTACGTAGTCGATGTAGATACTTCATGAGTTATCCAGTTTGTAGGAAATGAGGGTGTGTAGTACGTAGTCGATGTAGATACTTCATGAGTTATCCAGTTTGTAGGAAATGAGGGTGTGTAGTACGTAGTCGATGTAGATACTTCATGAGTTATCCAGTTTGTAGGAAATGAGGGTGTGTAGTACGTAGTTGATCTAATCGACTGTAAAATCATATCTTAACCAAAAAATAGCTGCCTATCATGATAATAGTTAAGTCCATTATCAAATCATCCTGTCCCTTCAGTAGGTCTCCTGTGGATTTTGGATGGAAAAATAATTATATAGATGGGAAAAAATAATTATATAGATGGGAAAAAATAATTATAAAATAATACATTTTTATTTGTAAACAAAATGTCATTGTATAACTAAACAAAAAGTGTGATCAAATCTCAAACTATTGTCAATAAAATAAAACCAATGTTGACTTTATTTTTGTAGTTTACAAGTCTGACATTGCTGGTGTGGTTACAAGTTCATCTTTGACTTTATATTTGTGTAGTTAGGAGCCCAACATTGCCTGTATTTGTGTATATGTAGTTTCAAGTCGAATAATCACTGTATTTGTGTAATTGACAAGTCTGACTTGATCTGTGTAGTTACGAGTCCAACATTCACTGTATTTGTGTAATTGACATGTCTGACTTTATTTGTGTAGTTACGAGTCCAACATTCACTGTATTTTTGTAATTGACACGTCTGACTTTATCTGTGAAGTTACGAGTCCAACATTCACTGTATTTGTGTAATTGACAAGTCTGACTTGATCTGTGTAGCTACGAGTCCAACATTCACTGTATTTGTGTAATTGACACGTCTGACTTTATTTGTGTAGTTACAAGTCCAACATTCACTGTATTTTTGTAATTGACAAGTCTGACCTTATGTGTGTAGTTACGAATCCAACATTCACTGTATTTGTGTAATTGACACGTTTGACTTTATCTGTGTAGTTACGAGTCCAACATTCACTGTATTTGTGTAGTTGACACGTCTGACTTTATTTGTGTAGTTACAAGTCCAACATTCACTGTATTTTTGTAATTGACAAGTCTGACCTTATGTGTGTAGTTACGAGTCCAACATTCACTGTATTTGTGTAATTGACACGTTTGACTTTATCTGTGTAGTTACGAGTCCAACATTCACTGTATTTGTGTAATTGACACGTTTGACTTTATTTGTGTAGTTACGAGTCCAACATTCACTGTATTTGTGTAATTGACAAGTCTGACTTTATCTGTGTAGTTACAAGTCTAACATTCACTGTATTTGTGTAATTGACAAGTCTGACTTTATCTGTGTAGTTACGAGTCCAACATTCACTGTATTTGTGTAATTGACAAGTCTGACTTTATCTGTGTAGTTACGAGTCCAACATTCACTGTATTTGTGTAATTGACAAGTCTGACTTTATCTGTGTAGTTACGAGTCCAACATTCACTGTATTTGTGTAATTGACAAGTCTGACTTTATCTGTGTAGTTACGAGTCCAACATTCACTGTATTTGTGTAATTGACAAGTCTGACTTTATCTGTGTAGTTACGAGTCCAACATTCACTGTATTTGTGTAATTGACAAGTCTGACTTTATCTGTGTAGTTACGAGTCCAACATTCACTGTATTTGTGTAATTGACAAGTCTGACTTTATCTGTGTAGTTACGAGTCCAACATTCACTGTATTTGTGTAATTGACAAGTCTGACTTTATCTGTGTAGTTACGAGTCCAACATTCACTGTATTTGTGTAATTGACAAGTCTGACTTTATCTGTGTAGTTACCAGTCCAACATTCACTGTATTTGTGTAATTGACAAGTCTGACTTTATCTGTGTAGTTACGAGTCCAACATTCACTGTATTTGTGTAATTGACAAGTCTGACTTTATCTGTGTAGTTACAAGTCTAACATTCACTGTATTTGTGTAATTGACAAGTCTGACTTTATCTGTGTAGTTACGAGTCCAACATTGGTAAGGACCCGGAGAAGGAGAAGGTGAAGCCCCGGTTCTCCCGTACTATCCTATTCGTAGAAGACTACCTTTGTAACGTCGTTAGCCAAGAAGGTGCCTTTGCAGACAAGAAACAAAACAAACTCACATTTGAAGTAAGTGATTCTTAAACAAATAAATTCAGTCAACCTGCCATGAAATGGCTTGAAACCTTTTCTGGGTTTTGAATAGTTGCCATATTCTGAAGTTGTTTTAAAGGAGAGAGTTCAGAAGGACCTCATAAGTTTTTGTGCTGACATATCATAATTATCATTACCTTTAAAATTACTGCCTATTTATTGTATCTCAGCTGTGACTCATGGATATGTTTTTTTTTATTTGTAAAGTATAATCATCACATCTGATCCATATAATTTCTTGTTTCAAGACAGTGTATATGATAGCAAGTGACAAATGATTAATGTTATGATTCCTGTTTCTAGGTCTTCAAATGACTGTGATTTAAGTTTCTAGAGTGTTCGGAATTAGGATGTGATTCCTGTTTCTATTGTAAATTATGTTGTAGTTTCTGTTTCTAGTGTTTCAAAAATGATCGTGTGGTTCTTGTTAATGATGCTGTGATTTCTTGTTTCAGCGAGTTATTAACGGTGCCATTTCCTGTTTCAGCGAGTTATTTACGGTGCCATTTCCTGTTTTAGGTGGTGAACTTGGCCAAACAGCTTATCTACTTTGGATTCTACTCCTTCAGTAATCTCCTGCGCCTCACGAAAACTCTCCTCAACATTCTCGACTTCGCGCCAGAGAAGGAATTACATGGCGTGGGTAAAGTGAGACAGCCTGTCTCCCTCAGTGACCATGGTAACCAGTCCTCTAACATGTATTGTTTGGTCATTTATGACAGTATCTTAAATAATATAAAGTTAAAGTTAGTTTCCAATACACTGGACTCAAAAATTAAACAATTGTATTATATAAAGTTAAAGTTCATTGTTAATTACCTTTGCCCTATAGTTATAATGAAGTTCTTCATTCTGCCAAAGTTTATCTTTTCTGTTCTTAAAAGTACATGTATTGAAGAGTATTGCTGTTGACATTGCAATATAAACAGTTTGAGACAATCTCATCACAATGTTAACTCAAAAGAGTAAATAACCCTCACAAATGGGAGGTAGAACAATAAAACAATCTAAGACCTATTGCAGAATTGTGAAATTTTAGAGGTTAGCTATGTATTGGAGAAACATTACTTGTTCAACCAACAAAAGACACCTCGTTTAATAAATAAATGAATCAATTAAAACTCATTGGAGATCTGCAATATTGAAAGACAAAACTATTGTAAAAGTAGCTGTGAACAGTTGAAATGACAAAAAATGTTGTTATTTACTGTATGAATAATGTTTTTGTATTGCCAGGTCCTGACAAAGCCATCTCCAACGTGATCTCCACCCGTAGCAATGGTGATGGGGGCGAGGCCGACACACTTGTCATGGACACCAAGCTTAAAATCATTGAAATATTGAAGGTAGGTCTACACACGTGCAGCTGGGGAACTGTCACTTCTATATTACTGGTCAAATTAAAATTAGCAAAAAATAACTACCTAAAAGTTAGCTGAAGTCTTTCATGTAGAATTCCAATGCTATGCACACATCTTGACTTGACAGGACACCTATAAGCTCATTTTGGTGTAAATGATTAAGTTTTACATTGTAATATTAATTTATTATATAATACAGGCTATTTCTGTGTAATATTGCCGTTCAATAAAAACGATATAGCACACGTACAATAAACATGTCAATGAGTCTCGTCACCGTGGGAAACAGGTCATATTACTACGCACTACAACTTCTTCGTTTGTAAACAAAATGGCTGACAGAGTTACTGTTTGCATTGATAGCAGAGGCAGGGGCACTGGGAGAATAAAATTAACAAACAAGTTTAATAAATTCAACATTATATAAACACGAATGTTAGCTTCACACAAATTTAACACATGCATGTTCAAATTCCACTTGAACTTCTCCGACATACACACAATCAATGGCAAACACGTGTACCTTTACAGTGCATGCCCCGTTGTGCCAACTATGTGACGTCACTGCTATTTGCGTAAACGCCAATACGCTGAATGGTTTCCGTATAAAAAAATATTATTAATGTTGTTATGATAATTATTAAAACATTGGTTGATGAAGAAAACCTAAATGATTGTTTGTTCATTGAAAAGCTTCACGAGAAGAAGTTTCTGAAACTATTTTTTGTGGCGCAGCAAGCTCCAAACAAAATGCATATATTGTGTCCTTTCGTCAGCCATCGGTACAATTTATATAGAGGAGACGTGCCAAGAAAAAGAGTGTTTCTCTATTTATATAATAAATAGAATCTAACACAAGTGTTCATGTAATATTGAACCTATTAAACTCGTTTATTGATTTAATATGAAATTAATAAACTTGTTCAATAAATTCAATATTACATAATCACTCATGTCAGATCCTCTATTTACATAATATTTGTTTTAGCTAATAACTTATCTAATCCCAAGGATACTACTTATAGACACATTATTTATGTGCCAAGAGATGACAGACATATAGTAAACACAATAAGGAGAGTAGGAGAACAGCCTTACTCAAACACATACTGCTACATGATCCCTTACTCTGTGAGGGAATTTATGTGTTGGAGGTTGTTTTGGGTCTGTATTTCCAGCAGCTTATTTCTAGTGCCACAATAACGTAGAAACTGCAACACTGAACCCAGACCATATTGTACTAAAACTCTAGGGAGATGCAGGTATACAGCAAGGGTAAATCTCAATGACACAGCCACAACCAATCATCGCCCTCAGAAGGAATGAAACCTATATTCTTGCTGACACTACGTCAGTGACACAACCACAACCAATCATTGCCCTCAGAGGGAATGAAACCTACATTCTTGCTGACACTACTACGTCATTGACACAACCACAACCAATCATCGCCCTCAGAGGGAATGAAACCTACATTCTTGCTGACACTACTACGTCATTGACACAACCCCAACCAATCATCGCCCTCAGAGGGAATGAAACCTACATTCTTGCTGACACTACATCAGTGACAACCACAACCAATCATCGCCCTCAGAGGGAATGAAACCTACATTCTTGCTGACACTACGTCAGTGACACAACAACAACCAATCATCGCCCTCAGAGGGATTGAAACCTACATTCTTGCTGACACTACGTCAGTGACACAACCAATCATCACCCTCAGAGGGAATGAAACCTACATTCTTGTTGACACTTCATCAGTGACACAACCACAACCAATCATCGCCCTGAGAGGGAATGAAACCTACATTCTTGCTGACACTACGTCAGTGTCACAACCACAACCAATCATCGCCCTCAGAGGGAATGAAACCAACATTCTTGCTGACACTACGTCAGTGACACAACCACAACCAATCAGCGCCCTGAGAGGGAATGAAACCTACATTCTTGCTGACACTACGTCAGTGACACAACAACAACCAATCATCGCCCTCAGAGGGATTGAACCCTACATTCTTGCTGACACTACGTCAGTGACACAACAACAACCAATCATCGCCCTCAGAGGGATTGAACCCTACATTCTTGCTGACACTACGTCAGTGACACAACCAATCATCGCCCTCAGAGGGAATGAAACCAACATTCTTGCTGACACTACGTCAGTGACACAACAACAACCAATCATCGCCCTCAGAGGGATTGAAACCTACATTCTTACTGACACTACGTCAGTGACACAACCAATCATCGCCCTCAGAGGGAATGAAACCAACATTCTTGCTGACACTACGTCAGTGACACAACAACAACCAATCATCGCCCTCAGAGGGATTGAACCCTACATTCTTGCTGACACTACGTCAGTGACACAACCAATCATCCCCCTCAGAGGGAATGAAACCTACATTCTTGTTGACAGTTCATCAGTGACACAACCACAACCAATCATCGCCCTTAGAGGGAATGAAACCTACATTCTTGCTGACATTACGTCAGTGTCACAACCACAACCAGTCATCACCCTCAGAGGGAATGCAACCTACATATTTGATGACACTATGTCAGTGACACAACCACAACAACCACAACCAATCATCGCCCTCAGAGGGAATGCAACCTACATTCTTGCTGACATTACGTCAGTGTCACAACCACAACCAGTCATCACCCTCAGAGGGAATGCAACCTACATATTTGATGACACTATGTCAGTGACACAACCACAACAACCACAACCAATCATCGCCCTCAGAGGGAAAGCAACCTACATTCTTGCTGACACTACGTCAGTGACACAACAACAACCAATCATCGCCCTCAGAGGGATTGAACCCTACATTCTTGCTGACACTACGTCAGTGACACAACAACAACCAATCATCGCCCTCAGAGGGATTGAAACCTACATTCTTACTGACACTACGTCAGTGACACAACCACAACCAATCATTGCCCTCAGAGCGAATGAAACCTACATTCTTGCTGACACTATGTCAGTGTCACAACCACAACCAATCATCGCCCTCAGAGGGAATGAAACCAACATTCTTGCTGACACTACGTCAGTGACACAACCAATCATCACCCTCAGAGGGAATGCAACCTACATATTTGATGACACTACGTCAGTGACACAACCACAACCAATCAGCGCCCTGAGAGGGAATGAAACCTACATTCTTGCTGACATTACGTCAGTGTCACATCCACAACCAATCATCACCCTCAGAGGGAATGCAACCTACATATTTGATGACACTATGTCAGTGACACAACCACAACAACCACAACCAATCATCGCCCTCAGAGGGAAAGCAACCTACATTCTTGCTGACACTACGTCAGAGACACAACCACAACCAATCATCACCCTCAGAGGGGTCAGTGACACAACCACAACCAATCATTGCCCTCAGAGCGAATGAAACCTACATTCTTGCTGACACTATGTCAGTGTCACAACCACAACTAATCATCGCCCTCAGAGGGAATGCAACCTACATTCTTGCTGACATTACGTCAGTGTCACATCCACAACCAATCATCACCCTCAGAGGGAATGAAACCTACATTGTTGTTGACACTTCATCAGTGACACAACCACAACCAATCATCACCCTCAGAGGGAATGAAACCTACATTCTTGCTGACATTACGTCAGTGTCACAACCACAACCAATCATCACCCTCAGAGGGAATGCAACCTACATATTTGATGACACTATGTCAGTGACACAACCACAACCAATCATCGCCCTCAGAGGGAATGCAACCTACATTCTTGCTGACACTCTGTCAGCGCAATTTTGTTTTGATGTCCTCAAGTTACCTGAATTTCTTGAAAAGATTAAATTCATATTCAGTGTGGAAGTTTATCATGAAAATCATTCTAACGTTATGACATTAGGTATTGATTTAATGCACAGTCTTCCAAACTTTAGTTATTTAAGATGCATATACATGTGAATAAAACTTGCAATTTCTATTTAGTTGATACAAGAAATGATAAAACATGACATAGGTTTCCATTTTTATTGAGTTCAAAGTAGCATTGCCTAATGTAGAGAGCAAGCATCATTATAGAGGAGAGCAAGTATCTTTGTAGAGTAGAATGTAAGAGTAACATCATATAGTGTTACAAGTAACATGGTATAGAATAGGCTTCAAAAGTAACATTATAGATTAGAATTTTGAAGAGTGAATAACATTAATTTGTTGATTTGTAGAATAAAAATTTATGTTACATGAGGTCCCAGTCAAAAGGAATTAGTCCAGAACTCCAAATTATACTTCACAGTGAAGGGGAACTATTTCAGCTTGCATATTTGAAGATAAAAGGGGGAGGGTAATATAGTTACCTGGCATCAGTGTTCAACTGCACATCATTATTGGTTGATTATTTGGCATTGATATTCCAAGGGAATCTGAAGGGGTCTAACATTGATGCAATGCTGTCCAGTGCAATTGAACCATTTTAAAAAAGAAGTGTTTTTATCTGTTTTCGACTTACCATTTCTCTAATATTCTATGAACAAGTTTGCTGTTTTCCAACAGCTTTTTTTTTTTTTTTTTTTTTTTTTAATTTCATCAAATTTAGATTTTTTGTGAACATTTCAATATGTATGGAATATTTTGTTAAGGAAATAGTCATAGCATTTTAATATTTTGAATAATTATAGAAAGCAGTAGGAAATAGTTGACAATCTTTAATTGCATATGTGATAGTTATTAGTACTACCACTAATCAATTAACTCTAACTGTATCTGTACCAAATGTGTCGTAACTCATGACAAGTAGTGTTGTCATTAAATATTAAAAACTAATAGGATGTGATATCCACTACACAGTCATACTTGTTACTACGTCATTAAACTGAACGACTTTCAGATCACATATAAATTGACGATGAGCACCAGCTGAAATCATAATCAGTGCTTATAATAATCAAGACCATATTTTAAAAACATTTTGCTAATCATTATTAGCTCACCTGGCCCGAAGGGCCAAGTGAGCTTATGGCATGGTGCGGCGTGCGTCGTCAATTTTTTACTTTAAACAACTTCTTCTCAGTAACCAAAAGGCCTAGGGTGATGATATTTGGCCAGAAGGAAGGGCTACCAAGTTTGTTCAAATAAATGACCTTCATCAATTTTCAAGGTCACAGGGGTCAAATATGTTAAAATTTTTAAGCAACTTCTTCTGAATAACCGAGAGGCCTAGGGTGATGATATTTAGCCAGTAACATGCTGGGGTGAAAGGCTACCAAGTTTGTTCAAATAAATGACCTTGTCTTATATTCAAGGTCACAGGGGTCAAATATGTTTAAAACCTTTAAACAACTTATTCTCAATAACCACGAGGCCTAGGGTAATGATATTTGGCCAGTAACATGCTGGGATGAAGGGCTACCAAGTTTGTTCAAATAGATGACCTTCATCCATTTTCAAGGTCACAGGGGTCAACTATATATAAAATCTTTAAATAACTTCTTCTGAATAACCAAGAGGCCTAGGGTGATGATATTTGGCCAGTACCATGCTGGGATGAAGGGTTGCCAAGTTTGTTCAAATGAATAACCTTCGCCCATATTCAAGGTCACCGTGGTTAATATATGTTTAAATCTTTAAATGATTTGTTCTGTATAACCAAAAAGTTCAGGGTAATGATATTTTGCTAGAAGCATGCTGGGTTGGAAGACTATAAATTCTGTTCAACCTAATATCCTTGTTCGACATTCAACGTCACGGGTGTCATATGTTTAAATATTTCAATAGGTTCTCATTAATCAAACACCAATATTCTGCCTGTAGTTGTATTTTAGTCCACTTTTAAGATAACAAGTGTGAAATTAATACCAGGTGAGCGATTCAGGCCCATTGGGCCTCTTGTTTTTTTTATTAATTGACTAATAGTTAATTAGCAAGTGCAGTGAAAGCAGACAACATTAAATCCCTCGGGTCGAGATAAATAATTACCTGAATGGACATAAAAGTACAACACTGTATCTTATATTTTGCTTGTGTCTGATATAGCATTCAGCATTATTGGATCAAGGTACCATTTACTTTTTGTATAGATAACTTGATAGAACATTTGCATGGACTCTTCAAAAACATCTATATTTGCTCATTGTGAAAGTAGTAACAAAGAAAAAAGCATTGTATCTTGCCCGGTTCACAAATTCTACAAGTGTACACTTTACTTCATTGATTTTTTTTTCCACAAATTGTGATAAAATTGCCAATTTAGTTTTGTGGGGTTATTAAGCATAATAGCCTTGCCAAGTGATTATAAATGTAGGTACTGGCTGTAAAACATGCTGTGTCTAATGTTGTTTATTTAGTTATTGTCTATTCTATTTAATTTGTTTTACCAGTTTTAAAAGTATACATGACCAATTCAGTCTTCACATTTCTTCACTCACTTACCATATTTGCTGACTTTCCCAATGTTGGAAAGGATATTCCTGATTTTGGACCTGAGCATTTCATATTTCCAACAAATCGATTTGCTATAATTCTATTTCTGTATTCTAAGATGAAATGATTTTATCTGAGAGAACAACTCAGATATGCCATTTCAAAGTGTTATATTGCCCTAGAGGTAAAAACATGGTTATTTAAATTTGTGTGTTCGGTTTTGAGCACACAGAATCTCCTCCACTAAATTTCAAAATGTTGGTTCTTATGACTGTAATCAATTCACTGTGTTGTCCTAGTAAAGTTCAATTAAAAATATTGGAATTGAAATCCAATTTTAAACCAAATTAACTTGAGTAGACATACTGTACCGTAGTATTTAGCCGTTTAGACTGTGTTCGGGAATATATGAATGTAATGGCTTTCTGTGTTAGTATATATCATGTTATATTTTCTTTCCAGTTTATTACTGATGTGCGACTGGATTATCGTATCACATGCCTTCTGTCCATTTTCAAAGGAGAATTTGATGAGAACAATGTTTTACGGGATGAGGACGGTAATAGACTTGTAGTAGTCCTGATGCTATCTGTATGGGGACCGGCTGAAGGTTGATTGGTGGTCTGGAACTTTCATGGCATGGACACTGACTCTCCTATACTAAACATTGTTTATTTTTCTTTCAGATACAGTTTGCATACTTGCTGTTCTATGTTTTGCAACAGTGCAGTTGATATGGGAAAGATATAATGTATTTAACTAAATTTAATTTAATTTAGAATTTTCAGTAAAAAGGAAATTTTGTTTTGTTCCAAAACAACAATTTCATCACAAAAGTTTTATATGAAAATTATATTTTAGAAAGTATTTTAAAGTTAACCATACTAACTGTCTGTTAAAAAATAGTCCTATTTAACTGCTAATATTTATCTATCAGTGTTTGTTTCACCAGAGGGTGTAACATCTGTCAATAGCTGTGATTCAAACAGTCTTTACAGCTGGTTCTATTATTCTATACACATTCTGTCATTTAGAAAACATTTTCATAGCAAACCTTTGAAGTTAAAAGAGATTTATCATCAAACAATTTTAAGATCAAATTTACAGAATGGCTTTAAGGTCAGTCTTCTTACTTTGGTGTGTGTTATACCTTTTCTGTCTTCATTGCTGTAAAAACTCTTGATTTAAACCACTTAAGAAATATATATAAGAACTGTACAATTAATTCTACTGAAGTATTCCATTGGTCCTTTAGTCATCCATCTATGTAATGTTTAGTTAGTTTAACAGTTAACAAACTTCATGTAGATACAGCTTGAAGAGAACTACACCAATGAATGTACAGTAATATAGGTCACTGTGACCTAAATTTTCATCTTTATTGAGTTTAGTTATACTTTGTGTTTAGCTTCATTTCTTCTGTTATATTGGATGTTTACCTCCATTTCTATAAAGCTAGACTCATGATGAGTGGGGGCAGTGTGTTTTATAACTTTTCTAGTTCATTTGAATACAACTTCAGTCTTATATTTATTTTGATGTATTTTATTTTTTTTATTTTTCATTTCTGCAATTCAATTTTATAATAAGTAATTAAAGTTTTAGAAAAGAATTTTAAAATATATATTACAGAAACAAAAAAGTTGATTAAAAGTCGATGCATACTAGAGGGTTGTCCAAGAAACAGTCAGAAGAATGGTTCAAATCACAGCTAGTGAGACCTCCTCACACATCGCCTGGTGGAGCAGGTGCCCTATTAACTAGATGACATGCGCGCAATAGATAGATTCCAGCTGTCACCATGCACCCCAGGCACAACTAAACTGCTGCCTACACTTACAGGAGCTCCTTAACTAGCGTTACACAACACACATGGAGAAGCACACCCTGAACACACAATGTCTATAATGCTTATGTTCAATGTTTGCTTCACCTCCGCCCTTGTCTCCTTCAAGGCAGATCTGGAATTAGCTGGATTCTTCAGCAACCAGATAATAATATGTAGTTCTGTTTGGATTGATTTTCTAGTGTTGATTAATTTGTTTAAATTAGGGATATAATAATAAAAGAAATCGTGAATATTGAAAGTATAAAAAACCTGACCAGATCTGCAAGGAACAAATGGCGACGTATTAACAGTTTAAAATGTTGATTTGATTCTAATATAGAGACACTAACAGCATGAATGAGCATTGGAGAGTATGGTATGTTTGCCTGACCATTGCCTCTCACTGACTACATACATATATGATGTAGACCTAACTATTAACCATACAGTCAATCTACATACAGCTATAACCTACACTCAATAGCCACGTTTATGTATGTGTGTGCCCTTTATGTTCCCTATTCATCTTTTTCAGTATTTAATGCATGTGCGTTTGGACTACCGTTTAACGTGGATTCTCTCTATGTTCAAAAGTCAAATTGAACAACAACCCTGGATCAACGGCAGCGATGACGATGAGCTCAGTGGGTTATTTTACATGACTGACTATCTGCATCACCTATATAACTTGATGTCATACTAAGTCTTTCTTTTTTTGCATCCCATCATCATTGTTGTCAGTCTGTATGGTATCCCAAATGTATTTAGTTGTATTGGTATCCTGTCTACCCACCTAACTTATAACTACAGCAAGCTTTCTTTGTCCTATAAGTATCTTGTTACAACACATTATTATAGCAGAATATTTCCCTATGTTGATGATGTGGTATGACAAAGAAATCTCAACCTTGGAGTGGTAAGATTGTTCTAATTTGAGGCTCGTTGTAAGTTTAAATTTTTAAGAATCTTTTATCCTGATGATGGTCATTTCTTAATCATACCATCACGATATGGACATATTTCTTTTCTCCCATCCTGTTCACAGTTTAAAACTGCCACATCTGTAAACAGAAGAACATGGTTAGCACAACTGCCTCTGTCTGAGACATTGTATGTGTATTTATCAATGTATAACAAACACACATGTAGTTATCATATAAATCCTATATTTATTTACTAAGAAATAGTTTATAAGAGATCTGATCTTTTAAAGAAACAGATTTAAGTGGAAAATAATTTATCAGCAAATAAATGTGATGGTTACAGTAAACTGCCTCTGGTTCAGTGTATTCCTGTTGTCGTTGTATCCGAGTGGTTGACAGAGAAACATATGTTACAGTAAACTGCCTATGGTTCAGTGTATTCCTGTTGTCGTTGTATCCTAGTGGTTGACAGAGAAACATATGGTTACAGTAAACTGCCTCTGGTTCAGTGTATTCCTGTTGTCGTTGTATCCTAGTGGTTGACAGAGAAACATATGTTACAGTAAACTGCCTCTGGTTCAGTGTATTCCTGTTGTCGTTGTATCCTAGTGGTTGACAGAGAAACATATGTTACAGTAAACTGCCTCTGGTTCAGTGTATTCCTGTTGTCGTTGTATCCTAGTGGTTGACAGAGAAACATATGTTACAGTAAACTGCCTCTGGTTCAGTGTATTCCTGTTGTCGTTGTATCCTAGTGGTTGACAGAGAAACATATGTTACAGTAAACTGCCTCTGGTTCAGTGTATTCCTGTTGTCGTTGTATCCTAGTGGTTGACAGAGAAACATATGTTACAGTAAACTGCCTCTGGTTCAGTGTATTCCTGTTGTCGTTGTATCCTAGTGGTTGACAGAGAAACATATGTTACAGTAAACTGCCTCTGGTTCAGTGTATTCCTGTTGTCGTTGTATCCTAGTGGTTGACAGAGAAACATATGTTACAGTAAACTGCCTCTGGTTCAGTGTATTCCTGTTGTCGTTGTATCCTAGTGGTTGACAGAGAAACATATGTTACAGTAAACTGCCTCTGGTTCAGTGTATTCCTGTTGTCGTTGTATCCTAGTGGTTGACAGAGAAACATATGTTACAGTAAACTGCCTCTGGTTCAGTGTATTCCTGTTGTCGTTGTATCCTAGTGGTTGACAGAGAAACATATGTTACAGTAAACTGCCTCTGGTTCAGTGTATTCCTGTTGTCGTTGTATCCTAGTGGTTGACAGAGAAACATATGTTACAGTAAACTGCCTCTGGTTCAGTGTATTCCTGTTGTCGTTGTATCCTAGTGGTTGACAGAGAAACATATGTTACAGTAAACTGCCTCTGGTTCAGTGTATTCCTGTTGTCGTTGTATCCTAGTGGTTGACAGAGAAACATATGTTACAGTAAACTGCCTCTGGTTCAGTGTATTCCTGTTGTCGTTGTATCCTAGTGGTTGACAGAGAAACATATGTTACAGTAAACTGCCTCTGGTTCAGTGTATTCCTGTTGTCGTTGTATCCTAGTGGTTGACAGAGAAACATATGTTACAGTAAACTGCCTCTGGTTCAGTGTATTCCTGTTGTCGTTGTATCCTAGTGGTTGACAGAGAAACATATGTTACAGTAAACTGCCTCTGGTTCAGTGTATTCCTGTTGTCGTTGTATCCTAGTGGTTGACAGAGAAACATATGTTACAGTAAACTGCCTCTGGTTCAGTGTATTCCTGTTGTCGTTGTATCCTAGTGGTTGACAGAGAAACATATGTTACAGTAAACTGCCTCTGGTTCAGTGTATTCCTGTTGTCGTTGTATCCTAGTGGTTGACAGAGAAACATATGTTACAGTAAACTGCCTCTGGTTCAGTGTATTCCTGTTGTCGTTGTATCCTAGTGGTTGACAGAGAAACATATGTTACAGTAAACTGCCTCTGGTTCAGTGTATTCCTGTTGTCGTTGTATCCTAGTGGTTGACAGAGAAACATATGTTACAGTAAACTGCCTCTGGTTCAGTGTATTCCTGTTGTCGTTGTATCCTAGTGGTTGACAGAGAAACATATGTTACAGTAAACTGCCTCTGGTTCAGTGTATTCCTGTTGTCGTTGTATCCTAGTGGTTGACAGAGAAACATATGTTACAGTAAACTGCCTCTGGTTCAGTGTATTCCTGTTGTCGTTGTATCCTAGTGGTTGACAGAGAAACATATGTTACAGTAAACTGCCTCTGGTTCAGTGTATTCCTGTTGTCGTTGTATCCTAGTGGTTGACAGAGAAACATATGTTACAGTAAACTGCCTCTGGTTCAGTGTATTCCTGTTGTCGTTGTATCCTAGTGGTTGACAGAGAAACATATGTTACAGTAAACTGCCTCTGGTTCAGTGTATTCCTGTTGTCGTTGTATCCTAGTGGTTGACAGAGAAACATATGTTACAGTAAACTGCCTCTGGTTCAGTGTATTCCTGTTGTCGTTGTATCCTAGTGGTTGACAGAGAAACATATGTTACAGTAAACTGCCTCTGGTTCAGTGTATTCCTGTTGTCGTTGTATCCTAGTGGTTGACAGAGAAACATATGTTACAGTAAACTGCCTCTGGTTCAGTGTATTCCTGTTGTCGTTGTATCCTAGTGGTTGACAGAGAAACATATGTTACAGTAAACTGCCTCTGGTTCAGTGTATTCCTGTTGTCGTTGTATCCTAGTGGTTGACAGAGAAACATATGTTACAGTAAACTGCCTCTGGTTCAGTGTATTCCTGTTGTCGTTGTATCCTAGTGGTTGACAGAGAAACATATGTTACAGTAAACTGCCTCTGGTTCAGTGTATTCCTGTTGTCGTTGTATCCTAGTGGTTTACAGAGAAACATATGGTTACAGTAAACTGCCTCTGGTTCAGTGTATTCCTGTTGTCGTTGTATCCTAGTGGTTTACAGAGAAACATATGTTACAGTAAACTGCCTCTGGTTCAGTGTGTTCCTGTTGTCGTTGTATCCTAGTGGTTGACAGAGAAACAAATGCCTCAATCAAACCATAAATCTGGGGAGGCTGGGAGAAATCACAAACACCACATCTCTGTTTCATTTCACAACTATAAAGAACACTATGTCCTTAAATTGTACCATTAAAAATTAGTCATTGAGTGGGACTTTTGAATCAAACTTCTGAAAGTATCTCCCTGACAGTATGAAAATAACATCTCCTGTAGTGTATTTATAAATAGAAATGGCCACATAGTAAATATTGTCTTGTTTATATACACATGGTACAGTTTTGCATGAGTGTAATGTTAGAATGATTTTATTCCCTGTATTATCATCAATCATTGATACCTGTCATATTTGTATAATTTAACATTCTCCAACCAGATCTTTATTAATACATATAAAATTTATTTCAATCCCCTGATAACCATTCTCCTTCCACAATATCTCATCTTTTACTTAGTGTACAACAGTTTTTGTTTCACAAATTCCCAACATTTTATCTAATAATTATAAACACCCGTCATTAATCAGATTCCCACATACAAATGGTACAGGAATATTCCAATACCAATTTTATATTCCTTTCTTTCCTCACCTTGTTATTCAAAACCCTTTTTACCTGTAGTTTTCATTTGATTTCATGGATTATTTTATGATAAAGAATGTTAAGTAAGGTACCTGTAGCCTATAAGTCTAACTGACGTCCTTGATTTCTTTTTTCTTGTCCAATAATTTCACAGCTTCCATTTGCAACTTTTATATAACAAGAATTCTGTGCTGTCTCGTTGACCTCATCAAGGTTTTGCCTTACACAACAGTTTTGTCCAGTGTTATTTTCACAATTGTGGGCAAAATTGAATTTGCAGCTTCTGGATTGTTTGTTTTGTGGTGTAACCTGGACTTGGGAAGAAAAGCTAAATTTGTGACAGCATTATGGCACTAGCAAAATAAGCTTGTATACAGAAGCCAGGATCCAGTGTGAAAAATAATGCTTCTCAAAGTTGCCAAAAATCTTAATGAATTCCCCTTTAGGTATATGCACTCAGTCCCTTTGTCAGTAGGGCTGCCATTCTTTCAGTGCACTGCATCATCCGAAGCATAGCTCTGCATATACGCTGTCACCTAGAATTGCTGAATTTTATGCATAACTACCTCTTGGGAAGGTATAGTGTTGCATACTGAAATCTGTTCCTTAGCATTAGTATATACAGAGTTATGGCCCTTTGTGTCACTGTCTTGGGCATGCATATCTCATTTAAGTCCATCACTTACAAGTACCAAATTTTGTGTGCAAATACCCCTTGGGATGATCGAGTGTCTCATACTGAAACTGAGTCTTGTTCCCCAATACATACAGAGTTACATTTGTATGTCCCTTTGTAAACCAAAGTGTTCAGGATTTAGGGAATTATGAATTGCTCATAGTTTGCCTTGTTTATGGTACAATGAAGTTGATGACTAATTATATAATTAGTACAACCATAATTCGGTGTGATAAGTACACATGCTCAATCAAGTTATTACAAATTATGTCTTGTAGGACCTATATAACCAGAATTCATTGCTATCTTGTCTGCCAATCTTGCATTGATGTTTAATAAGAGTAGCTGCTAAATCAAAGAGCTATGATACCACACAGACCAGGAGGTTTACTTCATGCTTCAATAACTATGAAATATGTAATTCAAATTGATGGATACAATTCTTTTTCATTACTCAGCAAGAGAATATTTATCTACAGGAAACTGGTCCTTGAAACTGTTCTCATGCTCAAACTGAGATTCTTTGCTCAATTTCTTGTGCTGGTTAAATCATTAAAAATTTGTATCTTGTCAATAATTTTGGAAAAAGTTTTGGAGATATTTGAAGTCAAATACCACTTTCAATGTCTAGACATGACTTTTTGACCATGTGATGTGATTTTGCAAAGTTGTAAAAAAAGTTGGTTTGAGCACAAAATCCATACTTGAGCATAAGAACAGTTTCATTAATAATGGTCCTTGAGTACAATGAAGGGCTACTTATACGGTGTGAAATGTGATCACCTGGGTAATTATAGGTTTTGTTGTATCGGGATAACAGGGCTCCAGGGTTTGTTAGTGGTGGTGCTTAGCATCTTCTTTGTATTAGGACAAAAATACACCAATGTTTGTCGTTGTTAGCATTTATGTGCATGATTTAATAATTTTGTCATCCCTTTTACATTATGTTCATTTTGATTTGTGTATGTCGATTTCTTTTCTAATTAATAATTAGGTGTTTGTTTTCTTGATTTTCTTGATTTCTGTTAAAATAGTATCTAGATTAATTCTGCACTCTTAGTCTTGAAGTATTTGTTTGAGAAATATATGATTTCCATATAATCGCTTAACTAGGTTTGTGTGTGTGATTTGGTTTATAGTGCTTGCTTGCCTGGGTAGACATTGCTTCGATTCATTCTTACATATGTCACAATATTGTTTTTTACTTTTTAGCAGCATATATTGTTATCTTAAAAGGATCCATTATACATTTAAATTAAAGAAAACGAAATTTCAATGCTTTGATTTTACAATAAAACTAACTTTATAAAATAATCGTGCTGAATGTAAAATAAGTAATGATAATTGTGTTTTTACCATCAACTTGACAAAGCTTCTATATAAGATGTGTCCAAGGTGTATAAGTACACTATTTTGTAGGTTTACGACTTTAACTCCATGTGCTTGGTTTCCTTACAGGCCTCGACCTGGACAGTATAGGCCAGCAGGCGGAGGAAATATTTGGTGGCAGGTAAGCTTATCCCATGTGTACAGATGTATGGTGTTTCTATTTTATTGAAGTTCTGTCACTCTTAATATTCAGTCAGAAAAAGTGTAAAATATAGAGGCTGCATATTTATCAATGTGCTGATGAAGATGTAAAGGTGGATTACATAGCATCCCTGTAAAGATACTAAAAGTCAAAAGAAGTCTTTAAAAACGTACCAAAAGGTGCTTGTTGAGAGGAAGGGTAAACATTTACCAATTAAGTCATTAGGAAGATTTTAATTTTCTCTCACTAAGGACTGATGTTTTGTCTATTGAGGACAGTTCATACCTAATTATTTGTTCTGTACCTCTCAGCTCGACAACAGCTGAGTTGGACCTAGATGGGCAAGGTGGCAAGATGTTCTTGAGGGTCTTACTCAACCTGGTGATGCACAACTACCCGACCCTGGTGTCTGGGGCTCTACAACTTCTGTTTAGACACTTTAGTCAGAGACAGGAAGTCCTACAGGCCTTCAAACAGGTAACTTTTCCCATCCCAGTGTGCTTACTAGACCTATTTAGATGCCTTAGTCCAAGACTAAAAGACCTACATGCTTTCACACAGATAACTACCTGGTGCCTGGTGTCCTGTAAGCTTAAAACTGTTTAGCCAGAGACATGAAAACCAACATTTATTGTTTCCTGTAAGTTAAAAAACTGAAGCCAGAGACATGAAATCCTACATGTAATGACTCCAGTGGTTACTACAATCAATTGCTGTTTTAGGTCCAACTTCTTGTGACGGCGGCTGACGTGGAGAACTACAAACAGATCAAGACGGACTTGGAAGACCTGAGAAATCTGGTGGAGAAGTCAGAACTCTGGGTTTTCAAGTCAAAATTTGTCGTTGAGACGCCAAAACCAAAGAAAAAGGCCAAAGAGTCTGGCGGAGGGGACAAGGTCTGATATACAACAGTTTCCTTCCTGCTTTAAAATGTTAGGATCAAGATAATACTTCAGTTTGTATCCGTCTTGAAAACTCAGCAATGTTATAACTTGCAATAAGTGTGATTGTGGTGTGTCCATTAATATTGATGCATCATTTTACAGTGCTTCAATTTTTCCACCACACCAATTTTTAACCGTGATATCGTTGTGGTATTTATGTTGACCTAAACATGATGATGGGAATTCAGAACTCCATAACTATAGACAGATAGGTGGGGCAAAATGCATTGAGAGTCGTGGATGGACGGAGGCTACTATGAATATAACTGCCATATATTAGAGATAACTAATATACTGCCATATNTATACTACATTATCAAAATCTTCTAGCTGAATTGCCTCATTTTATTTTTTCATATTTTGATGTTGTTGTATCCCTTACTTTTTATCACTCCTACCAATGATATATATATTGATACTAAATGGTTCTATACTTCTAACTACTTCATGCAACAGCAGCAGGGTATGAATAGGGGGCACTAATGACTTGCAAAACAAAAAACAAAAAAACAATTGTAGCAATTTCTCTGTTTAATATATCATTAGGGCATTGCTTTCCTATTACTAATTAATTATGATTGACTTTTTAATATGAGCATTGTATAGCTAAAAATATCAATTAAATATTTATATGTAATTGAAACATACATAGAATTATCTCCCCTATACCATCTGCTATATATATATATATATGTCTATGCTACCTATTATATATGATTTGCATCAATATTTTCTTACAAACCATTTCATTCATCTTTGTCTTTGTCATGTCAACCAAAGGAGATAACTTACATAGGCCTAGCCTGCTGTTCAATCCTATTGTTTACTCAATAAAATATGATGAAACGATAACTAATAAACTGCCATATATTAGAGATAACTAATAAACTGCCATATATTACCATATATTAGAGATAACTAATAAACTGCAATATATTAGAGATAACTAATATACTGCCATATATTAGAGATAATTAATATACAGTAAATATATAACTGCTATACAGTATCTTTGGCTTTTATGCAAGCTGTATACTATACATTTTCGTTAAAACAATACATCATTAATTTCTTGACAATGTTTTTTTGTATACTGTTTCATGTAAAGACATTTAGTTTGATATAAGAATCTTTTTGAAGATATAAGCATATATAAATGTTGTATATCGTATATGATGGTGTCGTGATTTGATTATCTATTTGACTGATCAGTCAGTCTGTTGAGTTATACTCAATCTGTTAATTTATCATGTTTCAGGATGACAAGGAAGGAAAAGAAGGAAAAAAGAAAACAAAAGCCCAGCCATCAGTTTGGGTAGGTCACTTATAGTTAATAGGCCAATGTATTAATACTGATCAATCTTTAGGGAAAAAACAGCTGTCAAATTGAGCAATTCCCAGGAAACATTGTTGGGACCATATCATAACAACATAAAACTCTGTAAACATGGTATTAGATCTTAAAAGATGAAAAATGTATAGAAATAAATTGTGCTAGGTATAGTGAGACAATCATAGGACTATAGTAACATGCAAGGTATGACTTTATGATTGATGAGTTTAACTGATTTATTGTTGTAAAATCAGGCAATTGAGTAGACTTATGATGAATTGAAGGTAAGGTTTATACAATTGTGTAAACTTTGTTTTCAGAATATATCCAAGGATCAGGGTTCGGCCATAGATCTAGAGCTGGGTCCGTCTATAGACGAACAGGCTAGCAAAAACTACAAAAAAATCAAAGAGGTATGGCAACACAATGTCCAGTTACAGTGATTTGTTTTGCACAGTTTTACTGCCGAATACAGGCTATTTCCCCTTGCCAAAAGGTGCCTTATTTTCCTAAACTGACCAAAAACTGAGAAATATTCCCAATTTCAATACAATTAATGCAATATTTTCCCATTTAAAGGAGCCGGTTGTAAAATTTAGGTAACAAAAACACTGGGATAGTAAATAAATTGAGAGTATCCAAGGAGTAATGATTGAATGTGATTTATATAATTCTCCGGTATAAACTCAAGCTTGAGTGTACCTGAAAATTAACTCAAGACAATAGATATAAATCATAATCATGTAATCATAAAAAAAAGGAGTTTGATTTTGTCTCTAAAATAGCAGAACCTATAGCAATAACAGGAGAGATGACATTTATAGTTAGTGGAATGATGATGCCTAAAACAGCTATGAGGGACAACAAAACTATCGGTCAAATTAAGGTCTGTAAATATATTGTGATCATTTTGTTATTTTTACAGATATTACAGAGACTGACCAAGCTGTGTGTACAAAGTACGAGTGAGCCCGGTGTGAAGAAAGCACGGCGACATGAACAACGCTTACTGAGAAACATGAGTGCTCACTCCGCCATCCTCGAACTTCTCCAGATACCCTACGAACAGGTTAACATAAAACATTGGAACATTTACTGATTATCAGAAAATACATTATAGAGTTAACAACTCAAAGTGATCTTAATTTGTGATCAGCTCAATCGACTGACTGATTTTAACTTATGTTATAATCTGCTGCTAAGACCAGAACTATATTCAAATATTATAGTTATTTAAATCTAGTCTAAAAGTCATCATGTTTAATTGGCAGAAGGCAAACAGAACTCTGTTTTATATCACAGAATGACGATACACGGATGCACGAGATCATGCGGCTGGCTCACGAATTCCTGCAGAGTTTCTGTCTGGGTAATCCACAAAACCAGAGCCTACTGCACCAGAGTCTAGACCTCTTCCTCACCCCAGGGGTATGTTAACAGATATGTAATACCCCTTCCTTACCCCAGGGGTATGTTAACAGCTATTTAATACCTCTTCCTCACCCCAGGGGTATGTTAACAGCTATTTAATACCCCTTCCTCACCCCAGGGGTATGTTAACAGCTATTTAATACCTCTTCCTCACCCCAGGGGTATGTTAACAGCTATTTAATACCCCTTCCTCACCCCAGGGGTATGTTAACAGCTATTTAATACCTCTTCCTCACCCCAGGGGTATGTTAACAGCTATTTAATACCCCTTCCTCACCCCAGGGGTATGTTAACAGCTATTTAATACCTCTTCCTCACCCCAGGGGTATGTTAACAGCTATTTAATACCCCTTCCTCACCCCAGGGGTATGTTAACAGCTATTTAATACCTCTTCCTCACCCCAGGGGTATGTTAACAGCTATTTAATACCCCTTCCTCACCCCAGGGGTATGTTAACAGCTATTTAATACCTCTTCCTCACCCCAGGGGTATGTTAACAGCTATTTAATACCCCTTCCTCACCCCAGGGGTATGTTAACAGCTATTTAATACCTCTTCCTCACCCCAGGGGTATGTTAACAGCTATTTAATACCCCTTCCTCACCCCAGGGGTATGTTAACAGCTATTTAATACCTCTTCCTCACCCCAGGGGTATGTTAACAGCTATTTAATACCCCTTCCTCACCCCAGGGGTATGTTAACAGCTATTTAATACCTCTTCCTCACCCCAGGGGTATGTTAACAGCTATTTAATACCCCTTCCTCATCCCAGGGGTATGTTAACAGCTATTTAATACCTCTTCCTCACCCCAGGGGTATGTTAACAGCTATTTAATACCCCTTCCTCACTCCAAAGGTATGTCACACTGAAAACTACAGATATTCGTACGGCCTTGTCAGATAATTTTTTCCTGAATACAAGTCAGAGTAACAACCTTTTATATCCTTACTTAAAAAATGGGAGGGAATCATTAATGTTTTGTTTGGGCCTGTTTAGGATAATTGTGTCCAAGCTACGTATAAACTTATTGAGCCATAGGCTAAGCACTTAAAAGTCTTGACTATTGTTTATTGAGGATATAACCATATCCTCATCATATGTTTTTTCCAGACATTCAGTTTGAAAATTTCAGTTCTGATTAAAACCATATATAGTCGGTTTAATCAACTAAATACCACTAAGTAGAATCTTCTTTCCATTAAGGTATTGTTTACAAGGTTAACGTAACTGTTTGTAGCTACTAGAAGCTCGGACGATGCAGGCAATATTCCAGGACAACCTAAACCTGTGTACAGAGGTCCAGGACAGGGTGATTCAGCACTTCGTCCACTGTATAGAGACCCATGGCAGACATGTCCCGTACCTCAAGTTCCTACAGACACTTGTTAAGACTGAGGGCGAGTACATCAAGAAATGTCAAGATCTTGTAATGGCTGAGGTAAAGGTTTCATTTAAATAAACTGTCATGATTGAGGTTAAGTTACATTCTGTTAATTTGTCATAGCCAAGGTAAAGTTACATTGAAAAGAATTGTCCGAGGATACACTTGTTATTGAAATGGTCGGAGTTTCTTTGGTATATGTATCATAATAAGGTAATTTTGACTGATAAATTAGCTGTTATGAAAGAGTTTTACTGATGTTGACATAAGTTTGCACATAGTTCAAATAAATATCATCTATAGATATTCTTGATCCATATCACAATGTCCAAGTGTTTCCTAGGCTTTTAAAAGGATATGATCAGACTGTCAAAAAACTGAATGTATGTCATACACATGCAAAAAACAAAAAATCTGACTAGGCAATTAATATATGGAATATGGGTATAAGGTAATGGCTTAAGTCGACTAGTTTACACAGTGATTTTACAAATTCCTATACTTGTCTGTAACAGCTGGTAAATGCGGGAGAGGAGGTCCTGTTGTTTTACAATGACAGAGCGTCGTTTGAGGCGTTCCTAGAGCTAATGAAGTCCGAGCGTTTCAGGACAGACCAGATGAGCCCTCTGGTCTACCACATCAATCTGGTACAGCTGTTGGCTCTGTGTACAGAGGGAAAGAACGTGTACACAGAGATTAAGTGTCACTCCCTGCTCCCCCTCGACGACATCGTCCGGGTCGTCACAGACAAGGACTGTATACCAGAGGTAACCTTTATTCGATGTCTAGTATATCTAATAGTGATTGTTTTCCACAGTACTGTAATAATTACTAAATAGGACTTTAATTTCTTGAAATCTCTCTCAAAAGGTTTTGTATCTGGATAATATACACTAGGATATCATGACGTGACAAAGTCATGGCTACTTACAAATCAAATTTCAGGTTATTTGTCTTCAGCTTAGTTCCATTTGTCCTACAGTGATTACAAAAAAATGGAATTTTTTTTCTTTGATCAATCATTTATTTAATAGGTCAAAGGTCAAGTTCATCAATACCTACCTACAATTTTTTTTCCCACATCATGTTGCCATAAACTAATTCTTTTCCATGGTCCTAGCTGTGATTTAGAATTGTTATTTGTGTTACTTACAATTTGAATTCTATTTAATGTGTTACGTACAATTTGAATTCTATTTAATGTGTTACTTACAATTTGAATTCTATTTAATGTGTTACTTACAATTTGAACTCTGTTGTGTTGTTTTAGGTGAAAAGTGCCTACATCAACTTCCTGAATCACTGTTACATTGATACGGAGGTGGAGATGAAGGAAATCTACACGAGTAACCACATGTGGACCCTGTTTGAGAACTTCCTGACTGATATGGGCACCGTAAGTTCCCCACCACTTGTATGATTGATGTAGAGTTAGGAAAGAATTCAAACGTAAATCTGAAAACATATAAAGTGATGTTTTGTTTTCTCAGTACAGTAATATTGATAATATGTTTGTATGTGAATCACAACTCACACTTAAACATTTCTAAACATTTTCTTCAGGTTTGTAAGTATGGCTTAGACTCTCGCATATCTATGACCAGGTATAAAGCAAAGCGTAGCTGAATCGAGTCATTTCGGTACATATAAAACAACTATTGTACATGTAGGCTTACAGCGTAGCCGAATCAACATCGATTTGTGGACATCTCATACACATTTTACACCTTTGTATGTACTGTACTAGTCATCAAAACATCACATAGAAACACTTATTGGTTATGTAACAAGAAAATTTTGATAATGTAACATTTAAACACACAGTGGAAAAGGATCCATGTAGATGTGCAGGACAGAGCTGTTCTCGAGTAGGCTCTGTGAGGGCCTTTACCTTTATGATCATTAGTGAATGACATTACCATGAACATCTTCTGCTCGATATTGGCCCTAATAATATCTTGTGTGTTGATGGGCCGTTAGGAATTCAAAAACAAAAGCAGCAATCCTAATCATCAAAGTAGAGGTACAGGGTGTCCATAGATTATTATGGTAATTAGTTGCCGAGTGGAAATGTCCTGTACATTTAGGTCAGGAGGGTCACTTCACCAACCTCAAACTAGTAAAATAAATCTTCAGTAGCTGATCTTTATTGAAAGGTTTATTTATGTAGGTCAAAACATACAGTTGGTACTTTGATAACTACATAATTACCTTCTTATATCCTTGCATTCCAGGTGTCGACTGCAACCCACGACCGGCGCCATGCGGATACCGTGTTAGAAAGTTACGTGACAGAGATAGTGATGAATGTGATCCACACTTTCTTCAGCTCACCATTCTCCGACCAAACCACTCACCTTCAGGTAAACATTTCTGCTGAAATATCACTTCTGACACCTGTCTATTATAGAAACACTCTTCTGCTATGTTTTCTTACCTTAAAATATCGCAAGAAGATCATCATATTTATAAACTGGTTTATATCAGAATGATAATTCCAGTAGGCATGAATAGCCAGCAACATTGTGTTGTATCTGTCTGGGTGGTGGTAGAATTAGACTCGAGGTTACATTTATAAAGGTCTCCGAAGGACAGGACATGGCCTCACACAGGCTTTGGGTTGACAGAGAGCATGTCTAAAGAGACCTTATATATAGCTGCTAAGATGGAAGACATTCTGATATGATCCAGTATCTTCAAGCTGTTGTTAATTTACCTAATAAAGGAATCACACCAAAAGATTGAAATACATGTCGTTGAATAGAATAGAATGAGTGTTAGATGTTACACGAAGGATCCATGCACTTAGATGTTACACAAAGGACTGTTTCGTGCACTTGTTGGTGGACCTTTCTCGTAGGTCACTTGCTTGACTGGCTGTGTTACAGCTGTACTTGTCTGAACACTTCCGTAGATCTGTGAGTGCTTAATTAATGCTGCGTGCTGAATTTGTTCGCAGTTTTGGGCAGCATGGAATTTTATCTAGAAATCTGGAGTTTGCTTAAGGATTGATTCCAAAGTTTTATCTTGAATGGTTTTAATACCCAATCATGAAAATGAAACTTCAGTGAGATATTAGTGAAGAAATATTTTAAATAATTCTCATTATAAGGATACAAAACTAGTATTAGGTTGGATCTGAAATAGTATGATGGTGCATATTCAAACATCAGAAGTTAAAGTCATTTTCCTGTAATATATAAATATACATAATTGAAATGTTATATGAATGCTGTCTCTCTCTAGCTAGCTTGTAATTGACTGGCCTGGATTGCATTATCTGGTGGAATTAGTAACATTTATCTTTTTCTTTGGTTTAAAAGTATATGCTCTATACAGATTAATAATTCTTGTTTAACAGATAATCTCTGAAGAAAACTTAATAACACAATTCAGGAGAAATATTTAACATAGTGTATTTCTCTATATAGTGTATTTCTCTATATAATCTCTAATTTCAGTTTATATGCACTTCTAACCCAACTATTTGTGCATGATTTAGATATCACAGAATTTGCGTAATTGTTAATGCCAAATTCAAAATTTACTGTTTTCTGATTTCATACCATGAATGCTGTAATAACAAAGAAAAATATACAGATTCACATTTAGAATGAACTACAGATTTTTTCACGATTAATTGCATAATAAATGTAGTTTATATCTAGCTGACTTGTAAGCTCTTCTGCCATTGTATTGATACACAGTAGGCAGATATAAGACTAATTATGGGGGCCATCTGTCTATCCATACTTTAGTTTTTGGAGATTATCTCAGAATTTAGACATCTAAAATTTTATAAATTTCATGGTATGAAGCCTTTTAATGCACAGGTAGGTAAATAGTCAAAGTTAAGGTCACTGTTACTAAAAACAGAAAAAGGGCATATACTGTCAGAACACAAAAGATGTGTAATGATATGTAATTAGCTGTTCTATCAAGGTAGTGATACCCAGCAGGTAGACACATTGACTCTATCTGATATGTAATTAGCTGTTCTATCAAGGTAGTGATACCCAGCATGTAGACACATTAACTCTAGCTGATATGTAATTAGCTGTTCTATCAAGGTAGTGATACCCAGCAGGTAGACACATTAACTCTAGCTGATACGTAATTAGCTATTCTATCAAGGTAGTGATACCCAGCAGGTAGACACATTAAATATATATGATAGGCAATTAGCTGTTCTATCAAGGTATTTTTTTACCCAGCAAGAAGAGATATACAGCTGTGATAATCACTGATTAAACTTGTTGTTTTTCTGTTCCCTTTGTAGAACAAAGTAAGTCTGACTCCACCTGATTTGTCATGTCACAGTGTTGTGTGGTTTATTTGGCAACTCCTGTGTTACTTTTGCATCTCTTTTATTACAAACATATATGCTCCTGGAATCGTATTGTTGACGTTTTTATGCATTTTACCTACTACCCCTTAGACTTTAATGCACCCTTTGTAAACATTTTGTATGTTTTTGTTCTGAATTACAGGAATACCACATGAAACTTAAGGTTATTTGAATGCTGGTTTGAAGTTACTGATAATATGTGTTAAATTTCTCTTTTGAACCTATTTGTGACTGGCAATGGTTGAAGGAAGATTAACATGTTAAATGAGCAGGACTCCAAGAGATCAACATAACTACTGTGTGCTGTGTATTGTTGTTAATATCACACTGAGGGATGCAGTCTAACCACTGAATCAGTTATAACATTGAATAGAAGCCAAGGAATTATAAAAACACCTTTGTTTGATGCAGTATATTTCAATGAGGACCATAGAGTTGGTCTAAAGTTGTGCTGAAAGATGACTGAATAAAATTACAGATCAATAAAGCTACATCTAACCATCTTTTCTGCAATGATTATGTGCTAATATGAGTTAGTAAATGAGTTTCTCCATTTTTTAAGCAATCTCGTTTGAAACAGTATAAATTATTATAGCTGTATGGTTAGAGAAGATATCAACCTTATTAAACATGGAGCATCCATGTGCCAAAGGAATTCAGTAATGTGTAAATAAAAATGTTTTTCTAAGGCAGAAAGGCAGAGCCCAATAAGGAAAGTAGAAAGAGGTTTACATTTTAACAGACTACTCCTGTAGTTCGGAGATGAATGACTTTGAATCTCATTCCGCATGAACCCTGCCTAGATGACCAGATGTTGTTTCTATTTATAGGGTATGATTCCACTTGGTAGCAGAGGGGTTAGGCTCAATAGGGTAAATCAGGTAGAAAGGTTTTGACCCTTTCACTTATAGCAGATATTACCCAAAAGTTGTATTTGACCACCTGTTATTTTACCAGCAGAATTTATATCCAAGATGGCAACCTTGGCCTCAAACTGGCTGAGACATTTCCTGTTGATTTTTCTCAATTTCTGTAAGGTGTTTTGGACAAAAATCTATTAAAATGGTTTCTGCTAGGCACTGGCCAGGTTTCAATTGTTTTTTCGCCCAATTCACAAAGATGGCTGCCAGTCCTCTGATTGGCTCAGACATTTCAACTTCATCTTCTAACTTCTAAGATCAAGGTAACTGATTTTAATAATAGACCATTAGGGGGAGGAGTGTTTTGTAGTTTACACATCCATCAACATTTTCAATTTCAGAGATTATTTCACCAGCCAGAAGAGTAACATTTCTTGGTCATGCACTAGGAAGTGTAGATGTACAATATTAGGGTTCAAAAAGTTTGTTCTCATAAATCACTTTGACCAATTTTCAAGATGATAAGGGTCATTTGAACATCTTCTTCTAAATAACCAAGAGGCCTAGGGTGATGATATTTGGCAAGTAGAATAGCATGCTGGAATAAGGATATGATTTTTTTTTCAATGAATGACCTTGGCTTACTTTCAAGATCATAAGGGTCAAATTTGTAAAACCTTTAAATGGCTGTCTCTGTATAACCAAACACCATTGGTTGGAGATATTTTTCAGAAGCTTGCTGTGATGAAGAGCTACAAATTTTGTTCAAGTAAATAACTTTGACCCAATTAGTCAGCTGAGGTCAAATTTATAAAACATTTTAACAACTTCTTCTAAATAAGCAAGAGGTCTATAGTGATGATATTGGCCCATTATCATGCTGGGTTGAAGGGCTGGCTATCAATATCAAGTTGGTTTAAATGAATGACCTTGACCCATTGCACAGCAACTGTCCCAAGGGTCAATTTTACTAAAACCCGTAAACAACTTCTTCTGAATAACCAAGATGCCTAAGGTGATGATATTTGGCCAGTAGCAAGCTGGCTAAGTTTGTTTAAAAGAATGACCTTCATCGACTTTAAAATTAAGTCACAGGTCAAACTTGTTTATAACACCTTTAAACCACTTGTTCTGAATAACCAAACGCCCGTTTGATGATGTTTGGCTGGTTTTATATCGTTCAATTTCTTGGTGGTAAGTGGTATTTGTCAGATGAAATATGTGAGAAATGCTTTAGTTATTACTAATTTTTTGAAAAAATCCAAAATTGTCACTCTGGCATTTGCTTGGTGATTGTGGGGTGCATATATACTGTCGGACACATAGTGGGGCCCTTACTGACCTGTCAATGTTTAGTTTGTCCTGGAATAAGCCCATGTCTTACTTGGGTCAAAGAGTATGTGTAGGCCCCGTGGACTTATTGCTAGATACACTGACCCAATACAACTATCTACTGTAATACTTATAAGTTATACTGACCTGTCAATGTTTAGTTTGTCCCGTAATAAGCCCATGTCTTACTTGGGTCAAAGAGTATGCGTAGGTCCCGTGGACTTATTGCTAGATACACTGACCCAATACAACTATCTACTGTAATACTTATAAGTTATTTCAATATTTGCACGTGTTGATACCTATGCTTTGTTAGTGTGTCTATCATTGTGGTTTAGATATATGGCATGGAGTTACTTTTTCGAGTGTGTGGATTCTGGGAAGCCTGTAAAATAATCAACACTAAACTTAGAATTAGCACTCATGACAACTGATTCCTTCCAGCAAAACTGAAGCATTAATTGAATTTAATAAAGAGCTGTATTTGTAATTCAAACTCTATAGATTTCTTTCAAACCTGTTACATAAAATTCACACAAATAGATAATTATAGGTGCAGTTTAGGAAAGATACCATGAATATAATAACACATTATGATACTTTATCCTAATATTTCTTATTGTAGGTGGTTTGGTTTGTTTTGATCGTGTTTAACGTCCTATTAACAGCTAAGGTCATTTGAGAACTTTTTTTGTACGTGGCCTCTGCTAGTTATTTTAGCTTTAAGTAAATGAACACTGAGGTTCAAGCAACTTTTTATGAAGAGCATTAGGGCTTGGAGGATTGATGAAATGTCAAATTGAGTCTGAAAATGAAAGACCTTGAGCCACATTCAAGAATCAGAGGGATCAGATACTCCTAAAATATTCAAATAAGTTAGTAACATTGAGGTAAAGTTAATGATACAAATTGGCCTGTAGCTTATTGGAGTGAAATACTGGCCAAATAAATTACCTTGACCAACAGAGGTCAAATGCATTTTGTTGCTGATTGATACATTCTTGTTTTATTTTGATAGCATTTTGCATAGATTAATGGAACAGATTTCATCACTTACTCATTTCTGTAGCAACTAGTGCCAGTGGTGGTGCTAGCCTTTTAAAAAGTAGGAAATTCTCCTGGAATCAAAACAAGGGATAAATACAGGGTTACACATAGGCAGATTGGATTTGATGGACAAAAATAATCAAGACATAAAGAACATCAAAATAATGACTTAAACCAGTGTTCTTTTCTCTAAATACTTCAAAAGAAAGACCTAAATCAGTGCTTTGAATAACTTTTACAAAAGTTTTTGAAGCACAAATTAAGAATAAATTTGAGAATGTGTAATGAATTTGCTTATTTTTGTTGTGTTATGTGTTTTAATAAGCATACATAATGCATAGCTGTTTTTATTAGATTTTAACCTCTAAATGTGTAATATTAGTGTAGATTTAAGAATCTTGTATTTATGGATTTCTACCACAAATCTACAGCTATGTCAATTATTAATATAACATTGTTTTGTTTCAGGAAAACGGTTGAAATAGTAAAGATTAATATACAAATTAATTTAAACAGATAAAAGAAGATCATGGCATTGTCTTGAACTAAATTCTTTCTTTTAAATTATCAATGTTTGTTTCATTGATAAACAAACAACACTAGATTTTATAAGTCCGGTTTTCTGTCACTGTTAACTGTAGTGATAGTTTTATTGATTTGACTTTCTGTCTGTTACTGTTGGAAAAACAGAAAAATGCAGCTCTAAGGTTAGACTTGGTACTGTATATGGGTTAATTGTACTAGAGGAGAAAATTTAGAGGAAAATCCCATTTCTTCTTAGGTGTGGTTCATCAAAGGTCACTATTACTAGCAATAGAATTTACTCATTCACCCCTGAAAATTAATAAAGAACTATTCCAACCATGGAATTAGACAAGTTCAAATGTGTCTTCAGGGATGAATGAGTTTTAAAAATATCGATGTATCAAGTACTCAGGGTTGTGTTGGGTGAATATATATGCTGCTCTCTTGTGTCTTAACTTAATTAATGCAGAAATACTTTAAAGTTATATACTATTTTAATTCTAAATACATGTTATTAACATAACCATTTTCTGATTTTAATAGTCCAGACAACCTGTGTTTGTGCGACTTCTACAAGGGGCTTTCCGTGTGTCACACTGCAAGTGGCTTACTGGCATACAGAAATTCCACGTGGAGACCTGCATCAAAACATTGGCAGATATAGGTAAGACACAAACCTAGGGCGTCGGCTTATGTTTTCTTTTTGTAATTGTTTATAAGCATGAATTAAAGTTTTAATACAGGCAGCCAGACTTTATCTACCCGGTAACTTATTTTGTTGCAGAAAAAAATTGTAAAGAAAAAGCAATTCTACAGAAGAACTCTTTTCCCTGATGTAACTGATATATAAATTACTGAAATTGAAATTGTTGGTTTTACTTTTGGCATCTTCTCCACCTGTTTTCTTCTTTACAAGTTAGATAAGATCAACATTTTGCGTACAGAGAGCTTTAATATCATAGAAAAATTAGGTGTGTCAATAACAGCTATAGTACAGGGGATAGTCATTCTGTTAGTACTATAGTAAGGTATGTTTATCAATTAATTATAGACACCAATACAAGGGATAGCCATTCTGTTAGTACTATAGTAAAGTATGTTTATCACTAAATTATAGACACCAATACAAGGGATAGCCATTCTGTTAGTACTATAGTAAAGTATGTTTATCAATTAATTATAGACACCAATACAGGGGATAGCCATTCCTGTTCGTACTTGGTAAAGTCTGTTTATGAAATTAATTATAGACACCAAAACAAGGGATAGTCATTCTGTTAGTGCTATAGTAAAGTATGTTTATCAATTAATTATAGACATAGTACAGGGGATAGCCATTCCTGTTAGTACTATAGTAAAGTATGTTTATCAATTAATTATAGACATAGTACAGGGGATAGCCATTCTGTTAGTACTATAGTAAGGTATGTTTATCAATTAATTATAGACACCAATACAAGGGATAGTCATTCTGTTAGTACTATAGTAAAGTATGTTTATCAATTAATTATAGACACCAATACAAGGGATAGTCATTCTGTTAGTACTATAGTAAAGTATGTTTATCAATTAATTATAGACACCAATACAAGGGATAGTCATTCTGTTAGTACTATAGTAAAGTATGTTTATCAATTAATTATAGACACCAATACAAGGGATAGTCATTCTGTTAGTACTATAGTAAAGTATGTTTATCAATTAATTATAGACACCAATACAAGGGATAGTCATTCTGTTAGTACTATAGTAAAGTATGTTTATCAATTAATTATAGACACCAATACAAGGGATAGTCATTCTGTTAGTACTATAGTAAAGTATGTTTATCAATTAATTATAGACACCAATACAAGGGATAGTCATTCTGTTAGTACTATAGTAAAGTATGTTTATCAATTAATTATAGACACCAATACAAGGGATAGTCATTCTGTTAGTACTATAGTAAAGTATGTTTATCAATTAATTATAGACACCAATACAAGGGATAGTCATTCTGTTAGTACTATAGTAAAGTATGTTTATCAATTAATTATAGACACCAATACAAGGGATAGTCATTCTGTTAGTACTATAGTAAAGTATGTTTATCAATTAATTATAGACACCAATACAAGGGATAGTCATTCTGTTAGTACTATAGTAAAGTATGTTTATCAATTAATTATAGACACCAATACAAGGGATAGTCATTCTGTTAGTACTATAGTAAAGTATGTTTATCAATTAATTATAGACACCAATACAAGGGATAGTCATTCTGTTAGTACTATAGTAAAGTATGTTTATCAATTAATTATAGACACCAATACAAGGGATAGTCATTCTGTTAGTACTATAGTAAAGTATGTTTATCAATTAATTATAGACACCAATACAAGGGATAGTCATTCTGTTAGTACTATAGTAAAGTATGTTTATCAATTAATTATAGACACCAATACAAGGGATAGTCATTCTGTTAGTACTATAGTAAAGTATGTTTATCAATTAATTATAGACACCAATACAAGGGATAGTCATTCTGTTAGTACTATAGTAAAGTATGTTTATCAATTAATTATAGACACCAATACAAGGGATAGTCATTCTGTTAGTACTATAGTAAAGTATGTTTATCAATTAATTATAGACACCAATACAAGGGATAGTCATTCTGTTAGTACTATAGTAAAGTATGTTTATCAATTAATTATAGACACCAATACAAGGGATAGTCATTCTGTTAGTACTATAGTAAAGTATGTTTATCAATTAATTATAGACACCAATACAAGGGATAGTCATTCTGTTAGTACTATAGTAAAGTATGTTTATCAATTAATTATAGACACCAATACAAGGGATAGTCATTCTGTTAGTACTATAGTAAAGTATGTTTATCAATTAATTATAGACACCAATACAAGGGATAGTCATTCTGTTAGTACTATAGTAAAGTATGTTTATCAATTAATTATAGACACCAATACAAGGGATAGTCATTCTGTTAGTACTATAGTAAAGTATGTTTATCAATTAATTATAGACACCAATACAAGGGATAGTCATTCTGTTAGTACTATAGTAAAGTATGTTTATCAATTAATTATAGACACCAATACAAGGGATAGTCATTCTGTTAGTACTATAGTAAAGTATGTTTATCAATTAATTATAGACACCAATACAAGGGATAGTCATTCTGTTAGTACTATAGTAAAGTATGTTTATCAATTAATTATAGACACCAATACAAGGGATAGTCATTCTGTTAGTACTATAGTAAAGTATGTTTATCAATTAATTATAGACACCAATACAAGGGATAGTCATTCTGTTAGTACTATAGTAAAGTATGTTTATCAATTAATTATAGACACCAATACAAGGGATAGTCATTCTGTTAGTACTATAGTAAAGTATGTTTATCAATTAATTATAGACACCAATACAAGGGATAGTCATTCTGTTAGTACTATAGTAAAGTATGTTTATCAATTAATTATAGACACCAATACAAGGGATAGTCATTCTGTTAGTACTATAGTAAAGTATGTTTATCAATTAATTATAGACACCAATACAAGGGATAGTCATTCTGTTAGTACTATAGTAAAGTATGTTTATCAATTAATTATAGACACCAATACAAGGGATAGTCATTCTGTTAGTACTATAGTAAAGTATGTTTATCAATTAATTATAGACACCAATACAAGGGATAGTCATTCTGTTAGTACTATAGTAAAGTATGTTTATCAATTAATTATAGACACCAATACAAGGGATAGTCATTCTGTTAGTACTATAGTAAAGTATGTTTATCAATTAATTATAGACACCAATACAAGGGATAGTCATTCTGTTAGTACTATAGTAAAGTATGTTTATCAATTAATTATAGACACCAATACAAGGGATAGTCATTCTGTTAGTACTATAGTAAAGTATGTTTATCAATTAATTATAGACACCAATACAAGGGATAGTCATTCTGTTAGTACTATAGTAAAGTATGTTTATCAATTAATTATAGACACCAATACAAGGGATAGTCATTCTGTTAGTACTATAGTAAAGTATGTTTATCAATTAATTATAGACACCAATACAAGGGATAGTCATTCTGTTAGTACTATAGTAAAGTATGTTTATCAATTAATTATAGACACCAATACAAGGGATAGTCATTCTGTTAGTACTATAGTAAAGTATGTTTATCAATTAATTATAGACACCAATACAAGGGATAGTCATTCTGTTAGTACTATAGTAAAGTATGTTTATCAATTAATTATAGACACCAATACAAGGGATAGTCATTCTGTTAGTACTATAGTAAAGTATGTTTATCAATTAATTATAGACACCAATACAAGGGATAGTCATTCTGTTAGTACTATAGTAAAGTATGTTTATCAATTAATTATAGACACCAATACAAGGGATAGTCATTCTGTTAGTACTATAGTAAAGTATGTTTATCAATTAATTATAGACACCAATACAAGGGATAGTCATTCTGTTAGTACTATAGTAAAGTATGTTTATCAATTAATTATAGACACCAATACAAGGGATAGTCATTCTGTTAGTACTATAGTAAAGTATGTTTATCAATTAATTATAGACACCAATACAAGGGATAGTCATTCTGTTAGTACTATAGTAAAGTATGTTTATCAATTAATTATAGACACCAATACAAGGGATAGTCATTCTGTTAGTACTATAGTAAAGTATGTTTATCAATTAATTATAGACACCAATACAAGGGATAGTCATTCTGTTAGTACTATAGTAAAGTATGTTTATCAATTAATTATAGACACCAATACAAGGGATAGCCATTCCTGTTAGTACTATAGTAAAGTATGTTTATCAATTAATTATAGACACCAATACAAGGGATAGTCATTCTGTTAGTACTATAGTAAGGTATGTTTATCAATTAATTATAGACTCCAATACAAGGGATAGTCATTCTGTTAGTACTATAGTAAAGTCTGTTTACCAATTAATTATACACCAATACAAGGGATAGCCATTCCTGTCAGCACTATTGAAAACTGTTTTGATCATTTACAGCTAAGATGCGGGGAATAGCCATTCCTGTGAGTACTATTGAAAACTGTTTTGATCATTTACAGCTAAGATGCGGGGAATAGCCATTCCTGTTGATCTGGACAGTCAGGTGAACCTTTTGTTTGAGAAGAATCAGAAGACACAGAACACAGCTATGAGGTGGAAGACTGTTGGGCTGATGAAGAGAGAATCCATTCCCTCAATCTCACGCGACTATCGCAACATTATAGAGGGCCTGCAGGTAACCACCTCACAGGGGTCAAATAAATAACCGGTTATTACAGACGAGGGGATAGCCGACAATAGAAAGTCTAAGGGAAATTATAAACCTAGATTATCGCAGACAAGGGGATAGCTGACAATAGAAAGTCTAAGGGAAATTATAAACCTAGATTATCGCAGACAAGGGGATTGCTAAAGATAGAATGTTACAAACATGGGGGATCACTGAAGATAGAATGTCCAAGGGGCGAAAAAATGTTACAAACATGGGAGATCACTGAAGATAGAATGTCCAAGGGACGAAAAAATGTCTGTTATTCCAAACAAAATGATCATTGAAGAAAGAATGTCCAAGGGACAAATAAACATCAATTATTACAACCAAGGGGATTGTTGATGATAGAAAAATCAGTCTAGTCATGCTAATGTCTGGCCAAGGGACAAATAGTTATTAGTTACTATAGATAAAGATATTAGATGGTTAGATTATTGGTAATTAATGACAGAGTAGATAGTTGATTGAAATATTTGGAAACTTAAGAAAGTGTTTATGATTTCTTAAACGTGAATTCTTGAACTATTTACAAAGAAAAAATAATATGAAGAATTATAGTTAAAAAGAAGATTTCTTTGGCAGAATTTACTTTTAATCATTTTTACTTGAATACTTACAATGTAACATTAATTTGCAAACTGAATACATTTTTGAATCAAATATATAAAACTAAGATGTCAAGGCTTTTTATTCTTCCCTTGATATAAAATTTAAGATATCCCTCCATATATATAATGAAGGATTTATGATCTTGACTTCTAGGATATTGTGGATTTGCTGGAAGATCAGTTGCGACCATTAGTTCAAGCAGAGTTATCTGTCCTTGTTGACGTTCTTCACTGTCCTGAGCAACTTTTTCCTCCTGGTACTCAGTGTGAGATTGGGGGATTTATATCTAGGTAAGAGAGGATGCAAACTTTGTCTCAAAATCTTAAAGTTTTGTAAATTTAATTTGATAATGTTTGTTCCATATGTTTTAATTTCTTTCATACAGTTCGTAAAATAAAATAGGGAGCTAGAAATATTTGAGTTAATATTCTAGCTACATTGGGCAGTTTGTGTGTACAGTTACATTCATTTCAACTATCAATCTATTGTTATATTAAATATAATACAACCAACTGTTTAACTTTCTGAAAACATTTCAGATGAAAGTACTTTTTTGGGAGGCAATAATTTTTATATTGCATCTAATATTAACACATGATTAAGTGAAAGTATAGATAAGTAGTTGGAGTATGTGATTTTATGGACAGACTGATAAAGCACACTGAGTGTCTACTGGAAGAAAAAGAGGACAAGCTGTGTATCAAAGTGCTGCAGACTCTGCGGGAGATGATGACTATTGACAACGAGTACGGGGACAAGGTATGTACACCTAACACTCCTGTCTCATCGCATGGCAGCTGTAGACTTGTCATCAGGTCCATTTCTGGTCTGATGGATGGATGATATTTATAGACCAGTCATGAGGTAGTTTTCTGTTCTGATGGATGGATGATATTTATAGACCAGTCATAAGGTCGATGTCTGGTCTGATGGACGGATGATATTTATAGACCAGTCATGAAGTAGTTTTCTGGTCTGATGGATGGATGATATTTATAGACCAGTCATGAGGTAGGTTTCTGGTCTGATGGACGGATGATATTTATAAACCAGTCATGAGGTAGTTTTCTGGTCTGATGGATGGATGATATTTACAGACCAGTCATAAGGTCGATGTCTGGTCTGATGGACGGATGATATTTATAGACCAGTCATGAGGTAGTTTTCTGGTCTGATGGACGGATGATATTTATAGACCAGTCATGAAGTAGTTTTCTGGTCTGATGGATGGATGATATTTATAGACCAGTCATAAGGTCGATGTCTGGTCTGATGGACCTATGATATTTATAGTCCCAAGTCATGAGGTAGATTTCCAGTCTGATGGACCTATGATATTTATAGTCCCAAGTCATGAGGTAGTGTTCCAGTCTGATGGACCTATGATATTTATAGTCCCAAGTCATGAGGTAGTTTTCCAGTCTGATGGACCTATGATATTTATAGTCCCAAGTCATGAGGTAGGTTTCCAGTCTGATGGACCTATGATATTTATAGTCCCAAGTCATGAGGTAGGTTTCTGGTCTGATGGACCTATAATATTTATAGACCTGTCATGAGGTAGATTTCTGGTCTGATGGACCTATAATATTTATTGACCAGTCATGTGATAGATCTGGTCTGATGGACTTGTACTATTTATAGATCAGTCATGAGGTAGATTTCTGGTCTGATGGACCTATAATATTTATAGACCTACCATGCGGTAGATGTTTTGATTCATGAACCTGTGGTGCTGGTAAACGTATCATAGGGAAGGTAGGTATCTGATCTTGTAGACATGATCGATTCCTGCACCTATACGATAGAACATTGTTACCCTGAACACAACAGTTCTTGCAAAAATTTATGAACAACACATCTCTAAATCATTGGCAAAAAGTTTTTTTCAGCATAATATATTAAGGGATTGGGTTCTGTAATATGATTGGCGGAATACATGGAAAGCTTCACTTTGTAATTGTTCCACTGTACATTGGAATAGAACATTTTTGAATATACTACTGTGTCGCTGGTTATTTTCATAGTAATGTCATTCTTCTTTTTAAGGAAGATAAAAAATATGGTTACTTTATACTTTTGAGCTATCATTTTCTTACTGGTACATACAATAACCAGTAAGCAGTGAACTGGTTCTAACTTGTGTAGTATTATACTGGAATATGTGCGAGGTCCAACAGATATACAAGTCACTGAGAATTCCAAAAATAAAGATGGTGGCAAATATTTGTCTGTAAAGTTTCGATAGTTATATTTCCTTGTTCAGATTTTTGAGATAATGTTCATAGACTGCAAAAATAACCAGTTATATAGTATTTTATTATCTTACAAAAAATTGTCATTCATTAAAAGTAGTAATACTAAGACTTTTATACTTTTCATAAATTTATTGATTCCTTTTCTTCTTGAATGTGTTACTTAAGATGCACTTTTATTGAGGTCCTTATTCCGGATCTTGATACATTTATTAGTCTCTCAGTATACCAACTCTTAACTCTTCTAACTAATTTTATATTGTTACATGGTGTGCCTTATCTAATATAAAACAGCAAAATGGATATAGATAGCCAGTATTAATAAGTACAAAGAATGTATACTAGAGGTAAGATTAGAAGTACCCTTGTTTTAGGATACTTCAGTGACATAAGTTTGTGAAAATGATTACAGCATTGTCATCATAGGTGTGTCGTAACATTGAGATTGGCTAACGTTGATTTGAGTTTGACTCACATAGGTGTATCCAGGTAGTCCCTTAGGAAGTAGGCAGATTTGTTTGTATCCTACACGTAAACAATATTTATCATATTAAAACTGAAAAGATTGTTTCAGCACCATGATTGTTAATGTTAATTTATGACCTCATTATTCTGACAACATGTTTAATTTGTCCAATTTCTTGTTTACACTTGAGAAAATCATCTAATAAATCTTTTAGAGAATTTCCCAATAGTTCAATATTTTGGTTATAAGGTGTATTATTTATGATAACAAAGCTGTAACTACATTTCATGATGATGCAAATAATTTCTTCTGAATTTTACGATGATATTGGCAATGCAATAGACATTAGTATGGTGTACTGATAACGTCCCTTTGTGTGACAACTCCAAATTAAAATAAAAGAGACTGGATTCACCACTATGATCACTGCTATCATGCAGTCCAGAGTTTGGCACCGCTAAGTTGTCCACCTGTTTGTAGATTTATTGATTATGATTTACCCATGACCATATCTCATTGTGTGTTTATCATGCTGTGTGTATCACCATGCTGTTTTGGACGGGGAATGCTGAAGCTGGTTTATTAATTAGATGACATGTTTGCTTGCCACCTATCCCTTTTCCTCCCAAACCCTTCTTTTATCATAAAATTAGTTTAAATTTTATTAATTGAAACACCTTCTTTAAAGTCAATTGTTTCAATAACTTGTCACAAAATTTTACCCCAGTTTGATCGTGTCAAACATGATAAGGACAAGATGTAATAATGTAACCTTGAACAAATTTGCCCCAGGATGACAGTGATGTGGTTGGAACTATACTTCCAACCAGCCTAAGCCAATGATTAACAGTGTGGGAAAGTGATTCTGCACCCTTGTCAGTAACAGGAGTTCAAAGGTCAAATTGCACTGTCCTTGTGAAGTCTCCTTACACTACTTTGGCCCTGTTAGACCTTTTTCCAGTACATCATGGCAAACATCACATGTAGTTATTTAACCCAAACCTTAACCATCTTTGTTGACCCTTTTTAGATTTTTTACGATATCATGGTAAAAGTATCTCAATTCTAGTTTACTCCTTTGAATTAGTTTTCCCTTAATTTACACTGTCATTTTCATGGTTTTGGCTACTGGCACTAATTTGACCCCATTTGACCCTATTTGACCCTTGTCACTTCTTGTTTACTATGGCTTACTCAAGGTGGATGTGAAGGCTTTGGGTAAAAAGGAACTTGATGACCACAGAAGGGTAAGATATACTGAACCGGTGTTATTAACAGTGGCCGCCTCGACTCGTCTCTGTATCACTTACACATCGACCAAGTCCGTCAGTAAAACAGCTCTAGTCTTAAGGACAGATCAACTGAGCACAACTTTAATAGACAGCTTATCAACACTTTCTACTTCTGCTGTCTAAGATTTCTGATGATGTTTACTGCTAGCTTAGACCACATCTGTCACCACTTTCAAACCTGTCAAACCCATCACTTTACACAAGGGAGTGGTACATGATGGAGTCCTGTCACTACATAAGTAATGATGCCTAAAAATTTAGGTGAAGTAGATACACTTTACTGCTGACTTGGTTGATGTGTAACCTAGAGGTGGTATGGAGACAAAGCAGACATACTGTGACTGTAGGAAGGACATCCTGACAGAGCTGATTCAGAAGAGTAATACAAAATTCACTTATTTGTACATTTGACATGTTGACTATTCCTTCCTGTGAGGCAGAAGATTACATCATATAGGACATATCACCGTGGTTACAGCAACATGCAACAACATCAATATAGTAATTACAAGGTCGCTGAAAGGGAGCAGTGAACCAAGGTCATTAGAGGACTCAAATTGTCAACAAGACTATGTGTGATAACAATTGAGGTCATTTAAAGGACTTAAATCAGTGACGAATCTGTTTTTACCCAAAGTAAATTAGATAGCACAGATTGTCGACACGTCTGTGTGGAGGTTAGATTCAAGGTCATCAGCAGGATGTAAATATGCCAAAAAGTCAATGAGATGAAGTGAATATTGATAACAAGGTTATCATAAGGTAGAGGTCATAGAAGGCTCGGTTACCAAGAAGACTGAGTAAAACGTCACATAGAGGACAGGGGGAAAAGTTACCTAGAGGACAGATGACAGTTATATCAAAATTAATTGACAAGGTCATATAGAGGTCAAATAAAAATAACTGGTCATATAGAGAACAGAAAACAAGGTCACATAGAGGACAATTGACAAGGTCATATAGAGGTCAAATAAAAATAACTCTGGTCATATAGAGAACAGAAAACAAGGTCACATAGAGGACATTTGACAAGGTCATATAGAGGATAGGTTACAACGTTACTTATAGGACAGATGACAAGGCCATATGGAGGTCAAGTGAAATGATTGCATTGGGAACAGATGATGGGATACATAGGATGACAGAATACAAGCCTGTCATATGGGGAAGAGATGACTAGGTCACATAGAGGCCTGGTGACATAATTTGTCCTCTAAGTGACCTTTTCATGTAAATGCAAGGGAACTTACTAGACAGAGGACATTGACAGTGAGATACTGACTAAGGTCACAAAATAACTGCATGTGTAGAGCATTTTTGGTGGATCAGTTTCATATCAATGTAGGCTGTCTGCAAGGATATCATTATGCTTCCAATTCTGGTGTACCGAATAAAGAGCCAGTTCTCTGTTCACCTTGTGATCTCTGTACTCGTCACTCGGTGCAGAGATACCCGCATGTTCTATCAATTAACCACTAGATCTTCAGTAGTAGTAATATTTAGCAAAATTTACTGGTATGTTTCTTCCAGATCTCAGTATATCACTTGATCTAGTATAAACATATACTGTTCACGATCACAACAAACCCATTACTTCATGGATCGTTGAATTGGTCTCATTTGATAATGAAAGGTTTGGATCAGATTAACATCATTGTTAAGGCACGTTTTTTACACATACCAAGCTTGAAGCACACTGTATTAAGTAAATGCTGCTCTTAGCTTCTCGCTATCAACCACTATGCAATCATCCAAACATGTGATCTCGGTTCCACCAGAGCTAGAAGTACAATCATATTGAATCAGTTTTATTTTGGCGTTTAGTTCTTTCTTTATCCCTGTAGCTTGTTTAAACCGTAACCTTTAGATACTATCCTTTATGATGTATTATGGTATTAAAGTTTTTTCTTTTTCAGTATCTTTTTTTTTATCTTTGGATTCCAGGCTTTCATCCTGCTTTTCATGTAGTTCTCTACTATATACTGTTGTATAATATATATAATAAGATGTTGGAATATCAGCTTGTGTCTATGAAATGTATGTAGTTGAAATTGGGTATGGGTAAACAGCTTTAAGGGTTTGAGTGAGATTTGTTTCATAGGTTAATATTTCACTCCTCAAAATTGGTAATTCTGGATTTGAAAATTGGTACATTTTGTATCATAATTGTTGAATTGTTGATCTCAATAAAATCAAATAAAACAGGAAAATATATTCTTAAAGATATCTGAACTGGTTTTAATGCCTAATTGCCCCACCAGGAATACTAATTAAATATAACCCTAATACCCTGATGTACTGAGTCCCCACTGACAACCTGCAGGTTCTGAGACCTTACTAACTGCCTATGGTAAAGCTTGACAGTACCATATCATTTTGTTACTTGTATTAGCCAGTGTTACAGTAATGGTTAATTGTTTTATAATGTGTTCAGATGTATACATGTATGATGTACTAAATACTAGTAGCTAAGTATAACACATCAAAAATGAGGCACACTGATGTTTTGAACATTCTTTGTGTTCACCTAGTTGTCATTTTTGCATGTATAGATAAAGATAAATGAAAATCCTGGATTGCAGTAAGTTCTGTTTTCAGTTTTAATTATAACTGAAATATCAGCAAATTAAAATAAAGCTTGCTGTACTGTAATAAGAAACAGACACATTTTGTCCCAAGAGTTATATGATTGATTTGTTCTGGCATCATGGATTTTAAGTTACACCTCTACCTGCCCATTGTTGTAGAATTTTATTTATCATTTTTTTAGATAGTTCCATTTTATGACCATCTTATATTTATCTATCTTTGTTGTCAGTTTGTGCATAAAACATAAGTTATCATTTATCTGCAGTTGCCTTGAAAAAATCATCACATTCTTTTTGTTTTGGCTTGATCTGTATTTATCATAGCTTATAATTAAGTATGATTCAGTTTTATTTTCGAAATATTTATTTTGCAATTTTGCATAATTGCATGAACTTTTTTTATTTAAAAAAATCTGTGTTATTTAAAATTTTGATAAAGCAAAAAACTGATTTTGGATTGGTTGAGAAATATTAGTAAGAAATAACCTATCAATTCATCAGCACACATATTACCTATTGATGACTGTCGACTTACCTCAGGTATTGTTCTATGTTATGTGTTGCTGAATTTATAAGCTGAAAGTGTTCAAGTTATACTTGAGTAAGTACATTTTTTCTTGAAAATTCTATTTCTATTTTGACAAATTAAAGTAAGAATTTGATAAAAAAAATATTCAAAAATGAGAATGTATCTAATGAAAACAGAAAAAATTCTACCTGGCAACAAAAAACATTTTAGAATTATTGCAATTGAATCATAGTTATTGGTATATAAAAATCAGATCACACAGGTTTTTATCCTTTTCTGTTCATGCATATTCTATAAATATTTTATTTTTTATTTTTTTATTTTTTTTGCATCTAACTGATCAGCCATTGTGTATGTATGCTTAACAGTTTAAGCTTTTCATTCAGGATTCTTGAGTATTTATATCCATGTCTTTTAAAAATAATGGTAGATTATGTCTGAAGACTCCTGACATTTGGCTGGGGGGTCATTAACATCTGTCTTCATATCCTATTTTTGAACTAAATATACTGTAACGTATAACTGGTACACTAGAAGATGGAACAACATTACAACATAGGACACCAAGCTGCAATGAAAGTTTCTAGCTCATTAATTTGTTTTGCAACAGATGAAACAGACTTAATTGACAATTATGTATACATTGAAATGTCTATAACTATATAAGATGTTTTCATCATTTGACTATTGATGACAATAATTTATAGGCCCCAGATTCACAAGATTTGTCAATATAAGTTTTTCCATGAGGAAGCATTATTGATGTTCAGAAAAAATTTGAAGAACCTTTGTGAAACTGTGGCAGCTTGTGCTGTTGTAAATTGTTTGTGTTATAATACGCTAAGTCAGCGGAATGATCAGCTTGACTTGATAATCAGGCTTGTGCTGTTGGTTGTCTCCAGCGACGACATGTACTGTACTGTTTTAGGGGGAGGCACTTAGGCACTGCCTGCTGACACGCTACTACGGCAAGGTGATACCACGTCTGCCCCGGGATGGTGGCAACAAAGCCCTGCTGGGTCGGTCAGGGTCGGACAGCTCCAAGAGTGCAGGGGGCAGTGAGTCTATCAATACCCTCCATGATGTACAGGTATATGATGTGGTAAAAAACGGGGGCATTTTCACCTGTTCTATTATTTTTGGTCATATTACTGATGAACAACACAAAATGATAGTAAACCATATGGGGTGATCAATTTTGAAACAATTCATCTATGTTATAATTGTAAATAAAGCAAATTCAGTAACAGGATTATTAAAGTTTTGAAACACCAACAGGATTTTGGTATAATATTTGAATATGTATCGGATGACTTGTATTATCTCAATGCATAAAGACATTTTTTGTCTGTTAAAAAAGCAATTTACAAAAATTATGGTATGCTTTTATTAAGATTACAAAGCCTAAACTGAAGTGTACACATAAATGTTGAGTAGTCAGGTGTTGATATAAGTGTGTATATCTTTTAGTGTCGTCTTGACAAAGAAGGGGCTAGTGACCTCATCGTAGACCTGATCATCAAGGACACCAGTAATAAAATCTTCCTGGAAACTGTTGAGCTGGGTATAGCACTGCTGGAAGGAGGGAACGAAGAGATTCAGGTCAGTGGTACAGCTAAACACAGTCAGGGGATTTAAGTTGCGTTTGAAAATACTTGTGAAATGATTTAAATGTGTTTTAGATTGAGTTTTGCGCAATAATTCATAAGTTAGATAACAGAGTTAATGTAAATTGCACAAGGCACTAATTTTGTACTTGTAGGAGAAACCAGGGAGTGGGCTGCTGACAAATTGTTTATTATTATGTCATAAGCACAACTATAACCATCTCAGCAGTCCATCAAAGCTATGAGATCTTGTCATTAAACATTACATTATTCCCAATGTCAACCATTATACTGTATACAGTTAACCCTTGGGTCCTAATATTGTCAAATATCACTTTTGTGATTTAAAACAACATGGCATTTAGGTGATTGATTTGGATTTCACTGCTAGTTATAATATTTTCTGAATGGTGTCACAAAACTTTGGTGCAGAATTTTAGGGATTTACACTAGGTGTCACCTACTGCAGTGTCAAGGTCAAAAAAGGTCAAACACAATTGCAATTGTATATGATGCTGAATTGTAAACAATGCACAATATCATGAAGTAAAATTGTTTGGTTCATGAATGTAACAGGTTCCAGAAGTACTTTATCTTTACAATACATAGAAACATAATTTTGTAATAAAAAATGCAAAACATGGATTAAGAGGGTGGCTACTTTTGCAGCCTCTTATGACTCACCATTTAGCACATGTTTGACTATTAAACATTACAGAAATCTACAAGACTGATGGGACATAATGTGGTCTCTCATGACTGACCACTTCACTAAGTTGAGGTTTGACCATTAAACATAACAGAAATCTATTTATACGAGACTGATGGGACATAATGTGGTCTCTCATGACTGACCACTTCACTAAGTTGAGGTTTGACCATTAAACATTACAGAAATCTACAAGACTGATGGGAGATAATGTGGCCTTTCATGACTGACCACTTCACTAAGTTGAGGTTTGACCATTAAACATAACAGAAATCTATCTATACGAGACTGATGGAAGATAATGTGGCCTTTCATAACTGACCACTTCACTTAGTTGAGGTTTGACCATTAAACATAACAGAAATCTATCTATATGAGACTGATGGGAGATAATGTGGCCTTTCATAACTGACCACTTCACTAAGTTGAGGTTTGACTATTAAACATTACAGAAATCTATCTATACGAGACTGATGGGAGATAATGAGGCCTTTCATAACTGACCACTTCACTAAGTTGAGGTTTGACTATTAAACATTACAGAAATCTATCTACACAAGAATGGGAGCAGACAAACAGTCAGAGGTGTTTTTCAAGGTCTTCTACACCAAAGTGTTAAATGCCCAGGAAGAGATCAAGGCCACTCAGACCGTCAGCACTGGTGAATGTGACAAACATTTGACCGACCACAAGGACACCCAGCCACACGAACAGCTGACACATGGCAAACCAAGTCGGAGTGGAGGTAAATTAGTTATTGATTACAGAGGGAGAAATTCATATAGGATACTTTTAAGGAAAATTATTTATTGCTTTCCTCGCAGTATATTGTCCAAGGCTTGGCTACAACTGGAACAAGGACATGAAGCCCCAAAATATAATCAGTCAATTAATAAAAAACATTGTTTGGAAGAAACTTTATTGTGTGATGATACACCATAGAACAGTACATGTGTCACATATAGTTTGTGTACAGAGTAGTAACTGTTGAATTTTGTGTTACCAGATATACACTGCCCTAGTTGTTAGTCACTGTCACTTTCACAGATGGTAACTATATATCATACATTTTCTCAGACTTTATTAAGTTTGATATGTAGACTTCCTGTCCTTTCACAAACTGAATATTACAGGCATTTAGTTACAAGTTAAAGCTGTGTGTTTTTTCAGGCCATCTGCAGAAGGCTGTGCTGGAGAACAGTCAAAGGATGCCCACAGTGAAGGGTGGACGGCTAGTGAAGGGTGTGCCCGTAAGACACGGCCGAGAGTATGACCACGATGACGGGCCAAGGTCAGGTCACGGTCCAACAGAGGAAGTGGTAGACAAACCCAACAAAGATAAGGATGAGAAGAAACTGACACCAAATGTGGTTCTCATGAAACCAATTCTCCGCTTCCTCCAGCTGCTCTGTGAAAACCATAACCATGATCTACAGGTCAGTCTGTCAAAACGGTCTGAAAACCGTAGTCACATTTCTGTGGTTTAAAAGTCTTTTTATGGCCCTTCAAAACAGTAAGGGTAAGAGGCAAGTACACTGTAACCTATCTGTATATCAAATTGGTTGGGACAACTTATCCTAAACTACCGCTTAGATTTGAAGGAAGATTTGTACACTTTACTAGTTTGCAATTTAGTTGTAGACTCTTCAAAGGACCTATCGGGGGTTTGTGTGTCCTGTTGTTGGATACACCTAACAGGTAAAACCTGATGTTTTACCCCCATAGCATCGCTTGAAATGTTGATTTATCTTACTTACCTATTCCTGATTTTTGATGTTGTCTTTCGGAACTTTTTTGTTTGAAGACATAAAAAGTTAACTTTTTTCGAATGTTCCTTATTCACTGGGGTAGTTATAGATGAGCAGTGTAATTTAAAGAAGTAAATTTAACATTTTGTTGAGTTAGAACTGATAATATTATTTGTCGTATGAATACCATGTTATGCAGTGTCATAAAGCCATTACATAAATTATGTTTATGTAACGTGTGTAATATCACTCCGTAAATGACGTCACAATCAAATAGGAACAATCAATGTCATGTCATGTCATTGTGAAGTGGACACAATTTTTATCGTTTCAAAGGCGGCCAATTAGTGCAAAATATTTGTTTCAGATCACAGTTATACAGTTAACTTTTTATTATATGATATAATGTTTCAAGGTTTGGATTTTTCATATTTGCTCTCCAGAGGCTCGCAAACATGAAAAATTCAAAACTTTTTTCTAAACCTTTTCTTCAGGTTGGTAAGTATGGATTATGAAGGGTTTTTTACACAACCAATACAATTTTCTATGTGACGTTTCAATGACTGGTACGGTATGTACACTCGAACCTTCATCAGACAATATGCAAATGACTAGTGAAGTGTTATGCACACAAAGGTATAAAATGTGTACAAGTTATCCACAAAATCGATGTCGATTTAGGCTGTACAATAGTTGCTATATATGTACCGAAACAACTCGATTCTTTGAGCCCCCTTGTCTCAATTTAGAACTGGCCCACTGCGGCGTATCCAGATGGCTTCCTTTATCTGCTGCTTGAACAATCCAAAACTTGTCATAAAATCTAATATAAAGGGAAACTTATATTCACATTCAAAAGTATTTTATTGACAATACATATTAATACAAACAGATAAGTTGTATATATTAAAGAACATGTAAGTACAGTATTGACAAAAGAATCAGACAACAGGCTATGCCTATATCAGTCTTCTTCTATTAAACTTATGACAGATCCTCTATGTATTATTGTATGTTACAGAACTACCTGCGACACCAGCCCAACAACAAGACGCCGTACAATCTGGTGTGTGAGACGCTGAAGTTCCTCGACTGTATCTGTGGTAGCACCACAGGGGGTCTGGGACTGTTGGGGCTCTACATTAACGAGAATAACGTGGGGCTCATCAACCAGGCACTCACCACCCTCACAGAGTACTGCCAGGGACCCTGTCACGATAACCAGGTAAAGTCTCTCTCTTACTCACACACAAAACTGGTAACCTAGAGTATCAACAGGCCCTATCAATACAGGTAACTCGAGAATCAAGGGGCACCTCATACAAAACTTGTAACTTAGTACCAAATCATACGAACCAGGTAATCTCTAAGATTATGATTTTAAGAAAAGTACCGCTATTATCATATCCATTTTATTAGCAATCTAGTTCCACTATTTTGATTGTAAATCAAGAAGTAGAAAATCTATTATTCCATACACTGTTTCTCTGACTTTTTCAGAATGCCATAGCCTTGCATGAGAGTAACGGAATAGATATCATCATTGACCTGCTTCTCAATGATATCAACCCACTGGGCAAGAACCGCATGGATCTAGTGTTGGAGCTGAAGGTATACCACCACACAGTCAGACTCGGCAGTATAACATTCTGATTGAAAGCTGCCACCGCTGGGATCTCTTTTGTGAAATCTTTAGCCAAGTCTTGTTTACTTTTACTCATATACTTTGTCATGAATGCTGCTTACAAACACTTTGAACAGACTTGTTTATAACTTTTATACATTACCATCATTTGAAATATGTACTTTGCATTTGAATTTTGGTTACTTTTATGGGGCTGGAGGTATTAGTTTAACCCCAAGAGTCGAGCCAGATGTCGCATCAACTATGCCTTTTTCTGCGGCCTTGGGCCAATATGACAGACGTTGGCCTAATAACTGGGCCAATATGGAATTAGCTGATTAATTGCCCTATACTATAGAATCGATTGTTAATCACAGGACATTCCATGGTCTCCATTTTATTTTAATTGAATATAAAATTAGGTGTAAATATTAGAATGTATTGAGGCCATTTCAACTATTTTTTCATATCAATTATGAGTTAACCTTTTGAAAATTATATAGGTTGCACCTAAATGGATAGTAAAGATTCCGCACTAAAAAAATCATCTTGTGTTTTCTTACAGAATAATGCATCTAAACTTCTGCTTGCGGTTATGGAAAGTCGCCATGATAGTGAAAACGCTGAGAGAATCCTGTACAATATGAACTGTAAACAGCTGGTAAGGTTTAATGTTTAATAAACAGTGTGAGCTTATTTAAGTCACATTTAAACAGCATTCCATCTTAATGATGTAGAAAGTATGGTATTCCTTCTTATACTGTTGGAAAAATGATACACACACAGCATAACTAAATTGCTGATTTATTTTGGAGTAGATATGTGCATATGCTCTGCAGATGGCTAAAATTTAATTTAACAAAAAGAATAATGTGGGAAAAAAAATATTAAAATGTTGGCATGATTTTTTTTTTTTATACATGAGTAAAAAGATCAGATGAAATGAGATGGATTATCATATGTAGGTTTTAACTTTTCATATGATAATAGTTATTGATCTGTTGATTTTTAGTTTATTATATTTTGCTTCAAAATAATGCTAAATTCACTTTATACTCAATTCATAACAACTTAATCTTCACAATATCAAGAACAACGCCTACTGCATACCCTGTGCTATGTTGACTGAGCAGCTGATGCGCGGAATACAGATGACAAATGTTAAATATTGAATACTGCTTTAGTCTTTATATTTGATATACTTGTTAAAAATTAACGAAATATACATAGAAACTAATAATCAAAAGTGTTGCCAAGGTCACAGGAGACGACTCTGTTCGTCCATTCTTGCTTTATTTTTCTACAAACTATAAAAGCTGTTGAGACTAATGTAAGGTGGTAAGGTGGTGGGACAGAGGTGTGCAGTATGAGGAAGACGTTGTGAAGGTTACACAGTCAGCTCTGCATGTGATAGGATGAAAGACCTAGTGCATCATGATGGTCACAGTTTTCCTTAGTTCTCACCTCAATTGTTAAGTTGGTCCTACCTTCACTTGCTTCGTCATGCAATGTCCCCAGATTGGTTTCTGTTACTTTTATCTCTGATATCGTGAAAACAAAACAAATTGATTTCATGGTATTAAAATTTCACAGCCAATATTACTGATATGGAATGTCTTAATTAACCCTTTCACCCGAAGGTAACTTAAGTGGACTCTACCATGCATTTATTGGGATGAGTCTATTATGGTCCATGTTGGTGAAAGGGTGAATTTGAGCTAACTGTTATTGTCCTGTAATAAGCATAGGTAGCCAGTGCATAAACTGGTACACAAAGTAGGAGTAGGCTTATTGCAAAACAATATAGTAGCATTTGTTGGGATTTCTACTATTACAGCAATAGGCATGTTTTGGATTATTGCCAGACATTTGTTTATAGCTTAAATACCATCACTTAACATAATCTCACAGTGGAGGCTTAAGATTAAATTGGCTTGAGGCAGTTTCTGAGTATTTTCAATGTTCGGGCCAGAATCTAAGTTGACCTCTAAATTGAATGTAGAACATGCTAGAAATGCTACAATGTTAGAGATGATGCTGGAGTTGTATTGACATAGTTACATCATGAATAAATGTTGTATTACTCGTCATGGTAACACATCAGCCATCAATCAGGTTACGCTAGACCCACATGTTACAAACATAGTTACATGTACGTTATTATTAAATGTTGTTTTACTCGTTATGGTAACACATCAGCCGTCGATCAGGTTACGCTAGACCCACATGTTACAAACATTGTTACATGTACGTTATTATTAAATGTTGTATTACTTGTCATGGTAACACATCAGCCGTCGATCAGGTTACGCTAGACCCACATGTTACAAACATTGTTACATGTACGTTGTTATTAAATGTTGTATTACTTGTCATGGTAACACATCAGCTGTCGATCAGGTTACGCTAGACCCACATGTTACAAACATTGTTACATGTACGTTGTTATTAAATGTTGTATTACTTGTCATGGTAACACATCAGCCGTCGATCAGGTTACGCTAGACCCACATGTTACAGACATAGTTACATGTATGTTATTATTAAATGTTGTATTACTCGTTATGGTAACACATCAGCCGTCGATCAGGTTACGCTAGACCGACGTGTTACCACATGATTTGACCGTGTGATTGATTACTGTCTTGACAGGTTGAAGCTTTGGGACATGTCTTTAAGCAGGCTTTAGACAGAGGAATTATTGATTTACAAAAGGTTTTATGATAACTCCTTACTGAAGTGTTGTATCCCACTGCGCATGTGGTGACTTGCATGTCTACTGTGTATATGAAATATAGAGGAGACCTTCTGTGATTTATACACTTTCCTTTCCGATACTGTGCAGCAGGTGCATTGTCGTGTAAAAACAAACTAGCAAAATGATTGTGTACTTTTTTTTTTGAATTTAGAAAAAAAGTGTTGCTTTTAGAAAATTGATGTTTAAAATATGTAAAGTGTGTACATTTATTTATTTCCATATATTTTCTTTTATATTTTTTCATGTTTGTTCTCTTTATAAAATGAGTTACTCTATAACAGATAAATTAATATTTCATATTTATTACCACCTATCTGAATTTGGGAAAATATTGTTCTGTATGCAACGATATATTTTTAAGTAATATTTTACCCCAGTAGAAATTGTGTAAACCATATCAAATATATATATATGTATATTTATGTAGTAAATAAAAAAACTTGAAAAGAACATTGACAATTAAACCTATACAAATCACCCCCCATTCTGAATTTCGAAAAAAACACCCCATTTTATTCAGTATTTATGATATTTAAACAGGATTTTTCCCCTAGTAGAAATTGTGAAATGACATTTATTATGATTATCAAAGCTCATTAGCTTTAACTTTTGTTCTCACCTTGTTATTAGCCTGGTCCGAGTCGTATGGCTGGTAAGACAAGCAGATAAATAGTTGAACATTTCTTACATTTTTTTAAATGGGAGATACACTTTATTACTTTATTAAATTATTCTTAGTTACTTGCATGGCCATATTCTGATTTGATTTTGTTTTCATTTTTTTAGGGGGTTGGTTGGTTTTTATTCTGACTTTCTGTAGCTGGGAATGATCTAGTGTTCATGTGCTGCTTTCCATGCTCCCGTTTACGCTTCAGTTGTCATCTTTTGTTGGCTGTCACATACATCCTCATCTGCTTAGATAGCACAATAATGTATCAGAACTAGCATTAAAATACTGAAGTCTCCGAACCAAATATAATTCCATGAAAAAAACACTTGGAAAAATGTAAGAAAGTCCAGAATGTATGTCAAGGTAGGGAACTTTGATAAAACTCAGAATGATTTTGAAATTTGGATGATTTACAAGTTAACATATATATGTTAGTTTTATAAGATATTCATATAATAATTCGGCATCATTTTGAGATGATACTTTATGCACCACAACAAGTAAAACAATGTGTATATAAAGCTACATTGAAATGATCTTTTATGAAGTTAGATATTGTGCAAACAGTGAATAATTATTCAACAGATGATATTTCTTATATGGACATCATCAAAGAACTTGTTTGACATTGGATTGTAATGCCCCATTTTAGGTACTACATTATCCTAACTCCATGGCTATCACAAAACCTATGCATTTTGGTAACAAAATCTGTCTATCTGGCCTAGACCTAGATTTCTGGAAAAAATGCAAATTTGAAAAATTTTAATAAATTATTTGTCAGTTTGATTTCATTCAATTCTTGGAAATTTTTATTTAAAAAAAATAGAAAATCGTAAAGAAAATTCTGTTATACAAAATGTGATTCTGAAAATTTGCCTACCAGTGCCACGAATCCTTTCTGATCTTGCGAGTTTGTAGTAGTGTAGAAGTTTGGCTAAAGAACATGATTGCTGTTCTACACAAGTAGAATTTAGTGTCCCAGCAGATTTAGATCGTTAGATGTTGTACAGAGATTCTGTGTGCCGTTGCTGTGTTCAGTCTGGGCTAACCAGAGGAAGAATTGAAATGATTTACAGGCCCTCAATGATTTTGTATTTAACTGAAATCAAAAAGAGTTTTTTGACTTGTTGATTTACCTGTAGAATCAAAATTTTTAATTATTTCATCAATCTCTGTTGATTTTACAATCATTTAATTGAGGATGTGGAAAGTCCACACACACCTTGTGTGTTTAATGGCAAGCTAGGGAAATGCTTTAAGTAAGGCTTTGGATTTTGAACTTTTGCACCATGCCATCCTACAGTAGCTACACTTTAATCTTCCCCTTTTTCACGGTGTAAACTGATTTCACTTTTTGCAATTTTGCTCACTTTTTGCAATTTTGCTCACTTTTGCTTGATTTTATGAAAATGTAAAAATGATTTCGAAATTACGTTTATTAGCCTATATATTGTCAAGCAAAAATACCTGAGTTTTAATTTTTTATGTGTGTACTTTCAGATTACCCATGAATAATTTAGTTTTAAAGTCACCATATAACCCGTTGTATTTTTTCTGTTTCCCCCTTTCCCCTGCCCATTGATAAATACTGATGTGTAGAACTATAGGGAGTATGATGTAATACTCATGTCTACTGTATACATAGATTGATGACTCCTACATGTCTACTGTGTACATAGGTAGAGAACTGTAAGAACGCATTCCATAAAGAGGCTACTATAGATGATGATGACGAGGAAGAGGAGGACAGTGGGGTTGAGGCCTCTCCTAAAGCAGTCGGCCACAATATCTACATCCTAGCTACACAGGTAACACATTGAGCTACACAGGTAACATATTGAGCTACACAGGTAACGCATTGTGATACACAGGGAGGATATAGAGCTACACATAACACATTGAGCTACACAGGTAACACATTGAGCTACACAGGTAACGCATTGTGATACACAGGTAACACATAGTGATACACAGGTAACACATTGAGCTACACAGGTAACACATTGTGATACACAGGTAATGTATTGAGCTACACAGGTAACACATTGAGCCACAGAGGTAACACTTTGTGATACACAGGTAACACATTGTGATACACAGGTAACACATAGTGATACACAGGTAACACATTGAGCTACACAGGTAACACATTGTGATACACAGGTAACATATTGAGCTACACAGGTAATGTATTGAGCTATACAGGTAACATATTGAGCTACACAGGTAACATATTAAGATACACAGGTAACATATTGAGCTACACAGGTAACATATTAAGATACAAAGGTAACATATTGAGCTACACAGGTAATGTATTGAGCTACACAGGTAATGTATTGAGCTACACAGGTAACACATTGAGCTATACAGGTAATGTATTGAGCTACACAGGTAACATATTGAGCTACACAGGTAACATATAGAGCTACACAGGTAACATATTGAGCTACACAGGTAACATGTTGAGCTACACAGGTAACATGTTGAGCTACACAGGTAATGTATTGAGCTACACAGGTAACATATTGAGCTACACAGGTAACATATAGAGCTACACAGGTAACATATTGGGCTACACAGGTAACATGTTGAGCTACACAGGCAATGTATTGAGCTACACAGGTAACATATCGAGCTACACAGGTAACGTATTGAGCTACACAGGTAATGTATTGAGCTACACAGGAAACATATTGAGCTACACAGGTAACATATTAAGCTACACAGGTAATGTATTGAGCTACACAGGAAACACATTGAGCTACACAGGTAACATATTAAGCTACACAGGTAACATATTGAGCTACACAGGTAATGTATTGAGCTACACAGGTAATGTATTGAGCTACACAGGTAACACATTGAGCTATACAGGTAATGTATTGAGCTACACAGGTAACATATTGAGCTACACAGATAGCATTATGAGCTACTCAGGTAACATGTTGAGCTACACAGGTAACATATTGAGCTACACAGTTAACGTATTGTGATACGGTTACCAGGTTTCTGTTTGTTCTCTATCTTTCACAGTGTTGTATTTAAGTTAACCAATGCATTAGTTAATTCTCGATCAACCAAGAGATATATATTTATGTTGAGAACTTCCATTTTCTTGTTTATTGACAGGATTCATGCTATACATTACAATTCTATTAAGCATTTCAGGTGCTAGTGGTAATTCTTAAAGTTCATAGAAACAAACCCCCTAACCCAAAGAAATAGGTGTTGATAGTATAAGCTTCCTTTGTTGTAGCTGTCCCAACACAAAGAGGAGCTAGCCAACCTTTTGAAGCCCAGTGATGATGACTTATGGGGAGACCAAGCACTCAAGTTCTATGAAAAGCACACAGCACAAATAGAGGTGAGGCATTCAATTCTGTTGTGTTATCTGGTAACTTCCTTTATTAAACTAGAATTAAATCAGGATAATTAATCAATGTGCAATAAATCCTAATTTACATGAATTATCTGACAAATAGTTATGCTCAAGTTGTTGTATTTTTGTAGATTGTGCGTGAGAACAGGACGATGGAGCAGATTGTGTTCCCGATACCTGAGATCTGTGAGTATCTCACCGAGGAAACCAAGACACGTATCTACAACACTGCAGAGATGGATGATCAGGGTTCAAAGGTTGTTGATTTCTTCGAAAGGCATGAGGATCTCTTTGCTGAAATGAGATGGCAAAAAAAACTCCGTGGTAATTATAATGTTTAATTTACCCTGTAGGCTCTAAGCATAATACAGAGATATAAAATTCTTCACTTTGTAGAATCTTGTGTTCCTGGGAACACCCTGTTATTGCATGTTTCTTAGCATTTTCTTCAGGTTGGTTAGTATGGTTAATGAAAAGTTTTTTGTTACACAATCAATAAGTGTTTCTATGTGTAGTTTCGACGACTTATAGTACGGTATGTACTCTGTCACCTTCATCAGACAGAGTGCAGTCCGTTCAAGCAGCAGATAAAGGAAGCCATCTGGATACACGTAGTGGGCCAATTCTAAATCGAGATGAGGGGGCTCATAGACTCTCACACATCTTTGACCAAGTATTAAACAAAGCGTAGCTGGATCAAGTCATTTCGGTACATATATAACAACTATTGTACATACACTTACAGTATAGCTGAATCGACATCGATTTGCGGACAATTCAACTCGTACACATTTTACACCTTTGTGTGCATATATATGTTTCACTGGTCATTTGTCTGATAAAAGTGACAAAGTGCATTGGTTGTGTAACAAGAAACTTTTCATAATCCTGTTATTGGATGGTTTTAAACGTGGTATCAGTTAGGAATTGTTTTAATATTTAAACACTTTGAACACCTGTTGATATAAGAAAATTATGTAATTCTGATAATTATAATTGCCAACCCATACCTGTCATGGTTTCTGCTGTATTATATATAATTCTGACAATTATTCAAGCCATCCCGTACCTGTCCTTGTTTCTGCTGTATTATATATAATTTTACGATTATTCCTGCCAACCTGTACCTGTTCTGGTTTCTGCTGTATTTTTAGCTCACCTGGTCCGAAGGACCAAGGTGAGCTTATGCCATACCGTTGCTTCCATCCGTCATCCGTCAGTCCGTCCGTCCGTCCGTCAACAATTTCTTTTAAACGACTTCTTCTTCTTAACCACTGATTGGAATTTAACTAAATTTGACTGGAAGCATCCCTACGTGGTGGGGATTCAAAATTGTACAATTGATGGGGCTGACCCCCCATGGGGCTGAGGGGCAGGGCCAAAAGGGGTCAATTTGGCTATACTGCTATAAGCGACTTCTTCTCTAGAACTTAAAAATGGATATCAACCATATTTGACTGGAAGCATCCCTAGGAGGTGGGGATTCAAAATTGTTCAAATGATGGGGCTGCCCCCCCAGGGGGCTGAGGGGCGGGGCAAAAAGGGGGCAATTTGGCTATACTGGTTTAAGCGACTTCTTCTCTGGAACTGAAAAGTGGATATCAACCATATTTGACTGGAAGCATCCCTAGGTGGTGGGGATTCAAAATTGTACAAATGATGGGGCTGACCCCCCAGGGGGCTGAAGGGCGGGGCAAAAAGGGTGCAATTTGGCTATACTTCTTTAAGCGACTTCTTCTCTGGAACTAAGAGATGGATATCGACCATATTTGACTGGAAGCATCCCTAGGTGGTAGAGATTCAAAATCGTACAAATAATTGGGCTGACCACCCAGGGGGCTGAGGGGCGGGGCCAAAAAGGGTTATTTGACTATATTGCTTTAAGTGACTTCTTCTGTAGAACTATGCCATGGATATTGATCATATTTGGGTGGAAACATTCATGGGAGGCAGGGATTCAAAATTGTACAAATGGTGGGGCTGACCCCCCGGTGTAAGGGGTCGGGCCAAAAAAGTGTAATACTTGGAAATAGTTGAGATCCCCACCATATAACCATGGTATATAATTGCTGAGTATAAAGAGAAGATTGCTCATTTGATTCCAGGATGGCACTAGGGTCTGGCCCCGCCCTTGGAGACATAGTCCCTGGGCCATAACTTTAAAATTGTTGTGATCCCTNGGTGTCTGCTGTATTATATATAATGTTACGATTGTTCCAGCCAACCCGTACCTGTCCTGGTGTCTGCTGTATTATATATAATGTTACGATTGTTCCAGCCAACCCGTACCTGTCCTGGTGTCTGCTGTATTATATATAATGTTACGATTGTTCCAGCCAACCCGTACCTGTCCTGGTGTCTGCTGTATTATATATAATGTTACGATTGTTCCAGCCAACCCGTACCTGTCCTGGTGTCTGCTGTATTATATATAATGTTACGATTGTTCCAGCCAACCCGTACCTGTCCTGGTGTCTGCTGTATTATATATAATGTTACGATTGTTCCAGCCAACCCGTACCTGTCCTGGTGTCTGCTGTATTATATATAATGTTACGATTGTTCCAGCCAACCCGTACCTGTCCTGGTGTCTGCTGTATTATATATAATGTTACGATTGTTCCAGCCAACCCGTACCTGTCCTGGTGTCTGCTGTATTATATATAATGTTACGATTGTTCCAGCCAACCCGTACCTGTCCTGGTGTCTGCTGTATTATATATAATGTTACGATTGTTCCAGCCAACCCGTACCTGTCCTGGTGTCTGCTGTATTATATATAATGTTACGATTGTTCCAGCCAACCCGTACCTGTCCTGGTTCAGCAGTCACATGTCCCTATGGAGCAGCATTACCTTTAACTTTGCCGTCCTCATCAACTTCCTAGTGGCCTGTTTCTACCCCTTCAGTGATGAACGTGATGGTAACACACACAACTTTATCATTTGTAGTGTTTATGGTACTATGGTGTACATCATGATTACACTCTATTCTATAGATCACCAGTAATTACCACATTGTAGTGTTTACGGTACTTGATTACACACTATTCTATAGATCACCAGTAATTACCACATTGTAGTGTTTATGGTACTATAGTGTACATCATGATTCCACTCTATTCTGTAGATCACCAGTGACTACCACATTGTAGTGTTGACGGTTCTATGGTGTACATCATGATTACACTCTATTCTGTAGATCACCTGTAATTACCACATCGTAGTGGTTACGGTACTATGGTGTACATAATGATTACACTCTATTCTATAGATCGCCAGTAACTACCACATTGTAGCGTTTACGGTACTATGGTGTACATCATTATTACACTCTATTCTATAGATCACTAGTAATTACAACATTGTAGTGTTTACGGTACAATGGTGTACATCATGATTACGCTCTATTCTATAGATCACCAGAAATTGCCACATTGTAGTGTTTACGGTGCTATGGTGTACATCATAATTACCCTCTATTCTATAGATCACTAGTAATTACAACATTGTAGTGTTTACGGTACAATGGTGTACATCATGATTACGCTCTATTCTATAGATCACCAGAAATTACCACATTGTAGTGTTTACGGTTCTATAGTGTGCATCATAATTACACTCTATTCTATAGATCACTAGTAATTCCCACATTGTAGTGTTTACGGTACAATGGTGTACATCATGATTACGCTCTATTCTATAGATCACCAGTAATTACCACATTGTAGTGTTAACAGTGCTATGTTGTACATCATGATTACACTCTATTCTATAGATCACCAGTAACTACCACATTGTAGTGTTTACGGTGCTATGGTGTACATCATGATTACACTCTATTCGATAGATCACCAGTAATTACCACATTGTAGTGTTAACAGTGCTATGTTGTGCATCATGATTACACTCTATTCTATAGATCACCAGTAATTTCCACATTGTAGTGTTTACGGTGCTATGGTGTACACCATAATTACACTATATTCTATAGATCACCAGTAATTACCACATTGTAGTGTTTACGGTGCTATGGTGTACATCATAATTACACTATATTCTATAGATCACCAGTAATTACCACATTGTAGTGTTTACGGTACTATGGTGTACATCATAATTACACTCTATTCTATAGATCACCAGTAATTATCACATTGGACAATTTATCATTACACTCAGTTGTACAGATTACAGTACTAAAGTAACTTCAGCCAATTAGTTCAGATAAGTTAACGTAGGAAATTAACGAAGGCGTGTTTGTCAAGAATGTTTGAGAGAAAAATATCATGTAAGAGCAGATATATCTAAATTACCAGCTTTTGTTAAATTCCAAATGTAAGAAATGTAGAAGAGATGCAAAACAATCTAGTTCAAAGACCACTAGGTGGAAAACAGTTACTTTGGTAGTTTAGTTTAGAGTATGTTTGGATTTGAAATCTGACTAGAGGTTACCTTAGGTGGAAACGAGGTTGCCAAAACTTGAAATATTTGAAGTCATGAGTAGTTCAATATTATTATGTAATAGATATTATTATTTCATCTGTATGATAAACATTGATATGTGTACTTTACAGAGCTAGACCCTCGTCTGTCAGGCCTGGTGTGGACGGCCATGTTTGGATCCCTAGCATTAGTGATCAGTGTTGGAGTATATCCATCTGCTATCAGAACTTTTATAGCCTCAATTATCCTCCGGTTTATATTTTCTGTTGGACTGGAACCCACCTTGTGGCTTTTAGGTGCCTTAAATGTGAGTTAAGATCTTTGCATATATTTGATCCAAATTGATTGTGATGTTATGATAGAAAAAATATAAAAAACATTGATTTTCATGCCCTCTCTTCTCTGTTTAATTTCATTTTATAATACTTATGATTTGATAAAAAGGTATGAATACTTATTTATAAAAATTATAAAACAATATAATACTGAAAAAATATCACGTCTGTTAATGTCACTTTTCGGTTATTATCATGTTTTTTTGATGCACCGTTTTTCCTGCTATATAATCTATGCAATTCAATTCTTTTATTATCACCTGATTTTATGTCGATTTCTCTTAATATCACTTTATTTTGGCCACTTTCACAAAAAAAATACAGGTAAATGGTGTAATGATTCATGATAAATGCCCTGGGGATCTTCTGTCACACCCTGGACACATTATGTAAACAATGCCTTGGCCTAACAGGGTATTTTTTACACCTGGCTGACTGTCAATTAATAGGTTACACCTGGCTGACTGTTAAACAATAGGTTGACTTACATACTTGTTAACATGATATTCACCTGTGGTTGGGGGAGCTAGGACAGTCTAACATCTGTAAACTTTAATATAATAACATAATTATAACATGTGTACTATCTTCGATTACACACTTGCAGCAAATATCTAAGGAAATTAACCTATAAAAAGATGTTACTAGCGAAAGAACAGTATATATATCAAGATATAGGTAAATATTTACCAAGTCTCATGTTTAAAATTGAATTTGATGCAGAATACCAGCCAAACACTTGTATGCCTACATCGCTACTGCAGTAAACATTCATAATTACAATCGTACTGATCGTCATTTTGCTACTAACTATATGAAATGTAAATGCATACTGAAATGAAATGCAAATAATATATTTATTTCTATACTTATTTACTTATATCTATATTTCAACTAGGGTAAAGAACAAGGTTTAAAGTTACAAAATATCAATCTTCTTCGTAGAGCTTCATCACTTAGGCATTTGACTAAGTTCACTTCCGGTTTTGAGGGCTGAAAAACATCAGAAAATATATATTCTGTTTATGTCATGTTTCTGTTAATATCATGTTTTTCTCTGACAAATGGGAAGTGATATTAAGAGAAATCTACTGTATTTGGGTTGCATGGTGTCAATCTTTCAGTTTGATATGTATTTAGTTAGACAATGTGATACAATTTAAAACAAATTGATTTTTATGCAGTCAAAAAGACAATGGAGAAAAATAAATGACTCATTGATGGTTTTCTCTTGCAGGTGATAAACAAAGGAATATTTTTGATAAGTTTGATGGGAAACAATGGAACTTTTACGAAGCCTCCCTCTCAGGTGCTGAGAGATTTTCAGTTTGTGTATAATGTTGGATATCTCATATTATGTGTTCTGGGACTGTGTGTGCACGAGTTCTTCTACAGCTTCTTGGTAAGTTCTTTTCTATTTTTACATATTCTCGACAGACTACTCTGATATTAAACTCACATTAGATTCACCCTAGAGTGCCCCAGTGACAAACACACTTTTACGTACATCACATATGTAGCCGGGTTCAGGTGCTACACAAATTCTTACAAATCACGAAGAAGCAAATTCCTAGTTATTCAATCGTTTTATTGGAGTCGAAAGACCCTACAATAGCACAAATAAAACATATAAGCACATATTCAATACATAAAAAATCTACATTATAAAATGGACATAAAATTAGCTTTACATAAAGATACACGATACCCGTAACGGTTGCAATTAACATTACGAATTTAATACAATACATTTGAAATACTTGTACATGATAAATTATAGAATTTACCAATTTTGCACATGAACTATGATAATTACGAGATAATTAAATAGTGCCTTATATTAACAATACCTACCCTATCGCTCCGACAGGGGTCTAATGATGATAGCTCTACGTATAATATACGTTGCCTACATAATAGGTCTATGGTTCTGTTGAAAAGGAAAATAGCAAAACTTAATATATAATAAACATGTTTAGCAAATTACTTTTAAAATACTTTAGAGTGAATTACAGTTTCCATAAAAAGATAATGGAAACCACACCCAAAAATACGTTTATCAAAGAAAGATATTTTAACTTCTTCAAATATTTTAACAAATGCAAACATACTAATTCCATAAAGGTTACTCTAAAACATAGTATTTCAAATAGCTCAATACTAATATGTTTCATACACTTACTCTGAAATAAGTAGAGTTCTGTTCACCGCAGTCGGTATCATATATGTCGGTATAGGTTTCTATGTCTGGTCCGGTCTCTGTCCAGTGCGGGAGTGAAGATACAAGACGTACAAGTGCACGAGCTGACATGCGATCACGTGACAAGACATTTACATAACAAAACAGCACAGGTAACAAACACTTGAGACACACGTTGACCAGACAAACCGGTTGAACGAGTACGAGAATCGGTATATAAAAATAGTTAAGTACGTCAGACATACGTACAACTTAAGCATTCTCACTTAGACAATACTATATAGTTTAATAATTTGAATTAAACTCTTATTACAAAATAACCTAAAATACAGCACTGCCACACATATATACACCAAAGTATTTGCTGAACAAAGACATCTGAGTGAATAGTAGTTACTATTCCCTGCTTTATGTTTAGCATTTAGGGAAATTGCAACAACTGGTTCACCCGTTGTCAGTATAATGTGACCGGGCAGAATGCTGTGCATGGTGCCTTCGGCATGGTATTTCAGTGAGGTATCACTATAAGTCGGCTTCAGATCCGCGCTATCACAAGGAGGCAAGCACACCAACATACCCTTTATATTAAATCAGCAACACACAGGATATAGAAAAGCAAATAAAGTCCAAAGTTGAAGGTTAGGCCTAGTGCCAATAATATTATAAACAAATATTTGGAAGTACCAAATTGTCTTATGCAAATGTTGAAACATCTTTGTACTGAAATGACAAGAGTACTGAAATGTGTGTACCCTAGATACATTATTTGTCTTGTCAGCATGTGGCATGCTTGAACCAATGGAATTATGAGATTGTATGCAGTAATGTGATAAGTATTTCTGCTGTAGTTGCTGGATCTGGTGTACAGAGAGGAGACCCTGCTGAACGTGATTAAGTCTGTGACAAGGAATGGTCGCTCCATTGTCCTCACTGCCGTCCTCGCTGTCATTCTCATCTACCTCTTCTCCATTATTGGATTTATCTTCTTCAAGGACGACTTCCTCATGGAAGTGGAGAGGATAGAGACACCACCAATCATAAGTAGGTTTTTATGGAGGAATTTTATTGTGATTAAAAAGATCACGAAAAATTACACTTTTGCATTGTTTTTTGACCCCGAGATCTTCAGCATTTATGAGCGCTGAACTCCTGTGTACTGAAAGCATGGGTTTGACTTGACACTAAGTACTGAAAGCATGGGTTTGACTTGACACTAAGTGTCCAATGTTTTGATATAAACGGAGTTTAAATATAATTTGATAGAATTGCTTTTTCAGGGAAGTTGCTGATGAAATCATCTCTTAAATGTGAAATATAAATAAAATTATCAACTAAATTATTTAATAATTAAGTAATAGGCCGATTCCCATAGTGGGAAAAGATAAATGATGAAACCATTGTTACTCATGCAGTTCCAGTATATCAGCCTCCTCTTTGGGTCTCCCCCTCCTCCTCCAAAGCAGGATGAGCGTATCTGAAATTCATAGTTGACTTTTGCCCTTAAAAAAGGCCAGGAGGGCGAAATATTGGGACTGAGAATGACAACTGTTTTATCATAAATGATTCTGATTTGCTCGATGCTTCTGCATTTTTAAGGCAGATCAGTCATCTATTAATTACTTGGATGTAATTCAATCTATATACCTTATACAGTGGTTTGCCTAATGCATCCCTTTAGATATAAATGCCTATAAATAACCTGATATTCATGTTTTTCTTTATTAATTTGAATATTTTACCATTATGAACTGTGATGATGTACATTTCAGATTTGACTGATACAAATAGTACAGTGAATGATACTTGTGAAGCTCATGGAAACTGCAGTATATCTGATAAAGTATCACAATACCTGAATCCCACTCTAGGTAATGTAAAAAACGCAACATTTACAAACAAAGGATCCCATTTAACCAGTAACTGTAAATTCAATTATAAGATGACACAAGAAATCTACCTGTTCATAATAAAATGTAGATTTTTTGTAACTTTGCATGTGGAGAACCATATAGAACTTGGCTGGAAAAGTTGAGCTCTGTAACCCGAATGTTCAGTATTCATGTTTTTCTGGTAGTTAAGTGCTCCAGTCATATTTGTAGCAATATCTTATTTACATTTTGATCATATTTGGACATTGTGAAATGAAAAAGGTGCCACAATACGTTAAATAAGATTATGAACATATATGGATGTTATGATTAACAGAGGTGACTGAGGAGGAACCCAGGGACAAGCAGCGTGTGTGTGACTCCCTTATCATGTGTATTCTCACAACTCTTAATGAGGGGCTGAGAAATGGAGGTGGCATTGGTGATGTACTCCGCAAACCTGATACTAGGGTAAGTAACTCTTAACCTGATACCAGGGAGGGAAACTCTTTCACAAACCTGATATTAGGGTAAGTATCTCTTCACCTGAGACCAGGGAAACAATCTCACAAACCTGATATTAGGGGGAAATCTCACAAACCTGATACTAGCGGGAAATCTCACAAACCTGGTACTAGGGTAGGTATCTCTTCACCTGAGACCAGGGAAACAATCTCACAAACCTGATACCAGGGTAAGTATCTCTTCATCTGAGACTGGGGAAACAATCTCACAAACCTGATACTAGGGGAAAATCTCACAAACCTGATACTAGGGTAGGTATCTCTTAACCTGAGACTAGGGGACAAACTCACAAAACTGATACCAGGGAAACATTCTCACAAACCTGATACTAGGGTGAGTGTATCTTCACCTGAGACTAGGGGACAAACTCACAAA